CACCCAGAGCCCCAGATGTTACACCACCTCTGCTGCTGTGACCTGAAGTGCTGTATTTTAACATTACTATTGTCAGCTTTTTAGAATGATCAATGTATTTGTTTTGTTTGTGTGGATGGATATGTTTTTGCTGCTACTAGACACCTGAATTTTTCCTACGGGATCAATAAAGTATCTATCTATCTAATTACACATGCATACATCAAACCATGCCATCTGTTCTGTTTAAAAAGCTACAGAAGTAAATACAACTATTGTGTATTTAATAAAATACTAAGGTCATGTTGGCCCGGTTTATTCCCTGCTGGAAGCTTCTACTGCAACAGGTTCCAGAAAGTGGTCAGATACCGTCAGCTTCAGGGCACTGGAGGAGAGGTCACAGTGTAAAGGGTTCAACAATCATTTTAAGTTTATAATAAAGAACCATAAAAACATCATACACTTTGACATACATTTGACTTGATACTTTCAGTCTAAAGCCTATGTGTTTCCATGACTGAAATGTTATGAATGGACTGTACATAATGTGTATAATACAAATAAGTCTTTGGGAACGGAGAAAAACAGAAAACATTTGACCCAGTGTGAACCGACGACATGGTGCAAGGTCTAAATATGAAGATAATGGTCATTATAATAATTATAATAATTATCTACAGACTGTGTGTAATTATACACGCTGCAGGAAACATTTACAACTGAACAGTTAAGAATCTAACTCATATAATGTTTATAGATTTGCTTGTGTGTTTTCACCGAGGTCATGATCATTAAACACTTGAACGCCCAGAACAGTCAATTTGACAGCTTAGTTTTAGTATTAGATAGCAATATGGCCTACGTGCAGAACTGTACAAGGACTCTGATTATTATGACTATGATGTGACATCTGTGTGACACGTACGTCTTTCCATGTGTGACGTGACAATGACTATATAAACTGTGTACTGCCTTTATTCTGTCTGAGAGAACGAAACAATTGAAACAACTGGAACTTGAGAGAAACGTAAATAAACTTCCAGAGTTTGGCGCACCACGATCCGTCTCTGTCTGCTTCATCCCTAACATTAGTTTTAGAAATGTAATTACTCAGCTACTGTTTGGTCTCATAACTTCATTGTCACTTTTTCTGTTTTTATATGTACTTTAGTTCTACGGCATTATTTTTATGATTTTTTTTACGTGAACAGTTAGTTACGGTTACACTGTAAAGAATTTCCTTGTAGAAAAACGGTAAATAGCTGCAAATATGGTTCCAGGAACCACTACTTACATCTTGTTGAAACTGTGCAAATGTTTTTCTGACCCCATCCTTCAGAAAGGCCACCGCCTCTCGGTCCGGTACAAGCTCCACGGTGCTGAGCAGCAGTTCTGGGATAGTTGCATGTAGGAGAGAAACAGAGGACGTCCCGTGGGCATAGCTGGTGGTGAGGGTCGGAGTGATGGGCGGGCTGTCCACGTGAATGCATCTGAAACAGAGTGATAACATCAGAAGAATGTCCTCAATGGTTCCATGAAGACATTTGTGACGTGTCGAAGTGGAAAAGATGAAATTGTAACTAAACAATGTGCACAGACAGATTCTTCAGACCAAAATAACTTCCTATGCATGGTAAAGTGTAGTCAGGACTGATAACCAAAATACAGTTTGTATTCATTTGCAATAAAAGTGAACATGTTTAAAATAATATAAACTTTGTATCAATTCGACACTTACATTTATCAACTCTTGGTGAACAGTCATTTTGAGGGAACAATGTATCATGTGTGGATTTTTACAGAAACCTTCCACTGCTCTTCATACTGAAGGACAGCGAGGATGAAGAGGTGGCAACTCTGAAAAAACCTACATCTAACTTCAGCCTCCAACGTAATGCAAAACATGTTGTTCTCTTCCTGCCCAATGCCAAGATGTGGAGAGGAAAAATGCAGCTCAGTCTTTTTGACCCCAGCCCTTCCATTATTTCTGTTCTGCACAGTCTGTGGCACAGACTTAAGACTTTTGTGCAAGAAAGTGAACCATGTAGCGAGTTGTGCTGCAAATCTTCTCCATAAAGAAAGTTTCCTCAAAATCCATGAGTCTATACTAAAGAAAGCAGCCGATAATGTGCAGAAAGAACTGAAAGTCTCGCGTCTTTTAAAACTATTGCGGTTTTAATAGAAATAGCAGAAGAATCTCCAGAATCCAACTATCTGGACTCACCGGCTGGCTGCAGGCTGCGCGGGGGGATGGCGGCTCCACAGCCTCCAGAAACGCGGTGAAAAGGAGCGATTTCGAAAAGACTGAGAACAAATGGCAACTTTAAGAATCATGGTGAAAAGAAAGCAGTGAAGGAGCTGGAGAAGAGACCGCGCCCTGGAGCCTCAACCTCAGCCTCTGCTCGCACTTCTGCAGCAAGTCACAACTGAAAGATCCGCGGTCTGAGGGGCGTCTGCGATCGGACATTGATCCACAAACAACTCAAAAGTACAAGTGCAATCTCTCCTCGGGCCTCAAGAGGGCGCCATGAGCACAGGAGGAGTTCGCCCAACATGGACAACATGAGTAATGCACATGGATCTATTATGGGTAATGCATGGTGTAATGTGGATTTCTGGAAGTGGAAGATGAAAAGTGAAGAATAGAAAGATTTTGAGTTTTTCTCACTTTATTTCTCAATATATTTGTTTCGGGGGAAGGGGTCTAAATGATGTTATATAACTCACTTGTGTTTGTTTATTTCTTAATAGTTTGCTTTGACCCAGTGATCCAAACCCCCTAAATGTTTTTTTTTATTTTTTGTTTATAAAAGTTGTTGACAATCGTAGCCAGAGCGATGGTCTTGTGCTCTTCATCACTGCACTTGGCCTCATCCTGCTCAAGAACCAAGATTTGACCAGATCAGAGCTGAAGCAGCAGACATGGCCACTGTACAGAGGACCTTTCTCTGAGAGTCTGCTCCAGTTTCCCTCAGAGTGAAATCTGCGGGAGATAGAACAAACATTTACACTCCCCTCAGAAAGCCTGGGCATCGTGGGAATCCAACCCACAACCAACATGCTGAGGCAATAATAAAAGTACAGCTTGTTCTATAAATTATCTACAGCAGTTAGTCATCTGTATAAAACAGTTCACTCTACTTTAGAAACCCAACAAATGTGTCTTTATTATGAGAAAACCACAAGCTGTGAAAATCCACGTATGTGATCTTTGAATACACTTTCAACTATTCTGTGTTTATAATGACCTAAAACCACGAGAAACTGTTGCACACAGTATCAAAACAAAAACACACTATTTTGACATTGTATATTACAATGTTATGTTATTTTACCCAGAACTTCCTGTAAATCATTTTTCATCATAAAGTTGTTCTTATGTTTTAAATTGGTTCATGGATTACTCTATTGATCAAAGGTAACCATCAACAATTGATCCGACAGCTAAAATAGTCCCAAGTCCCATGTTTGGTCCAAGTCCCATGTTTATTCTTAGGCTAAAATATATATATACATCAACGTAAACTTATACAATCATTCAAATGCATTATTCTTACTCTTGTGTAGCCCTAAATCACAACAGCAGTCCCCTCAGAGGACTTAAAAAAACCATTAAAATCACCAACACAGATCAGAGAATCGACAGTAAAGACACAAACAATAACCATATGGCAACATTAAAATCATAATTACAAACAATGTCTGTTATCTCTTTGTAAACAGTTCCTCTTTTAGACTATAGTAGCGCCCCCTCTTGTTCATCAGGTCTTGGTGCGTTCCCTCTTCCACAATTTGTCCATTTTCTAGATAGATGATGTGGTCTGCTTTCTCCACAGTCTCCAGCTGATGAGCCACCACCAGCACGGTCCGATCCCCAGACAGGACCTCCTCCAGGACCTGAGAGAACACAGGGGTCCATGTGAAGTTTAGCGTGAGAGCGAGTGCGGCCGGAGCAAGACAGGGAACGAGTGTGTGGTATGTTGTTTTTGGGAGAAACAATAAAGCCGCACTCCTGAGCAACAGTCCGGAGAGTCCTTGAATCCGCACCACGCTTTTTGACAGTGAGGGTCAAACTAAGAAGGGAGTTACGACCCGGAGGAACGCATCTCCCCGGGGCCCCTCGACCTCGGTCTGGGGGCTTAAAACAGGACAGGAGTAACACATGTTTGCGCACTTCTGTCTTTTTCCGTTGAGAGATCAATAAAGTTTATCTTATCTTATTGTGTCTCTAAAGTATAGTGTCAAAATAGCAGATGGACACATTTGAATAATAAATAAGACATTGCTAATTGTAGGATCTATTCTTTATTCTGTTTAAAACGTTAACTTTTGTGTCCCTGTGCTGTATCATTTTTATTGTGACCTTTAGAGCAGAACAAACACTGTGCAAGTACATAGATGAATAATCAATCTCCAAGAGTAAAAAGTTGATGAATACATGCCCCTGCTCGTAAACACACAGCGTATACAGACTTAGAGGAAGCGCCGAGACAAGTGCTAAAAACGACTTGTGTGAAGCTCACGGCGTGTTGTGCGTGGACGTCCAGTTTGCTGGTGGCCTCGTCCAGGATGATGACCTGTGGATCTCGGACCAGAGCTCGGAGGACCGCGATGCTCTGCCTCAGCCCCTCCGACAGCTTCCCCCCGGACTCCCCCACGTCTGACATAACACAATAAACAGTTTAAATACATTGAAATAAAATCAAATGCTTTTATCGCTTATGTTTTATTTCTGTATTTATAACAAACCTGCACAATCCTCATTTTCACATACAGTATATCGACATAACAGACACATGAGTTGGACCAGGTTCGAAAAGGGGTTGGATGAAGCAGTAATAGTAATGTTTCTATGAATGTCACACACGGCTCTACAAGGATGGACATAGTCTCTGCTCATTGAGAAAAGCAAGACAATAATAGTTTTGCATACTGTAATATATTGAAATTATCAGTATTTTTACGCCACAAATGTTACCTCTTAAAAAATCCCCAGTTGGCCTTGTCCTAAAGAACACACCCATAAAGCATGAGGCAACAGAAAAACACATACAGTTCTGTGTAAATGACTGAATGTTAAGTAAGTAAGTAAGTAAGTTTTTATTTATATACCGCCTTTTCACTGCAGATCTGAGTCTCAAAGCGGTTTACAATTGTTAATTTTGGGCAATTGTCTCTCACTCCACACAGAGATGGGAGCGGGGTCGCCAGTACAGGAGGCGCATGCCAGAACTATTGGACATATTTTTAGTGGTAGGGGAAACCGGAGTACCCGGAGGAAACCTACGCAGACACGGGGAGAACATGCAAACTCCACTCAGAAAGGCCCTGGTCCGGCCGGGATTTGAACCCAGGACCTTCTTGCTGAGAGGCGAGAGTGCTATCCACTCAGCCACCACCGTGGTTTGAATGTTAGGTACCCCTGTTAAAGCCAGGGTACCTAACATTCAAACCACCAAAAATTAAAGTTAAAGTTTCTCTCGCAGCAATTCACAAGCATGTATTTTTTGCCTCTGTCACACCGTTTTTAGATCAACTTTTTCAGACAGAAAAGCAAAAAAAGCAGAGGACCGCACGCCCTCACCCAGGGCTCTTCCTCATATGACATACCACTCACAAACTAAACGTGTTCTTTGTGTGATTCAACAGGAGATTATTGATTGGAGAAAAGACCTTATCTTTCTTATTTGTGTTGATTCCATTCACTTTACTTTGTATTTCTAGGGCTGGGCAATAAATCGAATCTAGGCAATTATTTGGCTAATTTGTGAAAAATTTTAAAATCGTGAAATCAAATGAAGAGTTCCAGCAGCACATGAATTATACTTGCAATATCAGCACAGTCTGTATAAGACTTTTATAACACGTATTGGGGGAAACAAATTAATTAATTAAAAATAGTTTTGAAAATTGAATATTGAGCGGAAAGATCAAAATATATTTTTACGGGCAAAGTCTGTTTTTGGTGACTAAAATGATCATCGATTTAAAAACAAAATTGTCCAAACCAGGAAATAAAATCAAGATGTTACTTTTTTGCCATATGGCCCAGCCCTAGCTACAGTCTGTTGAAATGCTGTCAGTATAAAATAAGATAAACCGTCATTGATGCGACAGTGGAGTATTTTACCTGTGTCATATCCATTGTTAAGTTCTGAAAAGTGAGATTCTGCTTTGATTCTTGCTGCAGCTTCTTGCACTGTGTCCATGTTGCTTTCCTTCAGCCCATACTCAATGTTGTACTTCAGAGATCCACAAAACAACACAGGGTTCTGGGATACAACTGCCATCTACACAGATACAGTTTGGTTAGAAGTGAATCCAATAAAAGCAGCTTATTTTATGACATATGGTCCAATGTCTTGCTTTTCAAACAGTAAATGCACATATTAGCCCCTCCATCTGTGCAGTACCTTCTTATGGAGATATGTCAGGTCATATTGATGCAGCGGTTCTCCGTCCAGCAGGATGCGTCCTTCTTGTGGTTCATAAAGTCTCTTTAATAGACTGACACAGGTTGTTTTCCCGCTGCCAGACGGACCCACGAGAGCCGTCATCTTCCCCGGACGCAGCTCCAGAGACACGGACTAGAGACGGACAGTTCCAAGATGGTTATTATGGGGAAGCAGTAGAGTCTACAGTTTGTGTCAGGACAACATGGGGGGCCTCTTCTCTTTTGTAAAGCTCATGAACTGGCAATGGTTTATGACTGAAGGTACAGTGAGCGCTTTTCATTTCAGATTTGATCATAGATTTGGAGTAGATTGATCAAGTGCTTTCTCCTCAGTGAAGTTGATAAGCTATAGGGCCGAACTGTTTTTAACCTGGATTTGAAACATTGTCAGAGAAGTGGCCTGTCTCACATTTTCAGTCAGGTTTTTACAACTAAAGAATCCAAAATAGCTTCTAATTTTTTATAACCAATAGAATAGAATACAATACAATACCACATACACATCATTCAAATATGATTTTAATTTACCATTGAATATATAATTGAACCATATCTAATAACCCCTTTTCCCTGTATCTTGAGTTATCCTGGGACATAATAATAATATTTATTTCATTACCTTGAGTGCAGTGGGGGTTGTTTTTTCCGCTGACGTGGAGGCGTAAGTGAAGGAGACATTTTCAAAAACTATTCTTCCCTCCAGTTTCTCTGGTGCCAAGTTTCCTGCAGTCTGACTCTTTGGTTTCCGGTCCAAATAAGTGAACACATTGGCGATGATCCCAACAGTGCTCTTTGTTTCTCCATATCCATACATGATCTCCTGGAAGGGGGAAAAAATCAAGATGGGTATATACAATCCAAAACACAGCAGTGAAAAGGCATAATGTGCTGTTTAAAGTCAAGGCAAGGAATATGTAAAGATCCGAGCATAGATAGTCCGAGCGTAGATAGTCCGAGCGTAGATAGTCCGAGCGTAGATAGTCCGAGCGTAGATAGTCCGAGCGTAGATAGTCCGAGCGTAGATAGTCCGAGCGTAGATAGTCCGAGCGTAGATAGTCCGAGCGTAGATAGTCCGAGCATAGATAGTCCGAGCGTAGATGGTCAGAGCGTAGATAGTCCGAGCGTAGATAGTCCGAGCGTAGATAGTCCGAGCGTAGATAGTCCGAGCATAGATAGTCCGAGCATAGATAGTCCAAGCGTAGATAGTCCGAGGATATAGTCCGAGCATAGATAGTCCGAGCATAGATAGTCCGAGCATAGATAGTCCGAGCACAGATAGTCCGAGCACAGATAGTCCGAACATAGATAGTCCGAGCATATAGTCCGAGCATAGATAGTCCGAGCATATAGTCCGAGCATAGATAGTCCGAGCATAGATAGTCCGAGCATAGATAGTCCGAGCATAGATAGTCCGAGCATAGATAGTCCGAGCGTAGATAGTCCGAGCATAGATAGTCCGAGCATAGATAGTCCGAGCATAGATAGTCCGAGCGTAGATAGTCCGAGCGTAGATAGTCCGAGCGTAGACAGTCCGAGCATAGATAGTCCGAGCGTAGATAGTCCGAGCGTAGATAGTCCGAGCGTAGATAGTCCGAGCGTAGATAGTCCGAGCATAGATAGTCCGAGCATAGATAGTCCGAGCGTAGATAGTCCGAGCGTAGATAGTCCGAGCGTAGACAGTCCGAGCATAGATAGTCCGAGCACAGATAGTCAGAGCACAGATAGTCAGAGCATAGATAGTCCGAGCGTAGATAGTCCGAGCGTAGACAGTCCGAGCATAGATAGTCCGAGCATAGATAGTCCGAGCATAGATAGTCCGAGCGTAGATAGTCCGAGCGTAGATAGTCCGAGCATAGATAGTCCGAGCATAGATAGTCCGAGCATAGATAGTCCGAGCATAGATAGTCCGAGCGTAGATAGTCCGAGCGTAGATAGTCCGAGCGTAGACAGTCCGAGCATAGATAGTCCGAGCACAGATAGTCAGAGCATAGATAGTCAGAGCATAGATAGTCAGAGCATAGATAGTCCGAGCGTAGATAGTCCGAGCGTAAATAGTCCGAGCGTAGATAGTCCGAGCGTAGATAGTCCGAGCGTAGATAGTCCGAGCATAGATAGTCCGAGCGTAGATAGTCCGAGGCGGTCCCGCAGGTCTCTCCCATAGACTGTCCAGAGGATACAATGTTAGCTAGCTACACTATGTTCATCCGAGCTTGATTTCTTCTTTGATCATTTTTTCGCTTTAGTTCCCTCTTCTCTTCCTCACTGTTGCGTCATTTGGGGTGTTTTGCTGTGTCTGCAGTTACAGCCAGAGCAGGTATAAAGGCACTTTCTGCCTCCATTCTGCTCTTGTTTATTAGCGCTGTAGAGGCTAGAGGACGCCACCTGCTCGCTCCTCGTTCTGTGATTGGAGGAGAGCGGGCGTCACGGCTATAGCATCTTTAAGTGCAGTACTAACCCTCAGGTTGGACGACATTGGCTTCTGGTACAACAGAAAAGTAACCAAACTCCCAATGCTGAGCTGGTCGTTCTGGAGGAGTCTTCTTGCCATCACCAAAAACAGGATCCTTATCCCAAGACTCACTATCTACAAGAAAAGATAAAACAGAACTAGAATCCAACCAAACTCGCTTTTACAAACAAACCACATTTAACATTTATTCTCATTAGTAAAGAAACAGCTGTTTACCCTTCTAATGAAAGTGAAGGAAGAACTGTAGATCCCATACTGTCTCTTCACTTGCCGCAGCTGCTCCAGAGCGGCGCTGTACCTCTGTATCTCCACCTTCTCTGCGTTAAAACTGCGGACAGTCTCGATGCCGCTGACCGTCTGTAAAACCTGGTCACTGATCTGAGCGTGGTGCGCCTGGATCTGCTCCTTCAGCTCCTGCTCACACAAACATACACACAGAATATCTATCAAAGTAAAATGAGTGGACGTGTTTCAAAGGAGCAATATGTAAAAAATTTGGCAAAAAATGGTGCTGCACTCTCCCTGACTCAGGTTGCCAGATATGCAGACGAATCCAGCTTGGACGATAATAACTGAATAGATAAAAAAATCTATAACCAACACCTTTTTCACAAAGATAGAAATCCTGGTTTTATTCCTTGCCTTTGTCGTTAATGATTTGAGAATAATAACAAGACCTTTTTTAGTTCCGCGCCACATGGTACTTTACCAGTGAGATTAGCTCGACACGGTGAGTTCTGGCAACCCGGATCCCAGACTTTCTGATTGGTGAAACGGTCGAGAGCGGGACATCCAAAACAATAACAGCTAATTTTCAATATCAAATATATCTGAACTACTTTTATCAGTTAAAGAAGTATTTGATCAGAGCAGTTTTGACAGATTAGGGCCATTTAATGATGACTTCACATGAAAATCTTACATGTTGCTACTTTAAACAACAGATCTGACAAATTGACAAACTTAACATTTGACAAAGCGTTCCAGCTACAGTACTGCTGTCGCTTTAACCGGACATTCATAAACATAATTCCAGTAGGGAACTGCTCATGGACGAAGTGTTAGAATTCTATTTTGATCGATAGAAGCCCTGGTCTATTTCTAAACACATGTAAAGTGCTGCTCACCGTGGACAGTGTGGTGTACTTGTTTTGAACCAGGCCTAAAAGTGGCATCTCCAAAACCGTGAGCACCGTGAGCTCCCAGGACAGGCGCACCATCACCACCAGCATCAGGCAGGTCTTCACCACGCTGCGGACCAACACATTTGCGTTCAGGGCCACAGTGCGCCCCATTCGGTCCACATCCGAGTGCAGCCGAGACGATAACTGACCTGAGACATAACACGAGAAAAAACATTAATAAAACGGTCAAAAGAAGCTATACATTAATAGTGTCTGGGTAAAGGTTGGACAGGAAGTTTTCATTGATTCCTTCTTCATTTTCCAGTTGAATAAAAACATAGCATTACATCCAAACATCTTCAAATGGGACGATATTTACCAGACTTTTTCTCTTCGAAGAACTGTATTTCCTGCTGTAGAAGTGTGTGAAAGAGGAGGTGCTTCAGTCTCCGGTTCAGTCTGGCCAAGCTGAACATAAAGAGCCCTCCTCTGGTTCCGGAAAACATTGCACTGTGAAACAAAGATAAAACAATAATTCACAATTTGTTTATATATAAAACAACAATAATATTAAAGGTGATGGCCATTTACCTGCTCAGAGAGACAACTGCCAACTTTGTAACGGCAAGAATAAAGTCTACTTCAACCATGGAGGCTCTCATCATGTCAATAACCTCTCCCTGGTAAAGTGGAATTAATGCATCACCTGCAAAATTTAAAATATGTTTGATATAAGAACAAATATATCAAATCCACAGAGATTAATGCAGTCAGATTTCATTTGAAAACTGTGTCGCACTCCCCCTGATGTCTGTTTCAATGGTTGTATTGTTTGTACAGTTTAGAGCCATATTGTGTAGTGTGATTGAAGGCTATTTAAAAGAAACAGAGAGAATCCATGCGAGACAAGATGAGATTATGACATCCTTCATAATAAAGTTCTGTACCTTGCTCCATGTCATCTCTGCCACAGCTTGTCGCCTCAATATAATGAAGCAAGCCCTGCTACACAACACACTTTTATAATTATTTGCTGAGCGTGTGAATTGCAATAGTCTACTATATCAGAGCTTTATTATAGAAAACTTTGTATTTTGTATATTCATTTTAAGCGATGGCACCAAACTTTCAAACAACAAATAAATTTATCTACTAATAAAAAATAGTTTCCTTATTCTAAAAACTTGGCTTTCACATGTATTTGTTTATAGCCTCAATCACATCTCAAGACCAACTTTTTCAGACAAAAGAAAAGAGGACAGCCCTCTCTCAACCAATCAGCTCTAAGCACAGAGAATTAAGTATGCAAAAGATAACAGGTTTTCAGTATGCTATGGTCTGAATTGGTCACAACATTAACAAGACTTTTTCTGTTGCAGCAATCTACAATGTGTTATTCATGAAGAAAAACTAGAATTGGGGAGGGGGGGAAGTAATTTGGAGTGGATGCAACAGCATATCTGGCTGTAAATATGCAAAACCTAATGAAAGCCTAATAAATGGGCTAATAAATAATGTGAATGCAGCTGGATTCATTCTCATGCAACTGCACAAGGCCATATCCTGCAGGACGATGTGCAATGCTTTGAATACTCACAGATGACGCCCACAACCAGAGCTCCAAAGGCCGTGCAGAGGTAGAACCAGTCCGGCTTGAAGAACTGCAGCAGCCTCCTGAACAGCTGTCCTGCTCCGTGGACTTGTGGCTTTTTCCTTTTGGCAGATTTCTCATCATACAGTCCCCTTTCCCAGACCACACAGGCCAGCAGCGAGGCCAGGGCGCGGAAGAGGACTGCGCTCAGGTCTGGAGGGGGTCCCGTGTAGGGGCGATCCTCTTTGGACGCGACCATGAGTGCGCTCTCTGTGACGGGCCACAGGAGGCTGAGGAGGCACACCAACCTGACAAGTACGGGCCCGGGCTTCCCTGCAGTCAGAATCCGAGATAGATAATGCAAAGTTATCCATTTGACTGCTCCGAACCCCCATAACCACAGCAGTCCCCCGCGGTCCGGAGGCTGGAGCTGGAGCACCAGTATCCAGTACGTCCAGCCCAACGCCAGGTCAAAAACGAGGACAAAAAGCGCACATGTAGCGAGCTCCTCCATCTTACAACAAGGCGGACTAAGAAGAGTTATAAACGATTTAGGCCAGTTTACGTGTTCAGTTTAGAAGTGCGTGCTCCTATAGTTGTTTTTGAGCAACAGGCTACAAAGCTTCCGATTCTCCTCCTCTTAAAACAAAAACAATTAACAAACTCCAGCTAATACCAGATATATCCTTTCGATTTCGTCTAAACGGTTAAGGACCAGTGCGTGTCGTCGCGTTCTTCCGCTCGGCTGTGTGTACTTTTGCTTTCACTTTCGATTGAGAAGCTGTAATATCCATACAGTCCACAAGATGGCGACAAATGTCATGTTTTGTTATGGTAATCTCATGGACTGGTAAAACTATGTACCAAGGACAAATGTTAATATTTATGTGTACTTTAATCATGACGTCACAACAATTAGTCAAAAATGCTTTATTATTCATTGTCCCTGATTATGACAAATAAATACTTAATAATTTGGCCCATAGCTTAATAAAAGTGACATACATCTAAAACTTGTCCAGTGCTGTACAGTTGTGTGTCATCTCAGGCAACCTGTAATTAGCATTTATATCATGGCTTATGGAAAAACAGCTGTAGAAGAAGAAGTATTTGATTTTTGTCATGTTTCACATTATTTTGCTATTTATACAATCAGCAGATTTTCTAACGACAAAAAAATCCAGATACTTCTCCAGTGTTAGTGAGATGAGAGAGATAAAATGATCAGAGCTTATCTTCAGGGCTTGATATATAATAATATACATGTCTTGTACAAACAGCATCATTGTAAAAGGCACTATTCATCTGAGAAAAAAATACATTTAGAATTGGGCACTTCTCTGACCTTCCATGAAATAACCGCCCAAACTTAAAGCCTTTCCAGTTATTTACTGTTCTGAATCACAGAGTCGCTATAATAACGTGCTTACAAATATTATAAACATACAACAGTTCTGTAAAGTACAATCAGTGTGGTTCTAAGTGCACCTGTGGTTATGAAATCACTCAAAATGTCAAAATAAACGTCAGATTGTAATTGGTGTCGGCGCAAAACTACACAGGGTTATAGCGTGTAGAAGGTCAGCGGTGGACATTGTGCTCCACCACATACTAAAGTAAACTTGGTCCTGAACTAATTTTGGATTTTGAACATGAGACCACCTCCGTCTGGGCTGCGTGACCCAGCGGAGAATGTGACAAGGGGAGATGACATTACCTCATAACTCACCTTTTTCTAATTCTAACATTATCATAAACTTCATTCAATTTAATCTGTGAACATCTCTCCAGTGTGAGATCAATACAGTTAATCTTATCGCTTATATGGACTTTTCTCATCCCAGATATTGATCCAAGTTCAATAAAACACTTTCTCCACTACAAAGTTGTTTTTGGTAACAACAAGTAAAAACCGTCTGACTCATGATTGCCATAAATAATAAGAACCAGGATTTGGTATCTGTGACTGAAGCATAGACCTGCTTTCTTATAATATCCCTCTCAAATAGAGCGGGTATTTTGAGAATAAAGAGAATAATAAATAATCGTAGCAAATCAGAATAACTGTTTATACGTCTGCCACTCACTCAGGATGACAAAGGCGGAACATAGAACATAGAAAACAGATGGTATTTCGTTTGGTTTTGTGTTGTATGTGTTTTTAGATAAACATCTTGATTGCTTGGTGTAAAATGCAAAAAGCACAGGTATAACTACGCTGTCACATGGCCCAAACTCAAACATTGGTGATGCTCTCTGTCCCATTGGCTGAAGCCTTGAGTCGGTCTTCTTTGGGCTCGTCTCTGTACGGACACACGACTATTTCATCACCATTCACGGCTGGATTTGGCAGTGGAGGCTTATTATTCTCTCTTTTGTCCAAGTAGTAAAACGATGCCATGAGAAAAACAGCGGAGGAGGCAACAACGGCACTGCAGGCGTAGAAGACCGGGGAGTACTGACCGGATCTGTCCACCAAGATCCCTGCAACAACAAACAGTAGAACATGGTATCTGTGTTTTTCTCACAGCTCTCAGTGAATCAGAGAAGTCTTATGCATGCACAGAATACAACGTTGATATCCCTATTCTACCACCTTTGTCCAGAGACAGACATTTGTTCCACTTTGCAAAGTTAATGTTGATCATCTTCAAGTCTAGAAAGCTCCCGCAAAACATCCAAAGGTTTCAAGACAGAGTTATTTGACAGAAGTTATTTGCTGAGAGAACGGTTTGAAGAGTTGATGCATTTCTAGAAAAGGTGTGACTCTGGAACAAGCTTGAGGATCAAAAATGCTACGAGTCTATACACAATAAGAACCTTCATGAAATATATTGTACAAATGAAATGTGCCCAGAAGCTTTTTAACATTATTAATTAAAAAAAATGATTGCATAGTATTGTACAGTGTGTATATGTGTATCTGTATGTGTGTGTATGTGTTAGTATCATTAAATATAATAATAATCATAATAAATAGCTAACACAAAAACACGGGAATCTTATAAGTATGCATTCTTACCGGCAAGAGGAGGTCCTATGAGGAGGGTGACGCTCTCCATGATCGCCAGGAGCCCGAGAGCTGAGGGGAAGCGGCTCATCTCCACCGTCTCCATCAGCACCGTAAACATCAGAGAGCCCACCACACTCATGGACATGCCGTAGATGATCACGTAGGACAACAACACGGGGAAACTGGATCCAATGCAGCAAATGCTATTACTCAAACCATTCACGAGCAGCGCAGCGGAGAAAACGTAAATGTGTCGCCCTTTGAACCACGGCAGGCTGAAGATCAGACCGATGAGAGGGCGGATCACAATGTTAACCACTCCGAGGATGGACAGGAGCATCGCGGCTCTGCTTGGCTCCATGTTATGGGCCGTGGCGTAGGGGACGAGATAGATCAAGGGGACCACAAACCCAAGCATCATCCACGTGATCCCTATCGAGTAGACACAGTATCGCGGGTTGTTGCAAAACTGGTCAAAAGCCATGTGTTTTTGAACAGATGACAACACATAGTTAAACACTGTCTTTAAAAACCCTTTGGTCTTCTTGTCCTTTTCCTCTCCAGACAAAGATGGCGGATGGTTTATGAGGGGTGGTCCTCGAGGCCCCAGGGAGCGGAGAGGCCTCATCACCGCCCCGAAAACGCAGCAGTTTAGCAGAACAGCCCCCAAAATGAGGAAGCTGCCTCTCCAGCCGTACTCGATGTGGAGGTAGTTGCCCAAAAAGGGGAGAACGCAGAGGCCCAGCGCGGTGCCCGTGGAGGACATGGCGTTGGCAAATGCGCGACGCCGGACAAAGTAGTGACCCAAGATGGTGACTGCAGGCTGGAAGCTGAAGCAAAACCCCAAACCTGGAAACAGACAAAGTAACAGATCAAAGAAACTGCAGCGTTGTTTAGACTTTTGATTAATCAGGTCATTGTATTATCAACATGGATTCAATATACATTTTTTAAGTGATTAAATTGTTTTCAATTGACCCAACAAAAAGTCTTGTAAAAAGTAAAATGTGAACAAATAAGACTTTCCTTCATCTTATGAGAAAACATGTTGTATTTTGGATCTTTATGAAAAAAAATGAAAAAAATCCTTCTGCGTTACTATTTGAGCTTTGGCCTGAAAGTTGATTGGCTGAATGTAGAACACTGGAAACTAGACCATCTTGTGTTATGAGTTTGTTACATGTTTATGATGCTTTTTGATTTGATCATGTATGTCATAGAAAAAAATAACAAGAATGTTTTTTGTTTTTGTCAAACTTAGTGATATAGTCGAGTGTTTGAAACGGCACAAGAGTTTCATTGGGCACTGAGACAGGGGTCTCAGTGCCCAATGAAACTCTTCTGCTGAGACTGGTCTGACCTGTGATGATCCCTGCGGTGATGTACAGCTGTAAGATGGACTGAGTAAACGAACTGGCGGCCATTCCCAATCCGCTCAGGACTCCGCCCAACATCACTGTCGCCCGGCAACCCAGTCTCCCCACCAGCACGCTGCAGAAGGGGCCTGTGGGTGAGAGGGTAATGCCCTTAAGTTAATGGCACACACCAGAAAAATGTGCCTTAATCCTGGATGGCGCTTTACCCAGATATTCCTTGTTGGGGAAAGCAATAGTCCCTACGCCCTGCTGGGGCTCGAGCTTATTAATAATAATAATAATAATAACAAAAATAACAATTATTATTCATTGATTTTATTTATATTGCACTTAACATTACAAGAAAGCCTCAAAATGATCAGCGAGCTTTTATCCATCTCACAGCGAGGACATTTCAGTGTTGTTGTGCACAGTACAGAAAAGTAGAAACACAAAATACAAAAGAAGACAAATGATTTACAGAATAACTCTCTGCAATAGAAATCATGGCTGCTTTATAAAACTAGTCATTGAAGTAGTAGCTTGCCCTTTACAGATTTTTAAAAAACAAACTGATGTATATGATTGTTAGATTTGTGAATGACTTGAGCCTGAACGGTGCTTGTGGCAGGTGTCGGTGAACCCGGCGTATCAGCTCAAAGAGGTGGAGTACGCCTTACGGAAGGTGAGTGAAGACGACACGTTTGGTCCCAGTTTTGAAGAGGTCTCACTCCTGTTCCCTGTGCTGCAGGTCAGCTGTAACGCCATCGTGTGTCCCACTCAGTTTGCCACTCAGAAATACTGCGGGATGCTCCGACAGATCTGCCCCGAGTTAGACACCTGTGTCCCGGGAGACCTCAAGAGTAACCGGTACTTGTATAGTTTTACTCATGATTGTTGTAGTAATATATAGTAATCGAATAGCAGACGCTTATTTAGTTCAAACCACTGTCACTCATTTAACACAATATAAAGCACACACATACTCACACACACACACTTAAAGATAAACTACACATCTGTGCTAAGCCTTACACCGCCCACATTAACGTTTGAAAATGTTCCCTAAAAAAGGCGTTGCCGGAGGACCAAGGGACAAGAAGGGGGGCTTAGAGTTGGGCGTGGTCTGGGCTGTGATTGACAGCTTGCTTGTCACACACAAAAAAACAGACAGTTGTCATTGTTGGTTAAAGCAATAGTTTACACACCAGAAAGTCTCCTTCCACCCTTGTTTACACACTAAGATAGTTGTAGAGCTTCACACCTGAACCTAAGCCACTGAATTATCTCAGCAGTAGTGGCTGCAACGGATGAAATTTAGTTTTAATCCACTAGATGTCGCCAGAATACTCCAACTCGCTGCTGGGCGTCACACTGTTACAGAGTCAATGGAGAGGCCAGGACCAAATTCCAATGTAGTGCCACCGAAAAGGTAGAGAGGGCGCCACACGGACGGTTTTAGGCTCAAAGGTGAGATTTTATCTCATTTGCACTTAAATGTCAAATATGTAGAGAGCACTATAAGACACATTTATGCAGTTTATGAAAGTTGATTTGGGTTTTAGGTGTTCTTTAAACACAACACAGGCCTAACACTCTCTGACCCTACACCTCTCTCCCATGACTCGCTGTGTGCTGCTGAGGGAATCATATTTGAACATGTTTTTATTCATCTGGTGAGTTTTTCCAAAGAGTAACTTTTCGTACTGAGCTTTTATGATTGCTGTGGTTTTTTTTTAAAGACAAGTTAGATGTATTACCTTGTTAAACATGTCATCTTCGGAACTGTCTACCGCCTCTGTAAAGTGTCATATATCATTAGATGTTAGTTCCTGAGGGGGCGTGGTCAGCCTCAGTGAGCTGTCGGACCTCTCAGACTGACCACGCCCCCTCTCAGACTGACCACGCCCCCTCTTGCTTGGTGGTTTCTGGAGGAGGGCGTCCCATGTGTGCGACAGAAGGAAGGCTCCTTCATCCTGGTTGATGATGTTTTCCTTGATCCAGTGTTTGTATTTGTGTTCAGAGTCAATGACCTGTGCCCTGTCCCAATCCATAAAACTGAGATTGATTTGATTTTTGTTCTCTTCCTCTTAGTCTATTATCTACAAAAAAAATCTAAGAAGACTGTATTCCTTTTTTCTGTTTGAATAGTTAATGTGCAAAGACAGATATATAAGTTGTTGTTGGTTGCCCTCGAATGTCACATGTTGCAGCGGCTTCAAGGTTCATTGAAAAAGCACATTTATTGCTCTCTTTGTGGTTGAAACGCCTGTGATGCCAGCGCTCAAAGCCAATCTCAACTGATGAATGAAAAGAAAAGTGATAAGAAAAAAACATATAAACATGACATAAAACACTAGGCTTTTACAAAACACACACAGAGTAAATGTGTGGTATCAAAGCTGGGGATGTGACTTTTAAATTACAACAATAAAATGTGCAACAACCCGTCAAACTGGTTTCTCGCTCTCAAAACAGTTTGGTTGCATTACTAGATGCATGTATTTGTGGCCTCTGTCACTTCTGATAGAGGTAGGACCACCTTCACTCAACCAATCAGTTTACAGCTCGAGTGGGGGACTGCTTTTCTTCAGCAGGGACATGGAAGATGAGACTGGGATTTTTTTTTGGAAACTCAAAGACGCTTTACATGTCATTATTCTTTCACTCCTTACACGGTGGTGATAAACTACTACTGTAGCCACAGCTGCCCTGGGGCACACTGACAGAAGCGAGGCAACCAGTCTGTGCCATCGGCCCCTCCGACACACACACACACACAAAAGTGGGAGTCTATGGTGAAAGTCGAGCTCGAACCCACGACCCTCTGGCTCAAAGGCCAATGCTCTACCAACTGAGCTACTGTCGCCTTACCCTTCAGCAGGACAATGATCCTAAACAGAAAGCCAGAGTGACAATGGAATGGTTTAAACAAGAACATTTAGAGAACAGAGTCTGGGATCTGACACTGTGTGGTGTCTGCAGGTTGCCACATCTACGCTCCGTGATCGTTCTGGACAGCCGGCAGCCAGGAATGTTTCATTTTGAGGACATCATGCAGGCGGGAGACAGTCGATATCAACAGGAACTCCAAGACCTGCAGAAGAAGCTCTCCTTCGATGACCCCATCAACATCCAGTTCACATCAGTAAGAGCAGCTCATTGTGACTATTGTAAAAACATCCAGTTCACATCAGTAAGAGCAGCTCATTGTGACTATTGCAAAAACATCCAGTTCACATCAGTAAGAGCAGCTCATTGTGACTATTGCAAAAACATCCAGTTCACATCAGTAAGAGCAGCTCATTGTGACTATTGCAAAAAGATTTCTAAATTGAAACAATGTTCTTCTATAGACTTTTCCACATTTGCTTCATAGAAATGAAACAAAACCAAATGTTATTTCCCTGCCATGTGGTCGTCACTCTGGAGTTGCTGAAAGCCTTCTCCTCATCTTCATTCTTTACAGTGAAATCTAATTCTCTGATGTGTGTTTCTAGGGCACGACTGGAGCTCCCAAAGGAGCAACTCTGTCCCATCACAACATCATTAATGACGCCTATTATGTCGGCCGGCGGTTTGGATACCACTGGAAGGTAAGGACAGTGTGCGACTGTTGATACTTAGATTAGGTTATTATTAGTTTTTTTTAAGGTTTTAAAGTATCATTTTAAAGACTGTGTCAAAATAGTTAATGATGGAAGCCTCAAATATTTGAGGTTTAATCCAATCTTATGAAAACCGGATCTCACTGATAAGTTTTTCTTTCTTTCATTCTTATTCTGTCGCTGCTACAGCCGCACACTCGCATCTGCCTCCCTGTGCCCCTGTACCACTGCTTTGGCTCAGTGGGAGGGGGCCTGTGTCTGGCCGTACACGGGACCACTTTAATATTTCCATCTCCTGGATATAATTCAAAGGCCAATTTAGCGGCGATGGAGAGTGAAAGGTAATTACATCCATTTTGATTCGTCACTTTTCTGTTAAAGCTATGGTACCTAACTTTCCCCCATAAATGATACATACAGTCTTGTTAAATCGGACCACAACCTGCTGTCTGCATCTTACTACAAAACTCTTCTCTTTTGCAAAGTCACTATTTGACTCTTGGCTAAAAGCTGATTGGCTCAGAGAGAGTCGTCTTCTTCCTTTCAGACAAAGCTAATCTCGGGTTTTGAAAGAATCCAGTAAATTACATGTTTATAAAAACTTGAGATAGATGCAAAATTGAGAGCGAGGACGAAACACTGTGTACTGAGAGTTGATTATATTACATTTGAAACTTTTTATGGTTTGAAAGTTTGTAAAAAGTATAAACAATTCAGAATAACTTTCCTCCTACGGAAATAAGGTTATTATTTAACTCAATCTTTCAGTTATGTGTAACTTTCTGAGAACTCAAACTACAGTGAGAGAAACTGAGTCTGGCCTAAATATGTCTAGGAAGGAAAACGGGTCAAGTGAGAGGATCCTCTATAGAAATACAAGGCCGACAACTTTCTGTGGTGAAAGTATTTCCCTCTGGCAGCTGTGGTTTCTCAATCTGAGGCTGCTTCCTCAGTCAGATCCTGTTTCAGATGTCTCTTTTTCCTGTGGGGGATTTTAGTGGGACCAGATCAGCTGTTTGTCACGCACTGGATCCACACAAAGGCTTAAAGAGAAAAGTAACACAGACTTATCACATTGTAGTTGGATAAAATGTATCCCATGGAGGAAATCCTTAGCTACTGTACTTGATACACAGTATTACTAACATATTTGGCCCTCATGAGTCTGCACTGTCCCAGCCAAATAAACACAGAAAACATAGATAACATACTTACATAAAATAACACCTGGTCTAATAATGTTGTGACTAGAAGTATTTTACCACATGTACAGAGTGAATTGAATTGATAATTAGATTTTCCATGTGATGCGTCTTTGAGTGTCCATAAAAGCTCTTATTCAAACCAATGTGTTATCTTCTTTGTAATTTGTATTTGTAAACCCAGGTGCACTATTATCTACGGGACTCCCACTATGTACGTGGACATGGTCAACCAGCCGGACATCCATAAATACGACCTGTCCTCAGTGGAAGCAGGTCAGAACAAGATATTCGCAAAAATAATCAAAACCCATCTGCAAAAATCATGATTGTGTTTTTTGCTTTGTGCAGGAATCATGGCTGGTTCTCCGTGTCCTGCAGATCTGGTGAAGAAGGTGATCTCTGTAATGGGCGTCAAGGGAATAACCGTGAGTTAAACTTCAACCCGCTGCAGTTTGTCTTCTGACCACAAGAGGGAGACACATCCTTGTATAAGACTCTCTTGAGCTTGATCCAAACAGTGGCTATATTTCAAAGTGGCTTTTGTAGAGGTTTATTGGTCGTGAAAGCACTCCACGGTTAAACGAGTAAACAAGACATGCTTTAGATATGACAATTAGACAAAGAATATAATACACAATACTTGATTTGATTAAACGTATTTACATGCTTTTGTCAGTTTGTTCTCATAAAAATGTGTATGTATTAATTGCAACCTTTGGTATACAATCTAGAGACATGTGTGCTTTGGTGTTTCAGACATAAGTTAATTTATATTTTAATTTAAAGCTGAAAACATGGAAATTAACCAATACATTATGCATTCAGTTCTTTCCACCTCACTACATTCATGGCAAACCTGCCTCGATGCACACACAAAGTTTATTCTGTGCAGAGTAAAAGTTGTACATAGATTTTTTACAAATGGTGACTATCTTAAACGTTTAGGCTTTTCCGTGTTGCAGCTGGTCACGACAACAGGTCGATTCCTGTCAAAGCACACAACACGAGCAGACAGTTTAAAGACTGTGGAGGAGAATACAGACTTTACAGCATGAGTGTCAAAGTCAAGGCCCGGGAATGAATTATCTTGGCCCCCAGGATGATATTTGATTAGTATTAGAACTGGCGGCACAGAGCCAGAAGACACTATTGGATAATTCATTTAATCTTCAGGACATGTATTTTCTCTTTGTTTTTGAGCCTGTTGGAAAATGTTTTCACTTGAAACTACTGATAAAGCCATACAAAAATATTATTAATTTAATCATAAACTTCATTATAACGCATAACGTTTTGTGTTTTTGTGATTTGAAACTTAGATACCCCAGCTTTAATACAGAGCCATAAACTGGGAACCATCAAAACATACTCTATGTCAGCCATTCCCAAACTCAGTAACACCGAGGCCCCCTTAAAAATCTGACGGGTCTGCGTGGCCCCCCAAAATAATAACCAAGAAGACAACATTAAGAATAGGCTCTTCTGGTTATTTTATTTTGGGGAAATAGCCTCTTCTACAAACATTGTAATACAAAAATGATTACAGTGGATTATTCAAGTCAAATAATGAACACAAATATTTTAATATTACAAACAAAACATTATAAATTTAACATTAAATAATTATATTTTTTTTATGACCTCCCGCGGCCCCCCTGCAGTACCCTCGCGGCCCACCAGGGGGCCGCGGACCCCACTTTGGGAGACACTGCTCTATGTCATTGATAAGCTGATTCTTTTATTTAAAACAGCAAAGCAGGTAGAGTACAGGCCAAATCATGAACGTTTAATGTATTTCCGTGTGGGAATAGTATAGGATTTCAGTATTATTTCCTCTGCATTGAATACTATACTTTGTGTTTATATACAGTCTATGGTTTGTACTGAACGTTGATATTGAGTAAAGAGCAAAGCGTGGGGAGAGCCATGAAACGATCAGACAGAACTGCTTCAAATCCTAAAGGTTGAGTCTCCTCCTGTTGTACCTGGTTTGGATGTGGAAGCGTTTATTGGCGCGTGCCCTTCTTGGTTCTCTTCTGTTTGACTTTGCAGCCGCTGAACACAGGGCTGTCCCGGACCTGTCTGCCCCTCTGCAGAGCGGGGGAGGCACACAGGGCCTCGGGGCGGATGCGGCTCGAGTCCATCCACCTTTAGGCACAATGTCAAATGTTAGTTTTACTTACGGTTAGAGGACCACCTTAAAATAATATGAAAAAAGTATGATCATTTTTTGGGTGTCTTGTGGAAGTACAAACTCGTAAATCATTAGCATGTATTGAAAGAATGTCTCCATAACTCTCTACATAAATCCTAATCATATAATTTCCCGCTATTTTCAAAGTCACGTCTGATTTCAGGTGAAGATATCAAGGACTGGCTCGTTAATGTGAAAAGACACCAGTACCAAACTTCCTTCATTTTCTAGAATTGTTGAACATATACTTTGAAAAGACATGTGATTTATATTGAGGACATAAGATTGCTTTGTGACCTGAATTATCACACCATCATCTAAAGCTGGGGAACCTAACTTTCTGCAAAAAAAACGTGATGGAACCAAATTGTTTTAGATTAAGGTGGATTTTTTTTTTTTTTACAATTTTCTGTTTGTTTACAAAGTGAGATACTGCAGCTTTAACAATCTCAGCCTCCTTCTGAGACTGAAGCAGGTTATTTGATTTAAAAGTCACATTGCTGCGGTTGTTGTTGGTGTCAGTTTTACCTCCTGAGTGGAGCGAGCGAGCAGGTGCAGGTCCATGGGTTGTTGGTCAGGGTCAGATTGGTCAGTGTCCCGTACTCCAGGCTTTTTGGGAGAGTCTTGAGTCGGTTGTTGTCCAGGTGAAGGGACTTGATGGCCGTGACCCCCGTGAACGCTCCGTCTGAGAACTGGAACCAGATGAAAGGCAGAATTAGGACCGGGTCTGGACAGAGTGGTGCAGACTTCCCCTGATTAACAAGGACAATTTAGTCGTGCGTCTTTTGTAGCTTATGGTTTAGTAACCCATGGTATGAAGCCCACGTTTACAGTTTGATCCTGCCTTGATTCTAGTTTAGTCCTGATGAAGACTTGGTTTGGTCCAGGGCTGTAACAACTGTCTTTCTCAACTCATCTTGTTGTATTCATTAAGTGACACAGACTCAAAATCAAAAGGGACAAGATATTTTATGAAAGTGTCTTTTGTTTTTTATTATGTTTGGTTCAGAATAAGTTTGCTTTAAATTAATGTATAAGATTATTTTAGGTTTTGCTGTGTATACAAAAACAAATGTGTAATTCCTAATTTGTCCTGCTGTGATACATCACAGAGGAAAAAAACAATGTAGTTATCAGACTATTTAGGGCAGGGTCTGGTTAGCTCTGTGATGGGAGACCTCTGGGGACACCAGGTGCCACAGTCGGGCGGCTGCGGCTGTTAAGTGCCAAACTGTTGTTGTGTCTTTAGGCAAGATACTTCACACACATTGCCAAGGATTAGTCTGTAAGAATGGTTGGTGGTGGTCAGAGAGGCTGATGGCATATACTGGTTGCCTCACTTCTATCAGACTGCCCCAGGGCTGTGAAGACTCTTTGGGCATCTAAAAAGTGCTGTATAAAACCAATAATTTATTTAGTTATAAATGCTTTAATAAATATTTATATTTTTCAATGTAAAACCATACATGACCAAACCCCAATCTTGTCATGGTTTGGTCGTGTCTAGTCCATCTTTAGTCTGGAGTTTGGTGCTGCTTATCACAGTAGACTAATAAGAAGTGATTGTATAATGTGGTCAAAGTTGTGTAAGTGCGTTGGTCCTAATATTGTGGTTGGTTGGTGCACAGAGCAGCTTCAGAGCCACACCCTCAGTCTGACCCTGTGTCCTGGCTTTGAGATTCTCGGGAATCTCTCCAGACCGGCTTCGTAATGAAAGCCCTCTCTCATCCTTCCTCTATGCAAACACGGAATTTCTCTGGGCTTCCTTTCCACTTCAAGGGTGCTAAAAACTTCAGAGAGGTGCTAGCTGGGCTCTAGTGCGCCGTGTCATGTTTGAGAGACAACCCTTTGAAATAGTTTTGGATGAGAGATGTGGGGTGTGTGTTTGGAACTTTCCACTGTGGACCAGCACACGGTATTTTAAAGCAATGGAAGATGGATAATGTCCAATATGGCTAAGATGTTTTTTGAACTCTGCCGTGTCTCTCTCTATGAGCGCCAGGAAAGGTTTACAAAGGACTCTATTGTCAATTCAAGTTGTCAGGTGGCAAACTAAAAATACAGCAGTTCGTTTCCCTAAGGAGCGCCTCTATTTACCTGTGTTGGTCCTAACCCCTTCTGACCTGTTTGTGAGACCTGGCCAAAGCACGACGGAGAAAACATATGAACTCAAAATAACTTCTGTGTAATAATTAGACTCTGGGACACGCTTGGCTGCAGTCCAGCAAACAAAAACACGCTTAAAATACCTGTATCCAAACTGCTGCTCGGAGGCTTGAGGTTTTACAATTTGCTGCATTAGAGCCTTCATACTTAAAGCAGTGATACTAGAGCTGGCATCAAGCAAAACACACCTTGATTACACCTTATGCATGCAGTCTCATGTTGGTTTAATGAATGACTTATTTACTGTTGTGATTGTAGTAGTATTAAGACAAGAGAACCTTTTTATTCATGTAAGATAGCAATGTTTTTACCTTGATATGGTGAGAACATAAAATAGAAGAACCAAATCACTTGATCTACTAAGAAAACAAAATAATTCCTAAACTTTTGTTTATCCCACTGTGGGGACTTTTCGGTACCTTATAATAAAGCAAAGTTAAGTTAAATTGGATTAGGCAAAAATAAGTTATACTTCAGCCTAATACCTTCGGTCACAATTGCATTTGTAAATCTATGTTAAAGCATGTACACTACTGACATAAGCTACATTGTTTTGTAACCTTGTCCTTATTTGAATGCCTTTTTTATGTCAAAAAAAAATAATAATTTGTATGACCGAATAAAGAAACCTACTACTACTAAAGAAAACATTTTGCATGGGTGATGGGGCAGGCTGTTACTTAAACGTTTCAGGTATATTAAAAACTTCTGAACCATCTTGGTCTGGAACCTCTGGACAATAAAGAACTGTAGCTATGTCATTTATACAACCACAAATCTACTTCCATGTGGTCTTATTGGCTCTTATGTAGAAGACTCACCCTCTCCAGACCCATATTATCCAGGTGCAGTCTCTCCATGTAGCGTCCAAAGCTCTGAAAGGCCAGGTCCGGGATTGTCCTCATGAGGTTGCGGCCCAGGGTGAGCTCCTCCACCACTCTCAGCTTGCTCATGGCCGCGATGGGATAAGTCGCCATCCTGTTCCCATCCAGGTGCAGGATCGCCAGGTTCTCCACTTCATCCATGGACCCAGGCTGCAGCGTGGTCAGAGTGTTGTTGGCCATGTGCAGCCAGCGCAGGTCTTTGGCTCCTGTGAAAGTCCCGGGACGCAGTTCTCTGAGCCTGTTGTTGTTCAGCTGCAATATGAACAGGTTAATCATGGGCGCGAAAATCCCTTTTGACAACTCTGTGATCTGGTTTCCGTCTAGATACAGATATGTCAGTTCTGTGAGGTCTTCGAACGCGCCTGGTTTGATGGACGTGATCTCGTTGTTGGACAGATACAGATAAATCAGCTTGGTGAGGCCTTTGAACGCCTGGGAGCCGATCTCTTTGAGCTGGCAGTTTTGCATATGCAGAGAAATCAAGCCTTTGCTCTCACTGAACGCCCCGGTGGGAATGTCTCCCAGGCTGTTCCTCTGCAGGTTGAGCAAGCGTGTGGCATCGGAGACCCTCGGGATCTTCTTCAGCCCCACGTCGAAGCAGATGACGTGGAGGAGGTCGCCGTGGCAATGACAGAGGTTGGGACATTGCCCCGGGGCGCCTGTGACTGCTGGACCCAAAACCAGCAGCGAGGTCCCCAGCAGCAGCCAGCTAACACAACGCATGCTGTAGAGGAGGCAGAGCAGCTTTCTCGTGCTCTGCTCCAAAGCGGCGGACACTTTCTCACGCAGAGGAGAAAAGAAAACGCGTGGTCAGGTTTGTTATGGTGCCTCAAAGGTGACTGAGCAAAGGTGGGCCGAGCTGAGAAATTCTCTTTGAGTGGAGGAGGATGGCCAGTCACTGCACACTGCGCTATTTATAACATTCACTTTGAGAGAAAAAAGTGGAGGGCTTGTCGCATGTGAGAGGAGGGCAAAAGTGAAGGAGAGTTTAACCCCAGAGGAGCTTCAATAGGATTTATGCATTCTACTTTTCTATCTTTGTCATTGCAGGAGTAGCTTGATTTGATAAAAGCTTGTTTTGTTTGTGATTGATTGATTTATTTTAAAAAACTGATGGTGATATTCTCTTCAGCTCTGGTTGTCTTGCGTTCTGCAGGTGTTCGTGCACTGACGTGGCATGAGGTCAAGCCGGAGCCCAGACTCCTGTATTGTATTTTCAGTCTGCGGTTTGGGGGAACGGCCACTCGTGTGCGGTCGTTTTATAACCTGTAATTGGCTCCAGATGTTTCTCCAGAGGTGTTTAAAATCACAACAATGGCAAAGGATACTTCCATCATCCCAGGAATGCACCTTCAACATTGCCACTTTACATTCCTGCATATTTCCTCTCTCTGTCGTGTGGTTATGTAATAACCGCCATCACATTTTTATGACCAAAAGAACGATCTTGTTTCAATGGCGGGCTTCATTAGTCTAAGTTATTTTTCAAAGCGTGTTCCTGGCAGCACCGGGAGGTGTAAAAACAGATTTGAAGCCATAATTAGCCCAAAGGAAAATGTATTTCAATCCCAGCTCTGTGCATTTCCAAAAGTTAAAGTTAAAGTTTGGCTTCAGGCGAATGACGAATGGACTCAGCCATGTTGGAAGAATCTAGAGTTTACCCACCAAATGTAGCATTTTATTGGGAATATCGCTGTTTTCCATTTCTCATGCTCTGCAGGGCGGTATCCGGCGATAGGTGCATCCATAATTTACTCTCGTCAAAATGTGTGAAAAATATGAAATCTTTTTCTGACGAGAACTGGATTAAGAATGCATCAATGTTGAAGTTTCATTCCAGTATTCTGTTTAGTTCTGTGTCAAGTGTTTCCAATGCAGCTCAGCTCATAGGCCTGGAGGGTTTATTCATAGAAAGATGTTTTTAGAGAAATTTATGTGACGTAAAAATATCACAATAACTATTTTATTGTTATAGAAAATATCTATTATACACCAGGCTGATGTACCTGTATACGATATTATACATCAGCCTAGTGTTTATATATAGATACAGTATATACTGTACATAAATACGTATACCTGTACCTGTACTATACGGACTGCTATGTTCATGCATTATTTCTCATTAGCCACTTTATTCCAGTCAAACATTCAGTTGTTTCAGTTTCTATACCGTTTATACGGCACACTAAAATCACACTAAAATCACTACATTTGTACCAAAAACCGTGCGGTGGATAAACTCCCTTTTTGTTTCAGATCGGCTACGGCACCACAGAAAACAGTCCAGTGACATTCTGTGGAACTCCTCTCGACAGCATGGACAGAAAGTGTGAGACCACGGGCTTCATCCTTGACCACGTGGAGGTACATCTCACACTTCAGTAAAAACACAAGACTCCGAAGGTTGAACCTGTGCCCTCGTGTCCAGGCTAAAGTGGTGAACCCGTCGACGGGGCAGGTGGTCCCTCTGGGGGAGCTGGGGGAGGTGATGATCCGAGGCTTCTGCGTGATGCTGGAGTACTGGGAGGACAAGGCCAAGACAGAGGAGTGCATCTCCAAAGACGGCTGGTACAAGACCGGGTGAGTGTCTGTTAAAGGAAAACAAAAGCTAACAGAGAATATTATTTTACTAAATGTATGTGTTGCTTTTCAGGGACATTGGCAGCTTGGACGCTTACAGCTATCTGCGAATCGAAGGCAGAATCAAAGACATGATCATCAGAGGAGGAGAGAACATTTATCCTGCTGAAATTGAGCAGTTTCTTCACACTCACCCAAAGGTCAAAGAGGCTCAGGTAAAAGTGATCTACTCCATATAGAATCAGAATCTTAAGTGGTTTTATGGCCATTGTGGAAATGGACAAACTAGGAATCATTTGATAAATCTTTGGTTAATTAAACAGGATGCATCAGAAAAATGAAAAAGTAGTATATAAATAACACAATAGGCATTTAACAATAGATTATGGGCGGCACGGTGGCTGAGTAGTTCGCACTCTCGCTTCTGGGATCGAATCCCGGTCTGAACAGGGCCTTTCTGAGTGGAGTTTGCATGTTCTCCCCGTGTCTGCGTAGGTTTCCTCCGGGTGCTCCGGTTTCCCCTACCACTAAAAACATGCACAATAGGTCTGAATGTAAATGAGAGAGTGAATGGATGGTGTTGATTGGAGCTGATGGTCCAGTGTGTTCTGGACTCGCTTCTGTCATCACCGTGTGTGGAATGACTGGAACAATATCTGACTCTGAATATTGTAAAGCGCTTTGGGTGACCTTGGTCTGTCAAATGTGCTATATAAATAAACATTACTCTCTTACTTACTATGAACAAGTGGCCAGAGCTGACAGAAGTGTAAAGTGACGACTGTAATGCAGATAGATTGTTTGTCACTGAACAAATCCAACTAAACTGTATTATGTTTTAAAGCTTGTTGTACTTTACAGTGTTGTCTGAATATTCCCAGCTCCAGGTCACAGCACCGTGTTCTTCTGTGCAGGTGGTCGGAGTGAAGGACGAGCGAATGGGTGAGGAGGTCTGTGCTTGTATCAAGCTGGTTGACGGACAGGAATGCTCCGCAGAGGAAATCAGAGCTTTCTGTAAAAATAATGTGAGATTATCTTGTACAAACTTCAAATTGATTTTATGTTTTTCACTTCAAACTAGAAAAGTCCATTCTGTGTCTCTCACAGATTTCCCACTTCAAGATTCCCCGATATGTTCTTTTCGTCACCAGCTACCCACTCACAGTTACTGGAAAGGTACTTCATTTTGATTTTTAAACTTCCTCATTGTGTATGTGTGTGTCTGTGTGTGTACTTGTGTATGTGTGTGTCTGTGTGCGTACTTGTGTCTGTGTGTAAAAAAATATCCAAACGTATATTACATAAATCAACATGCTGGACCAAAGTTAACAGTGGCGTTTCCAAATCCTGACAGATTAGATTCCTGCTTTAATGTTTCTTTCATGAATGTGAGTAAAATAAGTTATTGAAGACATGTGGTTGTGTTTGAGCGGTCCTGCCCTGGACGCCCAGACAGAGCTATTAGTGAGTCTGCACGCAAACCATGTCCTGCTAGATCCATCGAGCGCCACACCTCGTCCCATCAGGCACTCGTCTACAGAACCATGCTTATGTAGTTACAGGGATTTGGTTTTTAGGACCCGAACAGGGATTCAGTGACTATACAAGGTTCAGGAAGCTCATCCAGGTCACTTTTAAACACAAAATGCAACAATGGAGGAGCATGACATGTGTGTGGTCTGTCGTGTCTGCGTGAGGATGTGTGTGTCCTTATGGCTTTCACTTATGGCTTATGTATAAATTAATAACTTTCTTTTTTATGACTTTTTTTTTAACCTGTACTAACAATATTTCGGTTAAGTGAAGTTTTGAGTGTGTGAAAATGTGTGTCATTTGTTGTTTTGAATCCCTTTAACATGTCAGCATATTTTGAGGATAGGAACTACTGGTGGTGGTGGTAGTAGCAGTAGTAGCAGTAGTAGTAGTAGTAGTAGTAGTAGCAGTAGCAGTAGTAGCAGTAGCAGTAGCAGTAGTAGCAGTAGCAGTAGTAGTAGCAGTAGCAGTAGTAGTAGTAGCAGTAGCAGCAGTAGTAGTAGTAGTAGTAGTAGCAGTAGCAGTAGTAGCAGTAGTAGTAGTAGCAGTAGTAGCAGTAGTAGCAGTAGCAGTAGCAGTAGTAGCAGTAGCAGTAGCAGTAGCAGTAGCAGTAGTAGTAGTAGCAGTAGCAGTAGTAGCAGTAGCAGTAGCAGTAGCAATAGCAGTAGTAGTAGTAGTAGTAGCAGTAGCAGCAGTAGCAGTAGCAGTAGTAGTAGTAGCAGTAGCAGTAGCAGTAGCAGTAGTAGTAGCAGTAGCAGTAGCAGCAGTAGCAGTAGCAGTAGCAGTAGTAGTAGCAGTAGTAGCAGTAGTAGCAGTAGTAGCAGGAGTAGTAGTAGTAGTAGTAGCAGTAGCAGTAGCAGTAGTAGTAGTAGTAGTAGTAGCAGGAGTAGCAGTAGTAGTAGCAGTAGCAGTAGCAGTAGTAGTAGTAGTAGTAGTAGTAGCAGGAGTAGCAGTAGCAGTAGTAGCAGTAGTAGTAGTAGTAGTAGTAGCAGGAGTAGCAGTAGTAGTAGTAGTAGTAGTAGCAGTAGCAGTAGTAGCAGTAGTAGTAGTAGTAGTAGTAGCAGGAGTAGCAGTAGTAGTAGTAGTAGTAGTAGCAGTAGTAGTAGTAGTAGTAGTAGTAGTAGTAAAAATGTTGGATTTGGTGTTAATTAGAGATGAAGCAATTAAACTCAAAACTAATGAGGTTTTTTCAATAATAACATTTGATAATACTAAAACTACCAGCTGCTGTACACAGACATTGGGTTGTGAAATGTGATTCTCAGATACAGAGTTGGAATTACATAAAAAATAAACAGGAATTATGTGAATATCTCATTTTCTATGGTAGAAAATGAAAAGGGGCTGGTGCTCTGTGGACTGGGTGCAGCTCTGACTGCCACCCCCCGACCCAGAAATGGATTAAGGGGAAGAAAATAGATGGATGGATGGAGAAAATGAAAACGCTGTTAGAATGCACTGGTGGCTTCACTTATCTTACTCCAAATAATCATTTTCCTGCTGTAGAACTGATAATGGCATCGTTCATTCTTTCGAAATCCGATTTTATTGAATGCAAAAACTATTCAGTAATTGACAGATAATTTTCAGCCGTAGCACTGATCCATGTTCATAAACTGTAAGTGTGATGTTGAACTCATCTTAAAGAATCTTTCTCCCACAGATCCAAAAAAACAAACTCCGTGAAGTGGCGGAGGAACAACTCGGGCTGAAGTGACGTGTGCTTCACTGATTCTTTCTCGTACATGATTTTACTCACACTATATTCCGGGTATTTGCCACATACAAAGTGCTAAATTGTGCCGTGAGAGGTTTTTATTCAGGTTTTTATTTTTTTACAAATCATGTGGAACAAGTGAACCAAACCACAGTTGTTTTTAAGATCCAGAGCCATACAATATTTTTTCTACATGAAATAAACTTTTATTGCTTTATTAAAACCAGGCATGGGCGTCTCTGTTTTACGGGAAGAGCAGGGCTTTTTTATTGATCTGGATGGCAGGTGCTTGTACCTTTGAGCCATAGGAATGTGATTGAGGCTCGTGCACGCTAACACAAACACACACTGAACATGAGAACATTGTGCAGTAACAAGTGGACATGTGTAAGAGCCCACTTCAACCCAAAACTCTAAAGAATGTGCTCCTGGTCCATGTGCCTTCCACCTGACGCCGGGCGCGAGGATTGGATGTCGTTTTCTGTCTAGACCTGAAAGATTCAACCCAGAAATAGCTCTTTAAAAGCCCGGGCAAAACAAATAGTTCGCTCAACACCGACGGAGAACCCCAAGGTTTATTTAAGATTTTTTATTTTGCATATTTTCAGGCTTGAACAAAATCCTTCAGGATGTGGTATGCGAAAAGCAAGCGCCAGATATATCAGCAGCCAATTAAAATGAACTTGTACAGTGGCATTTGCCGGGTACGTCTGAGCCAGAAGAATGTACTGTACAAATGGTTTGAAAACAAGAGTCTGGGGGAAATTCAGTAATCCATCTTTTCAATACTATATTTTTAGTGTCAAGTGATGTTTTTGTACACTTTGCTTATTTTAAACACATACTGCAATAATATTGAAACTATTTTTGTTTAAACTGTATTGTTTAAAATACCTACTGCATACCAGCTCTATTTGACTTTGGTCTAAAAATACCCACACTTGAGACTGAAGGCCAAAAATATATTTGTGTTTAATTCAAGTTGAATCTGTCTTTGGTGATAACCTGATAGAGCGTTGGAAGAAATCCGGACTCCTTTACATTTACAATACAAATGAAATCAAGTCCTATAACGTACTAAACACACCACAGACAAATGTCATACCGGTTTCAGATGACATCACATAAAAGCACTTTCTTTTGAAAATTACGTTAGATATAATTGCTGCTCTCTGCTCAAACTTTCCCCCACTTCTTCTGGTTAATTTTGTGGTGGCTCTTATACCTTGCATGTCCAAACTAAGGTCCACGGCCCAAATGCGGCCTGCTTTGTCATGTTATGTGGCCCTCTGCCTTACTAACACAAACACAAGCCATTGAGGTAGTTTCACAGTGTCATCCAGCCAACCTCAGCTTCACCAACATAGTCACGCTTACCAGTAGTGATGTGTATATACTGGCATTTGTTTCTGATAGTGTCACCAAATTCCATATACAGCGGTTATGTAGTAGTGCTGAGAATCCATTAGGCAATTAGGATATATTATGACTCATTTCAAAGCTCAGAACAGCCAGAATCATGTCAAAACTATTATATAATCTCTGTTGTCAGTCCCGGGACAAGTCTGGTTAAATAAAGTGGACATGAAGCATCAAGGTAAAATGTATTAATACTTGTATAATTACACCAAGCTCTAGAAATGAAAGTTCTATTACAGTCCATGTTTTTCGGACAACATTAGTTACTTGCCAATACAACAAAAAAAAGGAGTATGACAATATTTATTCTTTAGGGAGTGGTATCCCAAGCGCCGTCTGCTGCTGTCTCTGCATTTGCTGCTCTGCCTGTGCCACCTGCTCCCTGCTGCAACAGTCCTGGAGAAAAACTGAGGCCAAGTTCCTGAGGCGCGGGCTTTCGGACAGAGAGAAGCGCAGCATGCAGTGCAGTACTCCCGGCTGCGTGACTTCAGAGCGAGAGTTAGCGGTGACCAGATTCATGAGGGTAGTGATGGCCGACAAAACAGTCTCTTCATTCCGACTTGATAAACAATTTATGACCAAGTTTATTCCGTCATTTTGCAGAATAAAGTCTCTAAGTTCAGGCGCCATGCTCAAGTTACACAATCCTCCTTAAAAAAAAAAACAATACAATTAATCAGGATATTGTGCATTTCATGAATGGGGTTTTCATTTGAACTCACCCATGCCAAACTCTACAAAGCTCTCATTCTCTTCAGTCAACATGTCCAAAAAGAGGTCAATAACTTGCAGATCCCTCAGATGATCATAGTTTTTTGGGTCGTATGAGAAATTTGCCAGATTTGCAAGAACTTGCTCTTTAGCTTCTGGAAAACAAAGTATTAGTTAGTTTATTGTATTAGTTTCATAAAATGATCACACAGCACAAATATTTCAATGTATAAAAGATGGGTAGCCAAAGCTTTTTAAAACTATGTAATAACATCCATGTCACTAGTTTCTGACTCTAAAACGATTTGGTCAGTAGTTTTGGCATGTGTGTTTTGGGCTCTAGTCACATCTTTAGATCAGACTTTTTCAGGAAAAAAGTGAAAAAGAAATGACCACCCTTACTCAGCCAATCAGCTCTCAGCCCAAAGAGTCAAAGAGTGACTCACAGGGCTGATGAAGACAGCATGTTGTGGTAAAATTAGTTCACAATATTGTACTTCGTCAATGACTCAACAGTAGGGATTCTTTAATAAACAAAATAATTAGTAACCCCAACATTATTGGGGAATAACCGTATAAAGCGGTAGCATGCATATTCCATAGACCTCTATGGATCTGCCGTATAACACAATACAATAACATTACACCCGTAACTGATAACATCCTCTTCCCGAAACCCTCGTTCGTTTCTTTACCGTCACTGTCCGTGTCTTGAAATTCAGTCACCAATGTCTGTAAATACTCAAAGCGGTCAGAACCTTTAGCAGACATCTCCACACTGCATTTGGTAAGTTACTTTAGCATTTTTGTATCAGATTAATGTAAACACCAGGACTTCCGTCACTATAATGTTCCCCCGGAAACCTCAACTCGCATAACAATAGTTCCACTCGTATTTAGAAACACGTTTATATGCATTAATTATTATGACTATGATATAAATTGCAAATAATCCGACAGTTATTTGAATGTATATGCCTTTTTGATAATTGTTTTAAGTTTAATACTAACCGGAAGTGGCTGTCTGTGTCATAAGTAAAGAGGTCACTACCACTGATCATGCTCACCGGAGTGTGCATGAGTTATCTAAACGTAACTTCATTATATCTGTGAAAATTCAACCTTCAGTGAACGTTGTGGACTTTAGACAATTGACAATGAGGCAATTGTCTGCACGAAAACGTTTGGCGAAGCCGCTGTTGTTTGGGACTCTGCTAATGGGACTAGCCACAGCTTTTGTTAACAGGTAACACAACTATGGACTGGATCAATATTTGTATCTTTCATTAGCTTATCGTGGGATTGTTTTATGCAATGTTAAGGTTGTCTTTAAGGTATACTAGCAACATAATTCCCGGAGAGACATTTGTCCTCTGCATGTGTCCTCTGTACCCATCTTTCACCTGGGACAGCTGTCAGGAACCATCCCCTTCACTGCAGTTCCTATGGGGCATGCTGCTGGGTGGTGGGGGGTCTGAGTGCCCGGAGGAAATCCTCTCATACATGGGAGAACATTGAAGCTGTGGCCCTCTTGCTGTGAGACAGGGGCACCTCTCATAATCTCCCCTGTACCTTTTCCAATTGGTTAAAATCCATCTCACATTTTATGGATGTGTGATGGCCCAAAATGATCGGTTGGTTTTTGGGTTATGTTCTATTGTTTTCTAATCAATGGTGATTTTCTGCAGGCAGTGGTTCTTTCAGGACGTGGACGGGCTGAGGGCGCAGGAACAGGCCAAATACAACGAAAAGTGGTTAGAAGTGATGGAGCACAGACAGAGGCAGCTGGCTGAAGTGGAGAAGAAAAAAGGAGGCATGTGAAAGGACAGAAAACTGCCCCCTGGACTTGATCTCAGTATTTTTACTCAAGACACATCAAATAAGTGCTTGTGTTTTGAAGGAAAGGAACCAGTTTAATTATATAACTTCAACTGTGGCCAGATGTCTGCTCAAAAACGTTGGCTGCATGAGTTATGTATTTTTAAATGGTGTTCTTTGCCAGCGTTTTTGTTGAACAAAGTCAGTCTGTGGTTTCAGATCAATACTAACTATGACCTTGGGGCCAAATGAGGCATTTAGACTATTTCTCAGGGCTCCAGGCTTAAAGATGAAGTGGTCCAAAAGAGGGTCCTCGAACCTTTTTATTTTTCATTATCTATGTTTCATATCTACAGTAACGTGTCTCATTCAGGTTCCTAGCCTAGATACGGGTCTGAGGCCAATGATTTATCTGTGGCCCTGTTTCATCTGTACTTAAGACTGTGGCCCTCTGTGAGATCATGTTGGCATGACGTTCACATACGACCATTGTAAATCACTTTGTGTGACCTTGGTCTGATAAAGGCGCTATTTAAATAAAGATTATTTACTTATTACTTACCATTGATCATCATACAATCGAATTCCTTCTTTCTTAGTATTTGTGAATGTCCAGCAGAGGGCAGCGTCCATTACCAAATCTGGGCTTGTAAAAGGTTTGGAAGAATTCAAAATATCAAATAAAAGTTAAACTTATGGATTTTTTTTTTTATTAAAACATGCCTGTAACATTTCCCGTTTGTCATAAATTTAAACATTGGACATAAAAAAGGAAACAATATTGCACATTAATAAAAATATAATTCAAATATCAGCCTTAAAGCCAGGGACAGCACACTGTTGGAAAGTTGGTACTTAAAGATCAATATGACCAGGAGTATTGTATTTACTTAACTGTTTATGTATTTATTCCAGAGATAAACCATGTTCCTGCTTTGAATCCCAATAATCTTACAGTTTTACAGTCTGTTTTTAGAACATTTTGGCAATGAGTACATGTAGGAAATTTAGCATCGGTTGCGTGGCACAAAAAGAATAGCAATAACAACTGCACTTATTGCTTTTGAAATAAGTCATTATGTGGTAATGAGGAGTTTTGATTAATATCACCCCACAGTGCGGCCTGTCAAACCCAGGCAGTCTAATATTGCGTGAATATCACATCATGTATAAAATACTCAGACGGGAAACCACAATTACAGAAAGTACAAACCACGTGTCGAGACAAAAACAGCACACTTAATTTGCAAAGTTTTGTGGTTTCTGGTTCAGTGCACCACACCAGGATGTGGGTGTGCTCTTCCATTGAACTGAGAGAAAGGTGCTGTTATCAGACGGCGAGCGGCACGAGGCCTGGAGCCGCGGCGGCCGGTGGAACAGTGATGGCCGGGTTGTTTTCAGAGTCTACTGCATTCATGGCCCTGAGAGAGAGGGAGACGGAGAGGTCAGATGCAAGACACTGGGTTTGGACAAAGGACACCCCAGACCAAAATGTAAAATGTCTTAACGTGGAAAAGTTAACAAGGGGACGACTATGAGACAGAAGAATGGATTAAATGTAAGTCCAACAAATTAATACGTTTAAAAAGAGCTTCTATAAATGTAACTTCACGTGTTTTAGAGATTCCCTTTATCTTCCCCTTGCTCCATCGTTCATGAAAAGACATTTTGATACAGGATGTCCAAACTTTCGCACCCCGCTATACAATGATGAGTTTATCTAGAAGCACCACAAGGAAGAGGGAACTAATCTACCTCAACTAATAAACGTTTTCCAGAAAATTCCAAAGATAACTGTCAGATTTACAGTCATAAAAAAAATGCAGATTTAGACAAATAAATGCTTTTTGGGGTCAATGTTTAAGGTAGAACAGGGATGTCCAAACATTTTAGTAAGAGGGCCATTTTAGTTAATCAGTCTTGACCTGGGGCAGACAACCTGGATTAAAAAAACTGGATTTGAGCTGGATTTTATATGGAATGTTGTGACACAATCATAAAACAAATGTCAGTATATAACGCGTGGATTCCAGAGTGTCAAAGTGCCACAATGGCCACTTTGTGTTAGCAGCAGAGGGCCGCAATTGGCCCGTGGGCCTGAGTTTGGCCATGCTTGAGATAGAATATCAAGCAATTTTCATGTTTGATCTATGAGATGTATGACAATATCCATCCTTTTGTGTGGTCATTTCTATATAACTATGCCACTTTTTAAAACATTTCTATTCCTGAATATCCCTGTGGAGATTGTGGTGTATTAAGAGCCGACAGCAGCAGATCCTGTTTTAATAAAAGGGGCTCTAAAGCATTAATAGCTTCATAACTCAATGAGGCCAGGGAGGGTTAACCTAATTGTGAGGACACTGGGATTAACACATTAGTGGAGGTCGGCAAAGACGGGCGTTCTGCATAACCTTAATCCCTAAACCGGACACAAAACTGCACGATAATGATAAATGAGACCCACGTGAGGTCAGACACAACAACTGCTGTCAACACTGCAAAAACACACATCCCTGGAGGGAAAGAGAGAGACGACGAGGATCAGGGCTTGTCTCAAATACATTCTTTTGCAGGTAAAATTATAGACCGATGCCACAGAGAGACTGGGAATTTGTTGGATCGACCGGCTGAGCTGCTTCTCTGAGGTCATCCAGTAGCTATGATCAGAATCTTTAGGGATCAGGTCTGAGTCATGCTTGTGTCAATAACTGGGAAATGTAGGCCAGAGCCAAGCAAGTGCGCATAAACTTAAAAACACATGTTGTAGCTGCCTATGCGGATGTGTAGCCAGTTGCATGCTTGGTTACTCGCAAATCCCTAGGTTACTTATACATCAACTTAACTTACTGCTACATTTCTTTCCCAGCTCCCTATCAAAGGGTTAAGAGAGATACTGTTGGGAGGATCTAAGACAGTACTGGATGAAAAGAGAAAAGACACCAACACCACAACATACTATCTACAACCACCACCGTTCGTGTTAGTGGAGAGGATATTAATGCTATAGCTAGAACTAGAAGCATCTTGTTAAAACTACATGCATCACCCAAATATTGAGAGAACGTTAAGGACCTGTGGCTGTGAGCGAGTAAAATCAAAGCCGGGAATGTGACCACCTCTGTCCTGTTGGGAAAAGGCAACAAAAGCTCAGGGCGAGAATTCAAAGACGGTACCACGGACTCACTACGGCATGTTTTAAGTGTTTCTAAGACAAATACAGTTAGTTTAAAACAGTGAGTGCCTGTGCTATCTCAAAAGAAAACGTCATATCCTAATAATGGGAAGTATGTTAGGTATATAAGCCGTACATCCATGAATGTCTGTTATTTTTAATGTCATATCATAACATCAGCCTGCCCGGGGACTACAGGTGGAAAGTAACTCTTGAGCTTTAACCTGGTACAATGCAGCTTTCCCTTTGTACACCGTCCCTGTCATCTTAAATAAATAAACTAAACTAAACTAAACTAAACATCTTAAAAAAACTTGGATCCAGGATTGCAATAAACTAAAATGTTAAACTTTTCCCACAAGATTTTTACCATTGTCTCATGGAGCTACAAAGTGGGCAGAGCTTAGATTTTCTGCAATTTCAAAATTCTAATATTGAAGACAAGATGGAACCTAACGATCTGCTCACTACTTTGACCGTTGTTCAGTTTCAGCTGGAAAAAAAACACACCATTAAGACCTAACATTAAGCTTAACTTTGGGGTTTTCAATGTTTAATATATTAATGTAGTGTAGAAGTTTGTGATTCAGAGGTTGGTTCAGCAGAGTCTGTTTATTCAGAAACTTCTAACATTATAAAAACAGGGTCAAGTCGGCCAGAAGAACATATCGAATAATGACAGCCAGACACTGAAGAGGACATTTTGTGTGTGATAAAAAACAAGAATATGTGTGTTACCACAGTAGAACTTGTGACCATTTCTCAGCTGATATTCCGCTAATAATGTTTTATAAGAAATTCTGAATGTCAAATTTTACTTCCAGGAACTATAAGCTCCACCCACATCGCAGCTGTTTAAAAAAAACACAACAGAACTATTCCTTTCTGCATCATAAAACTGCAAAACATACGTTAGTTTGTATAGACATGTAGATACGGACTCACGCTTTGTCAAAATAAGACGTATGAAGTGATTGTGCAAAGTTGTTGTTGGCGTTGAGGGCGTTGCTGTTGTCCAGAGCGAAGGCCTTCCTCGCCTTCTGGTCCTTGGCGAAGTTCCGACACGCCGCCAGTTTGGACTCGAGCGCCTGGAGGGAGACATCACATCACAGCATGACGCCCCATTTACAGTCACCAGGAACCACAGAGACCTCCGCCGTTAGAGTGACTCACGCCGACTTTGCGAAGCAGATCACTGACGATGTTGAGTGCAGAGATCCGAGCGGACGGGGTCAGCGGGGAGTTGCCGCCGTAGCCGTTGGATAGAGCTGCACGGGGAGAAGAAAGAGATATTAGAGCGTGGGTGTGTTCAAAGAGATAGAGAAGAGTCATTTTTCACTGCAAGTCTTGCTAGTTGCTTTCTGGAGGATTTGCTTGTCAACATTTTAACCGGTGTTTGAGAAATGGACTGAAAATGAAATATTGTTGATGATCCAGCTGTGAGTGTGTGTTCTTTGAGTTCATGGGAGTCACTGGAAATTATAGAAGCAACATTTAATTCTTCAATATGTTAAGGAATCTGAATTTTCCTTACTGTAGAACACACAAAGGTTATTTTCTCTGATTATCTTGACTCATCCAATTACCCGCAGTTTTATATAATTTACTTTTGGTTCTCTAGTTTGCCACCAATCATTACTAAAGCTGGGGTACCAAACTCTTCTTCTTTATTTGTCTCAAAAGAAATAGTCTTGCTAAAGTACTATGTCTTTTGCATTGTTGTAAGAAAGCCCTGGGAGTCACTTTGATGATATGGGCTGAGAGTTGATTGGCTGATCGAGAAAACAAGCAACTACTAGGATTTAATCACCTAGTTCCATTTTTATTGTGGTTTGAAAATTAGGTACCTCAGCTTTAATACTTGTACGTAATGAGTTGCAATGTTGGTTTCAGAATGAGGAGAATTGTGTTAGTAATTAGTTGTATGCACTGTTTAGCTGTGCATACAACTGAAGGATTTTATATTTACTCTTTTTAATGCATTGTGGCAATTTATAATTTTCTGTTTTTAAAATTTTTCGTGTTTTTTTAATGTATATGTAGATTTTAATGTTTATGATTTGCTTGCTATGACGTGGGTTTTGAGGCGTTTTGTGTGTTGCCTTGTGTAGGAAAGGCACTATACAAACAATAGTTGATTGATTGATAATTAACAAGTGGGATAAGCATGTTCCTTGTACAAAGCCTTGATCCCAGTGGACGTCTAAAGCTGGCGTGTACCTGTCGAGGCAAAGACGTTGTCCAGGCCTTTGCTCAGCGGCGTGGCGGGCAGAGACAGAGAGGCCTGCACCGCACTGTCCATCTTCACACTGTCCTGAGTGGGAGAACTGGGAGCAGACATCCTGGTGGTGTCGGCCTGCCTCTCCCGCACCGCCAGCTCCTGTCGCAAGTCTGCCGTTCACACACAAGACATTCAGGAGAGTTTGGAGACAGACACAGCCGGATACTTAAGCACGATTTTCAAGAGAAGCCAAGAAAAGACAAGAAAAATGGTCAATAATAACAACCTCTTGCTTCGTCTTTTAGTCTCTGCACAGACACCAGTAGGGACTCCTTCTCGTCCAGTTCGCTCTCCAGGAAGGCGTTTCTCTCGATGGCCTGATTCAGACGCTGTTCGAAGTTCTCCAGAGAAACGATTGTTGCTCTGAGACATAAAAAGAGCCACAATGAAGGTCAGATGCAACACTGTTAATGGGACAGACCTGCATTTCCCCGGGCACGCTGCCTTGGCACGTGGTCGTCATGCCTGATCGGAAACGCGGCCAAACGTGATTCCGTTATTGATCTTAATTAAATGCGTGCCACTGATCGATAGCACTCGTGTGATTGGCTAATTAGAACTAGGAACTGCAGTGTACGTAATTGGAATCATTACAGATCAAAAAAATGTATCATATGTCATTAGAATACAATGGATTGAGACTCTAAACACAGAAATGTATGAATGTCTTTTTACAGGTTTCTCGTTCTTTACCGTTTGGTCCTCTCCAGGTCGTCGTTGGATTGCTCGAGCTCGCGGACGTATTTGTGAAGCTGCTCTTTGATGCTGCGTGTTTGGCAGAGGTCGTCCTCCAGCAGAGAGATCTGTTTATAGCTCTGGGAATACTGCTGCTCCAGCTTTTCCTGCACGAGAAAGAGAGGACAGGGATTAGTTCTACTGTGGCGGAGACTTTAGAGATGTGAAAAGTGAATCAACTCTGGGGTTTTCGGCTTCGTTGGTTTTACAAGTGGGACACGCGTAAAACACAATGAATATTTCCATCGTGGCATATAGCAGGCATGTCCAAACTCAGGCCCGGGGACCAATTGCGGCCCTCAGTGTCACTTTATGTGGCCCTCTGCCTGGCTAACCCAAAATAGTCTATGAGATCATAAACACAAGTTCACTGTGTCATCCATCCAACTTCAGCTCAGCCAATATAGACCTGGTTCTAAAGCCCAGTACGTCTTTAATTCAGTCATTTACTTTATTTGCACATACTGTAACAAGCTGGTTTTTGATTGTGTCACAAATTTCCGTTAATGGTGCTACTGTAGCTGGTGAGATGGTAAAGATGTGTCATTCAGCCAACTTCAGCTCTGTTCATTTTAATGCTCTGAACAGTCCGATGCCAGTCAAGACCGGTTTTAACACATGTGATTTCAGCCCCTGGACTAGTCTGGTGAACTAAAGTGGCTACTAATATGTTTGGACACCCCTGGCATACAGGCATCTTCTATCACTAACATAGGAAGGATCTGTGATTTTGCCTACGTGACTGGATTGGGATTTAAATTATAGTTTCAAAAACAGTCTATTTTGTTTAGTAATCGAAAATACAATTATTGCTCTATGTGTTAAACTTGGAGACAACACTTTTTCTAACTACACTCATAATAAAAGTGGCCGAACTAAATTATGTATTATCATTTATGCATAAGTGTCCCCATGACATTACAACAACAATAGGTTTTCATTCTAATTTCTAAAAGAAACTGGATTTTTATGATTTTTTGCACAGTAATCCGTCTCAAAACATCACCCTCCTTCTACTACGTCCAATATTGCATGTCACGAGCGACCTCTTTAGTCCGGCTCAATCGGCTCGATACCAACTGACCTATATCCGCTGGTGCCACGCCGCCTAAAAATCCATGCAGCGATAAATCCCTTCACCTTGCACGTTCAATGGCTCCGGCCCGAAAATACATTTAGACACGATAGATATTATTTCTCGCGCCACACTTCTTGCTGGAGATTATGAGGGGAGAATACAGGAGACAGCGGCCAATGCATTATTTATGACGGTTTACGATCAGCAGTGGAGCAGCCATCTTGGTCAGACCAGGAGCTTATTGATGAGGTGGGGAAGTTTATAAGAAGTGATTACCATTTAGATTACACCTGACTCTCACTCGCAGCAAGACTCAACTGAGACTAAGTGAGCAAATGGCAGAACAAGATGCCATTGTTCATGTAAAACAATCTATCACCAGTTGTTTCGTTGGGGCACGGACACAGTGGGGGCCGTCATGTGACATCATTCATCTCAGTCCCAACAGACCTCGTTCAGAGAAAATTATGACACAAGATGACAACGTACACATCAGTAAAAGATTGCGAGGAGAAAAAAAACAGTTTATCCAGTGATGTTCTCAGGCTTGTATCGATGCTGACCGTGTGCAGCCAAGATCAGTATGTGTAAAGGGTAAATAACACCGTGACAGATATGGAGTGTATTTTAAATTCAAACAATGCCAGAAAAATGCGAGTCTTCTTGTTATTTTAATGTAATGTCATTTTTCTTTTAAACTCAGTGGGATTTTTCCTGGTTAATTAAAGGTAAAAATAAATATATAGACTAATAACTAAAGGCAGAGAAAAAAAATCATCTTTAAATAATTGTCTAATATCTGGATTTCTTGAAAGGAGGGTAAATGAGGACGTATCATGTGGCAAATCTTTTTAGTGGCATTATAGGGAAGCATTAGTGGCATTATATGACCTCAAACGGGAAAAACCAAAACAAAGATTAAGGTTGTCATGTAATTCTTCATGTACAATGTCCTCTTCCCTTTGTTTTGTGGCCTGAGTAAGAGGGCCACTTTATTTACCCAGACTTATCCAGGATATAAAACTGTTTGGACTGGATTCAAGCTGCTCTGGGCTTTAAAATGAGGAATATATACTGTATGTCCTTATTGATTCACAGCCACAGCTACATTAGCGCCATACATTGAAGTTTCTGACACAATCATAAACACGTATATATACAAGTAAAGTTAACAACTGGATTCCAGAGGTTTTGAGCTTTACAATGAGGTATAGCATCACTATGTTGGTGGAGCTGAAGTTGGCTGGATGACACTATGAAAGTGCCTCAATGACTTGTTTGTGTTAAGAGAGTCAAAGGGCCATATAACATGACTCAGTGGGCCGCATTTGGCTCAGGGGCCTTAGTTTGGACATGCCTGGTTTATAGCAACACCACATACAGCATGAAATGGGATAGATTTTGATAAGGTTATAATTAATACTTCATTAATGTAAAGGTAATAATGTAAACCTTTTCAACCCTACATTGATCTAAAACCTATTGGAAACTTTCATACGGACGATGCCAATGTTGCACATGCCTGGAATTCATGATAGCTATCTGCAGATTTCAAAATACACAATAAAAACCACGTAGAGTAAGTACATAAATGGCTCTTAAATGTGTTATTTTCACAATGCGGCTTCTCTGAGTTATAATATGCTCAGTGAAAGCTCTGTCTGACCTTAAGTCGTGTTTTCTTCTGCACATGTATTATGCATTACCGAAGCCCAGACTGCTGCCGTTACCTTGAGATTGTCCACCTCGTTCTTCAGCCGGTTGTTCTCCGACTGCAGGTCCTTGATGCGGTGCTCGGCCTGCCCCAGCTGTGTCTCCAGCTCGGCCTCCAGCTCGCGGCTCCCCTCCTGGAACTCCAGCAGCTCGTCCTGGGCGTCCTGGCAGCTGCGGCAGACACGGCGTTAAGGCAGCGACAGACAAGTCGGGACAGAAGGAGGTCATCCACAAACATCCCAGAGAATTGGTGATAATGAGAGCAGAGCATTTACCCACTCAGCCGGAGAAACATTTCATCTGGGATCTGCTGCTGACCCAGTTTTCAAATCATTTCATATTTGAAGTCAGTAATAGCATGAGAAGGCGGAACGTTTGACTGAGTGGTTAGCACATGCCTCAGTGGAAGAAGTTTCTCCCACCAGAGGAATATGGTCCGGTGAAGACCCTGACCCGGCTGAGCACCAACATACCAGAGACATGCTGGACTTCAGGACCTCTGCTCCTGACAGGCTGCCTCCGAGACACTGAGAGAGCGGATCCCTGAGGTTTCTCACTTTCACACTGTGTTTTAGAGTTGTTTCTTGCCGATGCAGGAGGGTCTGTTGGACTGTTGGTGGGTCTAACTAAAAGGACTGTGGTGATGATCCAGGACACTCTACATTCAATAACACTTATTGACATGGGTCGACTCCCTATGGATCTACACCAAAGAGTTCTCTATTCTTTGACTGTTTGATTCTCTGATCTGTGTTGGCGATTTAAACCATTTGTTATGTCCTCTGAGATAACTGCGGTTATGATTTAGGGCTATTCAAGAATACATTGAATTGAAAGTCTATAGAGTGTTGCAATTAATTGATAAACTTGTTGCAGCCCTAAATAAGTGCACATTTTTACTATATTCTAATCTAATAATAGTCTGATATTATTTTAAAAAGAACCAACCAAGTTACCAACACAAAACACAATTTGATAGTTTTTGATTCAGCAATATTTGACATACTTACTTTGTATTGATTTGTTTTTCTTTCACAATAAACTAGGTTATATGTCCCATACTCGTGCCTGTGTGTAAATGGGGGAGTTGGGCATTTCTGTGAAGATAAGGAGTTATTGATAGAGTAAAGGTTTTAGTACATATTAGTCCCTCTTTGTTTGTGCAGCTTGTGTGACAGAAGTCAGACTAGTTTTCCTTTTAAATGAAATAAAGTTGTAAAGCTAAAGGAGAGACGTGTGTAAAGGCCTCTGTTTGGGTCAGAGCCAGAAGCGCTGGATCTCAACATGTTTTCTGCCACGCTGTCTTCTAGAGGTCCGTGTGTTCTGACCTGAGCTCGGAGGCGGCCTGTTATGTAAGAGCACAGACAGACACCGCTCTATAAATAGTGGTTCAATAACCTTCAACATGTGAACCCAAAGTGCTGAGGAATTGGACCAAAACCAAGAAACCTTTTCACTTAAACTAGCCCTCACCTCAGAGCGCAGGAGCATGCACTGAAGATGGAAACATACAGGCTTTGTCAATTTGTTTGTTATTTACAGTGACTCAGACCTTTAACTAAGTGCAAGAAAGACATTCGGATAAGATGTTAACATTCAGAATGCTTTGTGGAATGTTTTTATTTTCTATTTTTATCGGAAGAGATGCCATTTTTTCCGTAGCAGTCATTTTTAACCATGCAACCCTCAAACATAATTTCACAGTCTGTCAAAAACCGTGTCGAGTAGCAACATGTCCGCCCCCTCCCAACACATTTAATCAAAAACCATTATAAAGTTGTCAATTACAGACATATCAGACTGCTTCATCAGCGCCAAACCACAGCAACGCTTCAGTATAATCACAATCATCAAAGAAGCTGCCGATCTAATGTGTTTTAAAGAGAAAAACCCCCCGATCAAAAAAGTTATTTTTACAGTGGCGTATGACAGGGGCATAATGGACCGATTCAAGATATTAAGCTCCACTTCTCGCTGCCTCAAGGTATATCTTTGTCTGACACGGTTGCGTAATGAGACATGGTACAAAAGAACATATTTCAAACAAGAAAAGCTCTCAACCTCAGAAGACAATAGAACACACAACTGGGGAATGATGCGGGAATTTAGATGTGACAGTAATTGTGAACTAGGATCGGGATCTTTGTGTAAAAAAGCTGGCGTTTTCCAAAGAGACTTTACGAACTCTGCTTCTCGGTACTTTGAGTGAGAAACTAGATATGTGTGCAATTGTTAAGAGCAGATTCTTCAAAAGCGCTGTTAACAAAACGCACAAAATCAGGGTTTATTCAGACTGTGGAGAGTTGCTTTTCCCGGACAAAGACACGGTGTAGGCTTCCGTGGGATCATATGACCATCACTAGAATAATGGGTGATAGAATACAAAGAAGGGACCCGTACAAACTGACACAACTCTCAGATCTAAAAAAAATACACTAAAATGTGGTTAAGTGGGAGCTGTTTACGTACCTCTTCTTGTATTTGAAAGACAGTGCCTTCCAGAAGTCGATCTCCTCATCTTTGGAGGAAAACTTTGGTATCACGTCCAACTCCATTGCAAACATCTACGGGAAACAAAAAAGCAGAAAATGGGAATGAAAGAAGACTAAATAATTCTAAACATTGAAATCGTTATCGTCATTCTCACAGGGCAACAACAACGACGGCAACAATCGAGCGTCAGTCACCGATCAGAACCTCCATGTTTAGGGATATTTATTAGTTCAATCTCATGTTAAAATGATTCCAGTAATTGCAATTGGTGTTTGCAGAACTTTTACCTCCTCAGAGTCAGTCCTTAACCTGTCTAAACTTAATCATTTAATTATTTAATCTTGTTCAAACTTGCCGTGAAGGAGAATTAATGTTATAAAACACAGATAAGAATCTACTCAAAACTATTTCTATTGAACCACAGATTGATGAAATAGTAATTAATACATGTCAAAGCACACACTGCAAATAACAACTCAATACCAACAAAGCAAATGGCCTCATACCAGGTATTTTCACCAATTTGGAAACAAAAGTGTTAAAACGTTGAGGTATTGTAAACTTCCAATGTCTATGTAGTGGCACACAATCCTATTCAAATAGAAAAGTCTCACTCTGGCCTCAGTTTATAGGTCACTGTGCAGCAAAGTATTGATCCAAGTGCATTTTTCAGTAACTCAGACCATTATTACGACTGTAGTGGCCCTAATGAAAGTACAAGTGCAAATGAGAAAGACAAGTTATGTAAAAAGATCCTGATTAGACTACCTGTTAATCCTTTCAACATTGACACTGAAGCACACATTAGCTTCTGAGCTCTTAATCACCACCATCCCCTGCCATCTCTGCTGTGAATGGAGTAAGATTAGACACTACAATGACTTTAAATAGTAAACAGTAAACAAAGAGGCTATACTGGCACTTTCTCATCACTGCACTGTGTTGAGCAGCGATGAGAAAATGCCATTTGTGAAGTCAAATAGAGAAACAATCCATTATTGTCTGGAATGTTCCTGCAAGAAATGATGGCGTGCAAACATTAAGAAGAAAATGCATTATATAACATTATGTATCCAACCATTAAACACAATGTAATGGTGTATGTGTTAGTTCCAAAGTAACAAATGATGACCACTGAAGATAATACAAAAATAGAAAAGAATAGAATAGAATAAAATAGAAAAGGAGAGGCTAGTATAGAATATAGTAGACAAGGATATGATAGGATTTGATAGAATAGAAAAGAATGGAACAGAGATATAGATTTACTCATCATCATTCGACATATGGTAGCCTCAAACACAGTACTATATGGGCGAATATTAGATAGGTATAATACAAATGGAATGATATAGATGTGTATAGATAGAGATACAGTTTAAATCACGACAGTCTTGATTATTTGTCAGAAATTGCAGGGTAGGCAAGATATCGAGGTCAGCTGTCAAAGCATGATGGTGCAGAGAGCATAGATCCATGGCAGACACGTCCATCCACCTGTGGTCGCAAAAACAGCTGAACCCTGAGAATAACGATCTATCACGACCCAGAACACACAAATGCACCGGGGACGGGTTTGTTTTACCTGAGCATCGCCTCGTCCACTAACATCAGTCCATCCTGGCCGCTGGTACACACGGATGATGGCTCTGTGGACTCCGCTTCAGCCTCTGGACACAAATATCCGTTTACGCCTCTGACACGGGAGGCGTAGCACCGTGCGTCAGTCGGAGGTAGGGCCTCCGTGCAACAGCAAATACATCTGGTATTTCGTATATATTCATTATATACTCATTCGTAAGGTAGGAAACAGCTAAACATTTAATATTGAATTTTAAAGTCGAAAGAAAGTATGTTGAGCACAGTAATCATCGGGATGTTGGTTATTTATAGACTATGGCCACATGGCTAAATACCGCCATCTGCTGCTCCGTCAGAGAAACTACATGTACATCTGACACGTGACCACTTCGCCTTTCATTTAGTCATGGTCATACTTTTTTTTTTTTTTTTTTTTTTTTTTACATTTTTTGATATCATAGTATGGCTTTGTACATTAAGCCACAACATTCCTTTGATTATTAAAATTATCAAAGGCTGAAATGAGCGTCATCTCTGAGCGACTGTTGCAGTTGCTATGGAAACCAGCACAGACGTAAACTTTGCGTCGTTACAATCATCATGTCTGCAATGAAGACTGGAGCGAACAGTGAACGATCTGGAGACGAGATGGATGAAGACGAGGAGCCTGAACACAAAACACAATCAGTGCTCGATGTGTATTTAGAAAGAGAGGTTTGTGTGACCTGAAGTTACTGCCAGATATCTGCAGCGTTAGATTGTCTGTAAATTAGACACGTTTTAATTATTGAATATGTATAAAGAAATTATTGTTGTACTGCTACTAAAACAGACTTTAACCTGTGACCATTAATCTAACTCATGAAGAAAAATCAGTCCAGGAGAGTTGACTTTGAATAATTAACGCTACTCATTAGATTAATAAATACTAATTGTTCTTTTCATCTTAATGCTAATTCACAACACAATGTAAAGTGAGTTTCAATTTATAGAATCTCCTGAAAAATAGGTTTCTGGGTTGTGTGCTTTATAGATGCTTGAGGCTGAGTCTAGAGACAGTCATGTTACAGAAGCAGGTCACGTCACAGGTCTAAGGATGATACAAACACATTTGGTCAAATAAATGCTAAGCTTATGTCGTATAGTATGTTTTGTTAACTGACCGTGGTCGGTTGTTTTAGTTAATTGTTTAATTCTCCACAGAAACTCCTGCATCAGAGGCTTTATCTAGTCGCTCGACTTCCAAAAGGAGGGAAAGACAGGACAGAGTTGGCTGGTTCGTTCAAACCTGAATTCCAAAAACACCTCAAACACTAAGTTAATACACTCCAAAGTTCATTCTCTCTCCTGTACCATTTCTTACAACTGCAAACAGTATTAGAATGTTAAGTAAGTAAGTAATCTTTATTTATATACCCGCCTTTCACAGACCAGAGTCACAAAGCGGTTTACAATTTGTTATTTTTTTGGGCATGTTATAAAGTTCAATATCTTTATAATTATTACATATTGTGACTCCTCTTGCCCAGCTCATTATGAAAAACTCAGTCTTCAGCTGAGTAAGAGGTTCCCTTTGGACAACATGACAGGCATTCTCTTACTCTACTCGTCATGTCTGATTCATGTTATTGAAGTAAGTATTATTTGAATGTGGTACAGCAATAATTTGTAGTTCTTCATTTTACGTCCCTTCCCTCAGTCATCTAGAGATGTTCTTTTCACTATTTTGGAAGATCTTATAGAGCTACAAGAAGAAACAGACTGGTAAAGTAACGTGCACTCATTTCTAAACTCAAAAAACTATCTCTGTGTTACTGTATCTCTCGATGGTGGCACACTCAGAATGGTTCGGGTCTGTTCGCAGTGTTTTACTTGAAGCTCCAAAGATCGTATTCATGGCACACAGTCCTCGCAGCAGGCAGTTTCAGCAGTGGAGTTACAAGGTCGGTGCACTACCAGAATCTGTAATAGATTTGTACTTCCTCCTCTGAAAGTTATACTGGTACTTTATGATATATGTATTTTTAGCTCCTGAATACAGAAACAGATCAGGCCGCAGGGAGCAGAGAATCTGATCCCACCGAGACAGAAACACTCATTCTTGAGATTTTGTCTTCTGTGACTACGGTAGCAAAGCAACTTGAACAAGCTAAAAGGGTTTGTCTCTTCTTATTACCGGGAACTTCTTCTTATTGTCCTCCATTTTCATGTCATGACTGTTTGCTCTTCAGACAGAGGGCGGACCACCAGTGAAAATGCATGGCCTGTCTCCAGATGTTTTGATCACTTTGACATACAGAGAAGATCTGTTTACGCCTCAGCAGTATCTGAACATGTACCAGTCACCTTTACACGTCAACCTGGAAATCTGTAAGAGACACTTTTAATGAGTGACTTTAACCTCTAACGTCTCTGGTGTGTGCCTGAGAGAGATACTGTACTTTACCAACCCCTGCACAGAAACTTCTCTGTGGGGCAAAGGCAGTTACTTTGTCTATGAAAGTCGATAAAGTTTTTAGTTTCATTAATAATCCATGTTTTTTTTATTCCAAAGAGTAAAAATGAACAAATCAAACCACAATAGACCACAACTATCACTTTGGACTATTTTTGACTAACTATTAATAATAATAAAATATATATACAGTGCCTTGCGAAAGTATTCGGCCCCCTTGAACCTTTCAACATTTCGCCACATTTCAGGCTTCAAACATAAAGATATAAAATTTTAATTTTATGTCATGAATCAACGACAAGTGGGACACAATCGTGAAGTGGAACGAAATGTATTGGATAATTTAAACTTTTTTAACAAATAAAAAACTGAAAAGTGTGGCGTGCAATATTATTCGGCCCCTTTACTTTCAGTGCAGCAAACTCAGTCCAGAAGTTCAGTGAGGATCTTTGAATGATCCAATGTTGTCCTAAATGACTGATGATGATAAATAGAATGCACCAGTGTGTAATCAAGTCTCCGTATAAATGCACCTGCTCTTTGATAGTCTCAGGGTTCTGTTTAAAGCGCAGAGAGAACCATGAAGACAAAGGAACACACCAGGCAGGTCCGAGATACTGTTGTGGAGAAGTTTAAAGCCGGATTTGGATACAAAAAGATTTCCCAAGCTTTAAACATCCCAAGGAGCACTGTGCAAGCAATTATATTGAAATGGAAGGAGTATCAGACCACTGCAAATCTACCGAGACCCGGCCGTCCCTCCAAACTTTCATCTCAAACAAGGAGAAGACTGATCAGAGATGCAGACAAGAGGTCCATGATCGCTCTGGATGAACTGCAGATAACTACAGCTGAGGTGGGAGAGTCTGTCCATAGGACAACAATCAGTCGTGCACTGCACAAATCTGGCCTTTATGGAAGAGTGGCAAGAAGAAAGCCATTTCTCAAAGATATCCATAAAAAGTCTCGTTTAAGTTTTCCACAAGCCACCTGGGAGACACACCAAACATGTGGAAGAAGGTGCTCTGGTCAGATGAAACCAAAATCAAACTTTTTGGCCACAATGCAAAACGATATGTTTGGCGTAAAAGCAACACAGCTCATCACCCTGAACACACCATCCCCACTGTCAAACATGGTGGTGGCAGCATCATGCTTTGGGCCTGCTTTTCTTCAGCAGGGACAGGGAAGATGGCTAAAATTGATGGGAAGATGGATGGAGCCAAATACAGGACCATTCTGGAAGAAAACCTGTTGGAGTCTGACCTGAGACTGGGACGGAGATTTATCTTCCAACAGGACAATGATCCAAAACATAAAGCCAAATCTACAATGGAATGGTTCATAAATAGACGTATCCAGGTGTTAGAATGGCCAAGTCAAAGTCCAGACCTGAATCCAATCGAGAATCTGTGGAAAGAGCTGAAGACTGCTGTTCACAAACGCTCTCCATCCAACCTCACTGAGTTCGAGCTGTTTTGCAAGAATTCCAGTCTCTCGATGTGCAAAACTGATAGAGACATACCCCAAGCGACTTGCAGCTGTAATTGCAGCAAAAGGTGGCGCTACAAAGTATTAGCACAAGGGGCCGAATAATATTGCACGCCCCACTTTTCAGTTTTTTATTTGTTAAAAAAGTTTAAATTATCCAATACATTTTGTTCCACTTCACGATTGTGTCCCACTTGTTGTTGATTCTTGACAAAACATTTGATTTTTATATCTTTATGTTTGAAGCCTGAAATGTGGCGAAATTTTGAAAGGTTCAAGGGGGCCGAATACTTCCGCAAGGCACTGTATATATAACTGGGAGCCTCCATGAATGCTTGTGTGTAAAAATAGCCTTTTTAAACTGCTTCTTTTTATGCAGTAATATGCTCCCACTGATGACTGCTGTCGTTGTGTCCTTGGGCAAGACACTTAACCCCACTTTGCCTGAAGCCCCCACTGAAAGTTCAAGGCTCCTGTGGACTCAGCACCTGCAGGAGGATCAGTGAGGGGCTGGTGCTCTGTGGACTGGGTGCAGCTCTGACTGCCACCCCCCCCGACCCAGAAATGGATTAAGGGGAAGAAAATGGATGGATGGATGGAATCTTAATCTTAAAACAAAAGAGAGGACAGTCTATTCAACACAACAGCCTTTGTCCTAGAGTGAAATATGTCGCTTAAACTGACTTTCTACAAGTTAAGAAACCTGCCACTGTTTCTTTGTCGGTCTAAGTTGATTATAAAGATATCATTTGTAGTTTACGACCACAGAACATGTTGGTTTGAAGGTTGTTTGTTTCCCGTGTGAATTCTTGAACACTATTAAGTCGCTGTTATGCATCATCTGCAGTCCTGGAGCTTTCCACGCTGTCAACACTGGTCACTTTAGATGTGATTTACTTTGCAAATCAAAAATCTAATCAAGACTTTTTATGTCCCTGCAGAGTGTCTTTGACCTTCACCGGAGCCAGACTACACCTGACCGGCTGCAACGTAAAGAAACTAAAAAGCAAGGATTACAATAAACTACAAGTGTACTTATAATGTTTTATTTTTCATATGTTCAATTAATTTACCAGAAATGATACAGATACACAACTGATTTTTTAATCTGCTACTAAAATAATGTGTGCTCCTGCTTGGTACTAATAAACTGCTACTAATTTATGACTTTATCCACAATGACACCAAGTAATTTAATTTTTGTTAAGAGGGTTATATATTCTAACCACATATCGAGGCCACAGACTGATTGCTTAAAAAGTAGAGTGTATCGTGTTTTCAAGTACAGCACTAGATTAACGTTAGCTTTAGCTGAATTTACCTTGAAATCGAATAATGAAATAGTTTGTGGGTTGCATGTGGATTTATTGTTGTGTAGCTGTAGTCTTAAGCTACACTGCAAAAAGTGATGAAAAATAAATCAGAAATTGCTCAAGTTTGGCAAAAGAGCCTTAAAACAAGATTTGCCAATGGGACAAAGCAAAATGATCTTGTTCTAAAAAGATTCAAGAAATGTCACACTTGGAATGAGAAAATAAAGAAACAGTTCTTTGACTAAGACTAAATGGCTTTGTCCCAAATCTTGTTTTAACACAGTCAGAGTGAGCTTAACAACACATCAAAAACACGCACACCATTATGAATGAATGAAATATTTATTTCAAAACCTGCACACATAATTTTACAGAAAACAAAACAAAAGCAAAAACACGTACAGGGATTGAAAAGGGGTTGGAGGAAGCAAAATGCTTATATTAATCCAACCCCCCTCACCCAGACTCACAGGACAATCAATAAGACGGAAACAATACCATGCTGGGTAAAAACACATAATACAAATGTTTACTGTACAGTACATACAGTAAGAACAATACAACATCTACAACCAATGGTATGGGACACGCACACACACTCACACACACAGGCCCAAACCCTCCCTCCCTGACCATACACCTCTCTCCTCCAACTGCTCAGTGCTGAGGGCATCAATCTCTTTCCTCCTTGTACTTCTTCATTATTTCTTTTTTATAAACTCTTTTAAATTGAATCAGGTTTGGACACGTTTTAATTTCATCAGATAGACTGTTCCACAGAGTAACTCCACACACGGAGATACACATTGATTTTAAAGTCGTTCTAAATTTAGGTAAGTATAGTTGTTTGTTTCCTCTTAGTTGATACTGATGGTGAGCATCTCTATCATGGAATAGTGTTTGCAAACTCTGTGGGAGGGAGTTGTGCGATGCCCTAAACATTATTTGAGCAGTTTTAAATTGAATCAAGTCTAGAAGTTTGAGTTGTCCCAAGTCTAAAAATAATGGGTGTGAATGATATCTATAGTGAACATTTGATACAATCCTAATAGCCTTCTTTTGCAAAGTGACTAAAGGCTGTAAGTGAGACTTGTAACAGTTTCCCCAAACTTCAATACAATAAAATAAATATGACATAATGAATGAATGATACAACAGGAGTAGGGCACGTGTGTTCAGTAGCGGACTCGCTCGCTTCATCATTCCGACACATTTAGCAACCTTTGTTCTCAGGTAACTTATGTGGGGTTTCCAATTGGTTTTTTCATCTATTATAACTCCTAAGAAGGCATTTTGTTTGACTTTCTCAATTGGTGTATCATCAATTATTATTCTGACTGGAATATTACTATTACGGTTGCCAAAGAGCATAATTTTGGTCTTTTTTTAAATTTAGTGATAATTTATTACTATTGAACCATGTTTTTACTTTGTTCAATTCCACAGTTACTGTAGACAAAAGTTGCTCCAAATCGTCACCTGGACATATAATAGTTGTGTCATCAGCAAAGAGAATGAATTTCATCAACTTTGATATTTTGCATATTTCATTAATGTACAATATAAATAAAGTGGGTCCCAATAATGAACCTTGTGGTACTCCACAGGTTATGTTCCTATAACTCGATTTGTCTTGGTCGATCTGGACAATCTGCTGTCTCTCTCTCAGGTAGCTCTGCAACCATTTATTTGCCAATCCCCTGATACCATAGGCCTCCAGTTTGTTAATCAAGATATCATGATCGATGGTATCGAACGCCTTTTGAAGATCAATGAAAATTCCGATTACAAATTTATTTTTTTCAATTCCATTTGTTATCTCCTCAACTAAGTCAATAAGAGCAAGTGATGTAGATCTATTTTGCCTAAACCCATACTGACTATCAGACAATAAATTATGTCTTTCAATAAACCCACGGAGTCTTCTATCAAATAATTTTTCTAATATTTTGGAAAACTGAGGCAGAAGGGAGATTGGCCGATAATTGGTGAAGCTGTGTTTGTCTCCGGATTTGAATATGGGGATTACTTTTGCAGTTTTCATTTGTGATGGAAAGTTACCAAGCTGGAAAGATAAGTTACAAATGTGTGTAAATGGTTCAACAATTTCTTCAGCAACACTGCGTACTGTTTTCCTGTCAATGTCGTTTATGTCTTGTGATGTTTTGTTTTTGCATTTTCTGATCAAATTCAGAACTTCCTTCTCGTTTGTGGGAGTGAGGAACATGGAGTTAAAGTTTGTTTCAATGAGCCCCTTTGACTGTTCGTTGGTAGAAGGGATTTTTTTGGCCAGTTCTGGTCCAACATTAACAAAGAAGTTATTAAAACCATCAGCAATCATTGTTTTGTCCCTTATAATTGTATCGTTCTCCACAAAGTACTCTGGATAACTAGGGCTGCTAGAACCACGACCAATAATGGTGTTCAACACTTTCCAAATTCCTTTAATATCATTCTTCTTTTTAATTAATAAATCATTATAATATTCTGTTCTACTTACTCTCAATATGCTGGTTAATTTGTTTTTGTATTGTTTATACCTTTGTTCAGTCTCTATAGTTCTGTGTCTAAGGAATAGTCTGTACAGGTAATTTTTCTTTTTACAAGAGTTGGCAAGCCCTTTTGATATCCAGGGAGTTTTTGTGTAGCGACTTGTTGTGCACTTTCTGGTTGGACAGTATTTGTCGTACAGTGTAGCAAACATTATTGTCTTTTGTGCAGTGTATTTTTGTTCGTATAATACCTTGAATATTCTCTCAAGAGCAACCAAAGGCAGTAACAGAACAACAGCAGCGTGATGTAAAAACATATTTAATAGTTTAAACATTCGGATGAGGAGTACTTTACACACTGCGTCCACGCTTATGACCAGGAGAAAACAAAAAAAAGATGTCCCTCTTTTCAGTCCATAGCAACAGTTTGACACAAGAACCATGTTAGATCTAAACCTTGTGTGGCTGTTGACTTTGGCCCTCGGTTCCTTCATCGGCAGCATGCAGCGGACGTAAAGTCATGAAAAGCCAAATTCATGAATGCATTGATTCGACAACATGTGCTTTCTGTGACAATTGCAAAACAAATGATGACACTCAAATCAGAGCAGGAATGGTTTAGTCTTCTCTTGCAAACTCCCATCATTTATAAAAATAAATGCGATCACATTTATTTAGGACCAATGATGAGACAGTTGTTCATTTCATGGTTAAAAAGCATGCGTCTAACTTTCACCCAGAACGATAAGGAATCATACCCCGACCCACCCGCTCCTTTTACCATTTATTCTCTGGACACGTTTCAACACAACACATGATTCAAAGCGGCTCCATGACCGTTACATTCCACCTATTAGTGTAAAAAAGGCCTTTGTTTGTCCGTGTTGAAAGGGCGCCATGCTTCCAAAAGCTGTAATACTGAAGTTTGTCACCGTCTGTCTCTTATTGTTCATAAAGTTGTTTTGAATGGACATATTTACAAGTTCTTTACCCTTTAGAACAAAACAAAGAGCAGCACATTGTAAAACACAGATTTGGACGAAGACAAGACGACCATTCACCTCAGCACAGCCAACGACAACACGCACATTTGTGAACAGTGAGCATTTTATTTTACATTTTTAAAAACACCAGTGTCTCATGCGGATCACCACGAGGCTGTTATAGAGTTGGGTTTGATATCGAGTTTGTGGAAGGCTTTTGATTTTCATCGACTGTGAAATGAATGGTCTTGAGCTTTCTTGTTTTGATTTGCTTCTGTTCTGCAGGATGGAGCGTTGACTGATCTGATTTCCCCGCATTGCTGACAAACCCTCAGTCATTACAGAGATCAGTTATGACGAGGTGAGTCCTATTTGAGGGTTAGTGTAAGTGCACATTGCTCAAACATATGTTATTTTATAATTTAGATTAGGGACCACACTAATCAGTTTTTTTGATTGTGTCTTATCTCTGTCTATAACATGTGACCCGCTGTGTATCTGGTGTGACCTATAGTTCCTGCATGGACACAAAGGCAGTACCGGGAAATCAGATCGCCCGAAAAGCAACTACATAAAAAGTCAGTGCCATAAAATATACAAACATTAGCAAATTAAGTTATTAGAACTATGTGACACTAGCAACACGGTGCTAGAACTATTGTATTGTCATATTGTATATTATATTTACACTACAATGTTGCTGTCAGCATTATATTTTCTGTATATTATATCTGTAAATATTAAATGTCTCCCTTTCACTATATACACAACATTTATGTACAGATACTATGTACAAAGCTGTAGTGAGTATAAAACAGAACACAGTGACTTTGAGTGAAGCCGTTTCTTACACATAGAGATGGATACAGGCTACACTGACCTCGTTTGTCTTCTGAATACATCAGTCTGGTCCCAAGTGATACGATCCCTCCTAAAAGTACTGTAAATATATTATTCGGAATATTCTCTTTAAAATAAACACTTCTGAACCCATTTCTGAGTCACCAGTAATAAGCAAAATATCAAAGTCTTAAAAATGCTCTTTGGAGGGCGCCATGGAGGCCGAGCACAGCGTGGACTGGATATAGCTGCTGCTTGTGGGTAAAACTTTTTCTCTTGCTGACAAAAATATTCCTTTCCCATCGGACAAAGTATGTGTTTTTTTGTAGTTGCTTGAATATACAGCAGAACTTTTCTCTCGCACTTATTTTTAGTAACTCTGAAACTATGTCTACGCTGCATTGTCCGTAAAAGGAGAAACGCATGTTCCTCTTGTAAAATGATATAGTCTGGAGCCTGGACAGAAATGCGTGAATAATTTGCGGATGACGTGGGAGTCCTTTTTCCAAACTGCGTACGATAAAGAAAAAACATATTTCCAACAACATGCATAATCACACTGACTATAAAGTAACAATGGCACACATCAGGGGATTGCTGCCGCCACATTTTAGTGCTCAAGCTTTCTACGGATAACCCTGAGAAAAAAGGACAAACCAGCAATGGCAACGTAGGTTTTTAACTCAAATAAACTATGTGTTCGTTATTCTCAGCAAAGAGCACTTGGTCCTTTGAGCAGCGGTAATCCAGTATGTGTGATTTAAAGGCAACATTGCAAGTGATTCAAATAAGGCAAACCATAAATAAAACCATTCAAAAAAAAATCTATGTGCCACAATTAAAAACCAGCAGGTGATAAAAAATAAAATAAAATAAAAATTTGTCTTGAACGTCCGTAGTGCACAGGTGGAGATGAAGCCGTTTTTAAGGCTTTAGTCAGTGATGTCATAGCACTGTGCTTTCTGACTCCTCCTCAGACTCCGCCCCCTTGTGGCTGAGGTCGTAAAATGTCAATGAGTTTCTGAAGTTTGAGATGTGAGGAATGTCAAAAATACTGTCCAGCTCCATGTTGATGACTGGGATCTCCAGGTTGCAGAAAGAATCTAGAGAAAGCATAAAAATATATGCAATTTATTAAGTCATTTGGGGAATCTCATCTCTATCTTGTAAAAATAACCCTTTCTGCCCCCGCCTAAGCAAAGGTAACTGAATTCCCCTGTTAAAATGTCCCGTGAAATGTGTTTTCCAGTGTGTTCTGGTCAAATACAGACTGCTCTATCAACATTGTTAGGTAGCAATAAATCATTTCAAAACTCCCATAAGAAAAAGCTGGTTTGTAACATATAGTCTCCGATGTATCACAGAAGAGCATTTCAGGCTCAATAAACCTCCACAAAAACAAGTTATTTCCCCCCCGGCAGTCGAGGAAGCAAAATACAAAACACATTTCAAAGTTCTCTATACATTTTTTGTTGTTTGGAGTGATGGACCACTAGACACTGCACGACGGGACAGGTGTTGGGGGTGTTGGGAGTGAGGTAAAGATGTGGTTTGGGTGAGAGTGAAGCAAAGGGGGGGGGGGGGGGGGGGGCTGGTCGTAGGACATATTTAAGATGGGAAAATGTGTGAACCAAAAACAAGCCCTTTGGTTTCAGGTGGATGGTGAATAGTTGTATTTGAAGCCATGCATTAGTCTCAGGCACCATGCACAGGCTTAAATCCAAATTGTTATATACTGTACATGGGGAGTGCCGGACAGCCACTGCATGTAGACATGGAGGTAGAACCAGGGAACCATGGAGCTTTGTGTCAGAAAGTGGCCGTTCGTTACAGCTGAGAAAGTGTTGAAATGAATCTGACACAAAACGCTATGAGAAACTGGACTCTACTCCGATCGTGCGGTTGAGCTGATGTGTGGCCAACATGGCGGAGGAGTTGAAGGGTGGGAGAGGTGACTGTAACTCCTGCTTACCCTAATCTGACCCTCTGGCCTCATACCGCTGGAAGTCAGAGCAGTCGACAAAAGGGGACAGTTAATAAATTAAGAAGTGACAATACTCTGATAAATCCATAGTAAATCCCATTTGATATAAAAAAAAGTATTAGAAAAACATCTGAGGCAGTTATAAGTTTGAAATTCATTGGTATAATTTAGTTAAAGGGTGGGCGATGATTAAAAGGTTTCTCCCCTCACAAAACACATGATCTTTTCACACAAACAATATTACTTTTATTATAGAGCAACAAAGTGGGTGGAGTTTCCTGGCTTCAGAAGTAAAATTTGCCATTTTGAAATTTGGTATTTTGAAAAATGTTAAAAACTACTTGTTTGGAGCGGTTCAGCTTGTATCTGATGAGATCTGCTCTTCCATTTCAAGGAATCCTATGTTTTTTGAAACTTTTAAATTGCTGAAGACTCAAATTTTAAGTTTCAGTTGTGCTTTTTGGGCTTTAAATGTTGCGTTGTGGTTAGTAGTTATACCAGGAAGATAGTTAGCCCCTGTCATGTTTTCATACTACATACATTTGGATTTAGAAAAATTCCTATGGAGAATTTAAATTTTACTTCAGGAACCTGGAAGCCCTATCCACTTCACCGCTTCATTGGTTTTATGAGCGAACAACACCAAATCAGATTAATTGCCCGACCCTTGTTTAGCTTGAACTTAATTGTGTATCTAAGAATAAATCATGTTTTGTTTTTATACATAAAAATTGTCAGATGACATACACTTGTGCTTGAACGTTTACCCAGTAGGCAGAAATAAGGATCTTTTTGCCCATATTTCAGAGATTGTGATGATGCCAACTTTTACTTTACTCATCGTTAGTGATTGTGTGAAGCCAAAAATACAAATAAAAGAGAAACTACTCAAAACCATCCCCCAGTTCTCATAACTTTGCATTTCTTTAACACTTTAACATCTATGAAGCTCGGAGTCTCCCGTGGTAGTTGTTAAAGAGGTTCTGATTCTAAAGCTGCCCATTCTTCTTGGCAAAACACCTCCAATTCCTGTAAATGACAGGGCTGTCTTCCATGATTTGCATGTTATAGATCTCCCATTAGCGGCTTAATTATGTTATCATTTTAAAACCCAAAAAATGTCTTCACACAATCACTAACAATGAGTTGGGAGAAAAAATTAAGCTCATTCATGATCTCCAGAAAATGGCCAAAATAATGACATTTCTTCCTGTACTGTTTGTTAACTTCAAATGCACATTCTATGAAAGACATTGCACTATTGTCCATTGTAAAAAATTAAAAAATGACAAAACTACAAATGTTTTTCAAGCTCTAGTGTAGTAAAGACGAGATTACGTTGATGGTAAATATCAAAAACCATGCGTAAAATACCACGTGATGCTACAATGCTCACCTGTGGACATGCTCTCTCCCTGCGATAGTCCTTCTAGGAGCCCGCTGGAGTGGTCTAGAGGCTGAGGACTGGTCCCGGGGGTGCTGGGGGGCTGAGGCGGGGGCAGGCTGGGTCTATTCCGAGGCGGCTTGGGCGTGGGTCTGGCCTTAGTGAGGGTCCCGGCCAGAGAGGGAGGGGAGGAGAGCGAGGGCGTGGTGGCTGACTGCACTTGTATGGGAGATCCTATGGTGGCGTAACCTTGAGGGTAGCTGAAGCCGTACGGGGAGGGGGTGCTGGGGGGCGTGGGCGAGAGGCTGACCGGGGAGGGCTGACCTGTCGACTGGTCTGAGATGGCCCCCGACTGGGAGTAAGGGGGCTTAGGCGGGATAGGAGCGAGTTTCTTTGCTGCAGCGATAAAAGAAGAAACATTTAAAAATAACACAACTCTCTACCAGTAAATGCATACATACAAATCATTGCATATTTATTATACATAAAAAAAATGGAGATTCAAGAAATTATTTGCCATTTGCAGTAAAACCCCAATGGAAAAACTGTGCAAGACTACAACATTCTGTCTTTGTCTGATTACAAACATATCTTTTGCATACTAGAAAGAAAGAGACAAGCCCTAAATCACTGTTTTTTGCTTTGGGCTGAGAACTGATCCTCTTCTGTCTCCAAAAGCGGATCTAAAGATGTGAGAACTAGTGACTGTTTTGAGAATGAGGAACGAGTTACACATTTTTTAAAATTAATATTTCAGTTTTTTGTGATTCAAATTTTAGAAACCCCAGTTTTAACGTCCTTTTTACAAGTTTGGAATTGATTAAACATTAAGAAACTGGTGATGTGTATGGTCTACTTCCTAAAGACTTATTATAATTAGTTGATTACTGTAATCGCTGCAGCTCTAAATGCTACAATTGTCAATACATCACATGATCATCGAGCTGTGCCACGACAGACACCAGAAGGACAAAAACTCAAACTGACTGCAATTCATTTAGTAAATTAGTAAGTAACATTTATAAATATGCCAATTTTGAAAAATTATGAATCATATATAGAGTTCACGGAATGGTAATATATTCCAGATAAATCTCTAAATCTCACTTATCTCATATGTAATGAAGGGAAACACTTATTCTCTGTATCTTACCTCTTCTGAGTGAATGTGGGCTGTGTTCTGAGAGCACCGAGGGGCCACAAGAGGTCACTGTTCCCTGGAGCCCTTTCTGTCCAATGACTGGAGACAGCTCCTTGTTCTTCAGAGTACTGAGGAGGACATCAACAACCAGAGTGAGACATATTCTCTAAACCCTTTCAACTCTGCTCATGTGAATCTTTCCCATGTTCTCTACAGGGGCAGCGTTGGTACATCTACACATACACACATACATCTATTTATCTGATAGCGGCAGAAGCTTTTCAAAAACCGACACAAACCTGATGCTTAATGGATAGTTTTTTTTTACGGTGGTGCGCCGCCTGAATGCCAATGGGACGCGAAGGTCAGAACACTCCTAGACTGCACCAACTGCCTGCTATTTTATTACAGGAAACATGGAGGTATGAATGAGCATGGCACGTCAATGTAAAAACGTAAAGAATAGTGAATGAATGATGTCTTTCCGTGTTGCTTTGTGCCGTGAAAAAAAGCCTTGTTCTGGTCACCGTCGCCTCTGACAGCCTATGACTCATTAACGCCTACATTATAATGGCATTCGACAAAAGCGCCGGGTTTCCTTTGTTGCCTAGTAACCAGCTCCAGAATCTCCCGCCAACATGGAAAGTTGTATAGATTGCATACACGGCTCTTAAATTAAAGATGGGGAGGATAACAGAAGGTGCCAGCTCCTAATGAGTATTGATTATGGTTGAGTGACAGGTATCTCGACACAGGAAATAAGTTAGACGGTCAAATAGACGGATAGGAGCTCAGCCAATCCTTTTAGACACCGTTATTCAATTCAAATATCCCTCGAGACGTGAGCTGTGCGGTGTGTGGGTAGAGCCATAATGTGGGGAACACTGTAAAACCAAAAAAGTATAGAGACAATGAGAACGATTCAAGTGTTTTAACTAATTTGCATAGACATTATTAGAAGCAATGGATCACTGAAAGAATTCCTTATTTTGTGCACGTGAAGTATACATTGAAACTTTCTATGAAGGTATGAAGTTAAAATCATACGCTTAAGATCTATGGAATACTTTTGATCTATAAAAAACAAAACCAGCTTCTATTTCAGTTTATATCAATTGGCAAACGTTTTACATACAAGCTTAAAAGGTTCTTCAACTGTCCTGAACTTTGATTTACAAAAGGTTGATTTTGTCGTGTTGAGGTAAAATGGTAATAAGGTAATAATACAAATCTAACTTGTCTTTCAAAAGAACCACAAAGAAGCATGTCCTGGTGGTTTTTGTGATATGTTTTTGTTGTTCCTTTGCTTGAAATCTCACATAGTTTGGTTTAAAACATGTTAATTCCTTAATTGTGGATGATTTTAGAACTTTAACATATATATATATATTTTTTTTCTTTATACGTTTTTACAGTGACAAGAACATTTAGATAAACACAAGGATGAAGCGACTCGCCACCAGGAAATCAAGAAAAACATATGATTTTAATTTAATTTAGTATACAGTTCTTGTCATTCCTACTGTCTTGTAACTGGTGATGCAACACTGAAATTTCCACACAGTGCGACGAATAAAGCATCTCCTAATCTCAATCCTAATCTGCTTTTAGTTAAATTGCGTTGAGACTCCACTACTTGACAATTTTCAGCATGTATAGTTACCTATTCAGCCTGGCGCCTCTGTCTTTGGTACAGGCACAGGCCGACCAGGGAGGGGGGGCGGACAGGGGGGTGCTGGAGGGTCTGGGGGGGCAGTTTGGGAGCAGATCGTGGCGTGTGAGAACGAGCGGAGGTTTGATATAAAGGCTCGACCCGTTCGCTTCGGAGGCGAGGGGCGCATGCTGGGGTTCGGACTTTGGGTTAGAGTTGACGTCCAGAGAGCAGAAAGAAGCGGAGGAGAGCGTGGGGGGGCTAAACACGGACCAGCGAGGGGGGGGGGACGGGCCGGGCGGGGAGGCAGGCTCTGGGTACGGGGCGGTGGGGCGCATACCGGGGGGTGCTCGGGTGTAGAAGTGGTGATGGGGGGCGGAAAAGGCAGAACCGGAGGAGGAAGAGGAGAGGGAGGAGGAGTAAGGGTAAGGGGGCGGCGGCCTCTCCTCTTCAGGGGAGGGGTACGTGTAACAGGAGTCCGACCAATTGGAGGACGCATCGTCAGAGCTGCAATGATAGAAATAGTGAAAGGGGAGTTCAAAGGGAACAGCGTCAGATCGAGGGGAGTTCATTTCCTCAGCAGAAGTCGGGGTGTCGAGGCGGTGGCGCTGGTTTGACATTGGGGCCAAAGGGGAGTTCAGAGCATTGATATTTTGGGTGGGGAAAAATAAACAAGTTTGCAGGAATTAAAATAAAGTCAACATGCTTTAAATGTTGTAAACCAGAGCAGAGTGGCAACGATGCAGACAGAAGTTAAAGAAACAGAAACCATGCAATATTGCCATGCTTAAAGATGTAGAAAGAGAACAGAGCAAAAACAGCAAAGACATCAACTCTGCTTGAATGAGGAATACTTGATCTTGATTTGAGACTTTGACACATTTCAGAAATACGTATATTCCGGAAAAAATCCTCAAATCAAGATTTTAGTCAGTATTACAAACATAATATACACACAATATATTGTTTAAGTGCGTGTGACCATTCCCTGCTCATTGTATTTTGATAAGAATTGATAACGTCCGAACAAAAAGTTTAAGATTTTCACTTAATTTATGTATAGAATATAACTGCTGTGTACGTTTCGGGACTTGTTCAGCTTCATGGGAAATGAAAGCAGGTTATTCAGTCAAACTATCCATGTTCCAGAGTCATAAGCACTTAAACATCAGCGTTAGTCAAATCCAAACAAACAGAAGAAAATGACTTCACACGGAACAACACTGCAGCATCGATCACATGCAACGATCATCAAGCAACCGTCAAAGCTCCAGAAAACAACCAAAAGATACATGGAAGCAGAAAACTAAAAAGTTTGGTTCTGGGGAGGCAGGACGCAGAGGCAGGACGCAGAGGCGGGCGTCGTCAAAGTCAAGAGGGGTTTAGGGGATAAGTGCGCGTGACGGTGCCGAAAGGGTCGAGGACTGCACAATTTAACGCAATTTTAGTGAATGTAGTTAAAAAAACACAACAAATTCAATTTCTTTGGAGTTTTTATTATGTTTTTTTTTCAGTGTATTCTCATTACTGATCAAATTCTCTCCAACCTTTTTGAGCCGTGGCACACCTTTCTCAGTGCAAAAAATCATATGGTATACCACCAACTGAATTTGCACAAAATCTTTCTAATCATCTCACTGGACTATCTCCAAGGCACACTAATAAACATCTCAAGGCCCACCAACGTGCCACGGCCCACTGGTTGAAAAACACTGGTTTAAAGGAGCACTGGGATGTGTAAAAAGTTCATAGTTTTTGACCGTTTGGTGCCATTTTTATCACATTTGTGTCCACAGAGCTCTACGATCTATTGTTCTAATGTTGAAAATTAGTTTTGCCAAAATGGTGCAGCCCTATAGGGACCAGGACCGGGGGGCCTCACTCTGGAGCCTCACTCTGGGGCCTCACACTGGGGCTTACCTGGCGCGGTCGCTGCTATTGGGCAGAGGGGTTGGGGAGGGGGTGACAGAGCGCTCGTCGATGGGCGGGCTGGGCGGGTGCACGTGGGGCGGCGTGGACGAACATTTACGGGGGCCCCTGCGTGACACCCAGGAAGTGTCCATGACCCTGATGCCCATGCTGCGGTGGGACAGAGAGGCACAGCCAATCAGAGGCGGGACACGGCGGGGGCCGGGGAGGGGCGGGGTCAGGGCTTTACTTTGCTTTAACAGAGACCGCTTTTTACAGTTGTGCTCAAAAGTTTACACACAGCAAGAGATGTCTTTGTTTTGGCCACATTCTGTAGATTATGAATGATAACACAAACACTTTTTGATAACACGACAACTCATAGTGGTTTTGTCAATGTTTTCTATTTTCACATTACAATACCACAATCGAGCCAATCCGTTGAGGTTCATGCATGGCGGTCCAGGAATTTACAGATACTGGAAGCTTTTAACCAAGACGAATGGGCAGCTTTACCATCCGAGAGAACCTCATCCACAAATACCACAAAAGGCTGTCATAGATGCTGAAGGAGCAACATTCTGGGGGATGGAGATTTCCCATCAGGATCAAAAGACTAGCTTCTGTTTCCACCACTAACGACTGCTGATGTAAATTAGGGCCATACAAAATTAATCAAATCAAAAAATCTCCAAAATATGGCTAACATTTGGCTTTCTGCCTGGGTGTGTAAACTTTCACGCACAAATAGAATTCACAGTCTATCACTAATTTTATATGCCTGTTGTTTTGGCCTCTGTCACACACTGTTTTTCGGTCAACTTTTGCTAATAAGATGACGACAGCATCTTATCATCATCATTTTACTTTTAGAACGCTCTTTCTCTTGGGGCAAACTAAATGTGTTACATATGTAGAAATAAAAGTTGGGTACTTCACCTTTAATAGCACCCATTTCCCAGTGTATGCAAGTAAACAGTCGATCATAATTTAACATTTGTGGTGCTTGAAATTCATCAGAAAACAGAAATCACACCCACAGATGTGCATTTCCTTCAAGGTTTTTAGAATGTTGGATTTTTAAGTGTAAGATAGACTCTCAGGTTGTGTCATAGTCGTAAAAAATAACAAAAATAAGCAAACAAACTATTATTTATATTGACATTGAGTGTAAAAATGTGCAACATAACATTTCAGAATCACCAACTGACTAGCACTGTTGTTATAGCTGTTATTATACATTTGCTTTAGGACTTTCACAGAGAATCATGGGATGCATATAAGATAAAAATGGGTAAAATTGAGAAACTCCAAGGCAAGAGTGGTGTGAATGGAGGAGAACAAAACAATGGATGAGTGAAGGGTCCTTAAAACCACACGATTATCAAGTCGCCTCCGATGACGCAACAAGAGGCTATTGTACTGAACCTGTCTGTCCACTGAGCAGAGACCTGTGAAGATGGGACCTAAATACACACAGAATACTGCCTTTGTTATTTTTTTATAGCTTCATTAGACACACACAAAAACCCCCATCTGAAAACCAAGACGTTGCAAAAATGCGGGTGAGAGAAACTGAAGAAACCGGGAAGAATAAAGTACAGTACCTTTGGATCTTCCTAATGCTGCGTCGTTAAGAGAGAAAAATGAGGAGAGAGTGAGGATTCAGAAAGTTTTGCAAGCTTTAAGGGAAAAGTACATGGTTATATAGAAGCAGGCGATAGAATTATATTTAACATGCACACACACACACACACACACACACACACAGGCCCAAACACTCTCTGACCCAACACCTCTCCTCCATCGCTCCCTTTCTCATTGATTATTGAGTAGATCTAAATGTAGGCGCTTATATTTTTAGTCTGTAATCACGATGGGCCTCTCTCTGCATTAAGCCGCAGAGATTAAGGCACTAAAGAATCCAGGGCACTTTCTATACAGCAACCTGGCATCCCAAGAAGGTTTCCCTGCGTTTTTCTTACATTATTTTTGTGTATGCATTTCTGTTAATGTTTGTAGTCATCCTCTATCGCTTATAAAGTTTCAGTGCTCCCGCTTTTGTCTGTTTCACGTCAAATTTCTTAAAAAAAAAAAAAGGCGCCTAAAGGGTCAACAGAAAAACATGAATTCAACAATGATTTATTTCCAACTTCATTCCTTCCTTGTGAGCTGGTGTTACACTGTGTTGGGTATGTTCAGAAATAATCTAGTGGCTATTAACAGAGGCAGTATAGAATATGAAGAAAAACTGCAAAAGATCTTCTGTAAGGTTAAAGAAAAGAGAAGAAATCCACGTGCATTCATCAATAATAATGTGGCTGTGGTCCTGGCAGGGGGCAGACACCATCTCATGCCAAGTGTAATGAGCGGAGCACTTTTCAAGGGTGAAATGTGTTCTCCCCAAGGTGCTCCGGCCGATGTCGCGCAGAGTGGAAATTAGCGCTCCATTTAGGCATAATTAGGTCAAAGAATCCCAAATGGAAAGTGGGAAACGTGTAAGGTTTCACAGTTTCACTTGTTCATCGCTTTGGAAACAAAATCTAACAGGACAATATGTTCTGTGCTGTTTACAACTGGGAATTGCATAATTATTATAGCCGAGCGCATAGTTTTCTTCCATTACAAAACAGTTTAAAGTATGATGAATGATGCTAACTAAATGTGCGTACTAAATATAAAAAAACATTGAGATTTGATGCAGCATTTTTTGTGTTTTTGCGGTTGGTAAAAAGTAATAACCTCGCTAAGTGAAATTACTGAGAAACTATGTCAGTGTCTTTGCCAATTTACAAAAAAATAGTATAGTACCAAGGTTTACATAACAAAAATACGGTATTACAGGTATTTTTACTGCTAAAAAACTAAACTGAAGAACCATATGACTCATAGATATATATATACAGTATATATTTGAAAAACTGAATGCTATACTATGGAGTAACAATAAGACCCAAGCAGAAACTCTCCACCAGAAAGTCACGTCAGGGTCCTTTAAAGCTGGTGTACCTAACTTTCAAATCACAACAAATTCAGCTATGTAATAAAATACCTGTGTCGCTCTGGATCCATCAGTAGTTTTCAAATGCATGTATTTTTGGCTTCTACCACATCTTTAGATCAGCTTTTTTAGTGAAACAGAGAGGACCACCCTCACTCAGCCAATCAGCTCTCAGCCCAAAGTGTCAAAAAGTCACTGGGATTTTTCTTGAAAGTATATGGAAAAGATAACATGTTTAGATAAAGAGTGTGTTGTGCTCTTCACAGATGACTTTAAAAAATACTTTAATCTAAATATATTATTATGCAGCAAGAAAAGTTAGGTACCCCAGTTTTAAAGTCGAAACGCAAACCAAAGTTCATAAGCCTAAGCCAACGTAGAACCAAATGGTAAAGCTCTTTGTGTGACCTTGGCCTGAGAAAAGGACTATATGAACAAAGAATACTGACTGACTCACATAATAAAAAATATAAGGAAAAATTGGAGGTGTTATGTGCCTCAAGATACAATGTTGTTATGATCATTTTGTTGAAATCATGTGATGAAAAGAAGACTCTACAGTTTATCGTGTATATTTTATCATCAGTCTTTCTCATATGAACTCACTCTCCAGGCTTTTGTATCTGAAATAGTGAAAACCCAGTGAGCAGCAGATTCTTTGAGCTCCGAGTCTGTCCAGGAGTGTCTCTATTCAAAGCCAGGGCTATTGATCCGTCCCACTTCAGGTTTAATTAGCTCGGCCTATAGCCCCTACTCCCCACAGCGCTGATAACCCCGCGGTGTATTAGGGCCTTTGCAGTCAAAGAAAGAGAGAAAACGTGAAAATAAGTATAACATGGACTGGAGCTTTGAACCAATCCTGCCTCACAGCGGGACTTTCTTTTTGATCCGACAATCCAGCGATCCTTTGACAGACACGGATTGGAAGTTTCACTGAGGTCGACTCGCTCATGAAACTTGCAGTGTAGCACATGTAATGGAGAGAAGTCCACAAAACACACTTGACCCTGACATAAAGAAAACAGGCTGGGAACGTACTTGTGTGAATCCGAAGCAACAAAGACAAGAGACTGCTTCAAACTTGACAAGATTTCATGTCAGTCTTTCTTAACTAATTGTATATTGGCCAAATCCATGATGCTGGGAATAAGCCATTTAATCAGTTATTGTCTTGGCAATAGAATTATAGCCTATTAGAAAGCACTCTGCTCCGATCAAGTTCTTATTATTGCTCAACAAAGCAATAAAAATGACTTCAAAATCATTACACATGTCACGCAAAATTCTAGTGTTTTAACTTTTCACCATGTAAAAAACGTCCCCCAGTAAAAGCAGGCCGAGAGTCATTTAGCTTAATCTATGCTAATATCACAAACAGGTGACAAGTGCATACAAATCCTATTGAACTTCATAAAGTATTTCTCTATGCAAAAAGTTTTAAATCACAGCTATAGACATATTTCTTTGCTCTGGCCTTAAACTCAAGCTAAAACTGAAACTCTTATGATAGCGGACCAGTATTTTATTTTACGCTGTATTTTATTTCTGTGCATTTTTGTAATGTCTGGAAAGCACTTTGTGGCAGTCAAGTCTGTTTTCTCCACAAATGGATATTCTCTCATGTTTACAGACCATCACATTTTTTCTTTAAAGCCACTATGGAACAAGCAGGTGGAGGAGCTGGTGTCAGGCTACAGAACAGTAAGCAAATAGTAAGTAAGTAAATTATTTTTAAAGCACATTTTTACAGACCAAGGTCACCCAATGTTCAGAGTTGGTTCCAATCACTCCACAAACACTGATGAAGGAAGTTCCATTCAACACCATCCATTCACTCACTCATTACATTCAGACCTATTGTACATTTTTTTTAGTGGTAGGGGAAACCGGAGCACCCGGAGGAAACCTACGCAGTTGCCTTGTGTTTTAAATGTGCTGTAGAAATTAACCTTGCTTCTTATACCAAATGTTACATATACATTTCTCCATTGTAAGTTCAAGAAAGTCTATCTTATCTTATCTTATCTTCACTGAGGGGCCTGAACTTGTGTGTGTTGGTTTATTTGGTGCATGCAAACTCCACTCAGAAAGGCCCTGTTTCGACCGGGATTCGAACCCAGGAGCCAGAGTGCTAACTACTCAGCCACCGTGCCGCCATGGAAAAGTCTCTCACCCGTCTTTCTTGTAAAACTCCAGCATCATGTTGTCCGTGGCGACGCTGAGGGGCCGCCTGCACTGGTCGTTCTGTTTCCGCTCGATCTGCTCCATGTCCGGAGACGGCATCAGGCTGTAGTTGGCGTTGTGGTTTGTGTGCACCGGGCTGCCGTAGTTCCCAGTGACGTTAAACTCGATCTCTACAAAAACGGAAACACAATGTAAATATTCAAGGAGGATTTGTGTATTTATATGCGTTTGCAATTTTGAGATTACCTCCAGGGAAGAACCAGTCGGCATGTTGGATAATTGGCTCGATGATGCCGACGATTTGGAGGGAAACGGTTGTCATCATTTCTGTGATGTTTCTGTGGGGAACAGATTAATTACACCATGAGCCAAAACATTATGACCACATGTGAAAGCCGCCACATTATGACCGTCTGCGCGATGACATTTGTTAGTGGATTAGCATAGAGTTGTCAATGTATCAAATTTTGAAAGAATATTAAAGGGGATAAGGCTAGAGCAAGAACTAGGACAGCCTGCAGAGTTTATCTCGAATACTAACCCTTGTATTATAATCCGTAATTTCATTGAAAACTTGAGCTCATTGATTCAGCTTGTGTATGAATTCAGGCCGTAAAAAGTGCTGAGTAGAGACTTAGCGGGCCGCTAGCTCTCCTCCACTCACAGAACGAGCAGCAAACAGCCTGCGTCCTCTAGCCTCTACAGTGCTGGTAAACATTAGGGCTTTGACGTCAAAATTCAAATATAATTCGAAAATAAAAAGATATAGATATATTCGAACAAATATTAGACAGCCCTTAATATTGGAAATGTATTATTAGCCCCGTGTTATTATCCGACATGGTAGCCAAGCGCGCTTTGATGACGTCGCTGTTTACGTTACTGTTGCTCACCTGCCAATCACCTTATTAAATACTCTTACTGGCCCGGTATGTTTCGTACCAGGCATAATAGTTTTTCAATTGAGAAATGCCAGACCGACCTGCCCGCTGAAATTCCATGGAGGAGGGGCTAAAGGTCGGCTGGAGCCAGGCTAGAGTTCTTGAGCTTCATTCATTTGCTGCTCGTTCTGTGAGTGGAGGAGAGCTAGCGGCCCGCTAAGTCTCTACTCAGCACTCAGGGGAAGGTGTGTGCGTGTGTGTGTGTGTGTGCGTGTGTGTGTGTGCGTGTGTGTGTGTGCGTGTGTGTGTGTATACGTATGCTTTTTTAATATATTTTTTCACCTCTTTAGTTTATTATTAGTATTGTTATTATTATTATTCAATGCCATCCATCCATCCATTTTCTATCCTTTAATCCATTTCTGGGTCAGGGGGGGGGCAATCAGAGATGCCACCCAAGTCTCATAGCACCAGCCCCTCACTGACCCTCTGCAGGTGGTGAGTCCACAGGAGGACGGCTGCTCTCTGAGTGTGAGCATAGCCTTGATCTTTCAGTGGGGGCTTTTGGGCAAAGTGGGGTTAAGTGTCTTGCCCAAGGACACAACGACTGCAGTCATCAGTGGGAGTCGGTGGAGAAGGTGTGGAGGTGGGAATTGAACCCACAACCTTCAGGCCTGAAGGCCAATGCTCTACCAACTGAGCTACTGTCGGCCACATTATTATATTATATTATTCAATGTATTTTTTTTATTTTATTTTTGTTTTAATCTATTTTATATTTTTTTCTTTATTATAATATATACCTTTTTCCATTCTTATTTTTTAATTGTTATTATTATAATCATTATTATGTAATTTTTGGTATTATAATATTTGCCTTGTTATGTTTTTTAATTGTGATTTTTGACTTATCAAGCTCTAAAGGCAAAAACTCAGAACCAAAAATCCTGATCAAACAGCACCTATACTAACATTTCAACAAGCTACTGTGTGAGTTTCCTGTAGTTTGGATACTAGATATATATTTGGCCTAATTGAGATAAATGTTAAACTCAATGAGGCCAAATAGAAAGTAGTTTTAAGAGTTTCTGCACATGAGGCTAAATGCAAAAAACCACATCTAAAGTTGAGCCAAAACTTTGATGATAAATATTAGCAAAGGGACTAAGCTCACTGCTCCTTAATAGCTTTCGGGGGAAGATATATTTGTTAGATTACAATAGAAAAGATCCAACATTTGTTATTCTGCCATGGAAAGTTCTTTTAGAGTGTTTCTAGATCGACGGTGCATGGATATAAAGTCTTGCATGTGTGCTTTGAAAATGTGAAAATCCACGTAAACCAACTCTGTGTAGCAAAGGGATTCATAAACAAAATTATATATATTTTGTCTTATTTTGATATACATAAGTCATAGTCATGTATCACATAACTCATACATAAGTCTTACCCTTCATTGTGTGTCCAGAGCAGGTTGGGTCCCAGGACAATGGCGATATTCCCCGGTGTCATCTTGTTCAGTTCTTGGTATTCAGTGAGTTTGGAGAGGAACTTTATCAAATACCTGTTTATTAACACAAAGAATACAATACACAATGGTGAATTTCAGAATAAGCCATAGATTGTAGACGCTGTATGTGGAAATTCAAGATCGTTGATATGTGTAATGTGAGAAACTGCACTTATTGTCAAGAGAAAATTCTTCTGGATCCATAACGCCATATTAAGAATGATAGGTGTGTGTGTGTGTGTGTGTGTGTGTGTGTGTGTGTGTCATTATGTGCAGGGTCTGAAATGGGCCAGTGGGTTTGTGTGACGGTGGAGCAGCTGAGAGGAGGATGACTCATGGTGGGTGAAACAAGCTGAATGAACATCATGCGGCGAATGGCAATCACCGGGACAGGTATGACAGGTCTCCACAGAGCGCCGTCTAAAAATACTCCTGTACTCTTCTCTGTGACGAGTCCTGCAGTGTTCCAGGCGCTCGCTTTTGGAGGGAGACCATTGCTTACGATTGTAGAGGGGAGACAAACTCATTTTCATATCCTGGTGTCTGTAATGGGACTGGACTGGAGAGGAAAATGTTGGAGATATTGTCTAACAAAAATCTGCGTTTTGTGGAAGGGCTGGGGATATTGGGCCTCATTCACGAATAACTTCGTAAGAAACTACTGACCAGTTCTCGGCTGTGAGCCAAGAGCAAGGGATCTCTGTGGTCACATCTTCTAAAGCCCTCAACCTGCATTCTAGATGCAATCCCAGCTTGTCTCTTCAAAGACACACTTCCTTTGATAGTAGAGCCTAAATATAATAAACGCATCCATTCAATGTGGCTATGTCCCACAAGCTTTTAAAACCGCTGTAATCAAACCCCTCCTGAAGAAAACAAACCTGGATCCGGAACTACTTACAAGCTACAGACCGATCTCAAACCTTACTTTCATATCTAAAATCCTGGAAAAGCTGATAGCTGAACAGCTTTGCTGCCACCTTCAGGAAAATAATATGTTTGAAGTCTTTCAATCAGGATTCAGAGCTCATCATAGACTGAAATGGCATTAGTCAAAGTCACAAATGACTTACTACTAGCTGCTGATATAGGACAAGTGTCAGTGCTGGTCCTACTGGACCTTAGTGCTGCATTTGACACAATAGACCACAGCATTCTACTGCAGAGGCTAGTATGTGATATAGGTCTCAAAGGAACAGCCCTTGGCTGGTTTAAATCCTATTTATCGGATCGGTATCACTTTGTCAAAGTGAATCAAAACTCATCACCTCACTCTAGACCGGAATTCGGTGTACCCCAGGGGTCGGTACTCGGACCGATTCTTTTCTTGACCAAATGTGCTTTTCCTGAGGGGGTGATAGTGTCACCTCTCGCTGCCCTGGTGCTGGTCCTGATGTGGGGGCTGTTTCTGATATTTTACTTAGAAGTGGGGATGAAAGACCATGAAGGATTTTAGAGACCAGACTGAGATTGGAGAACTTGGTCCAGGGTTTTAACAGGCCCCGTCCACACGTAGCCGGGTATCTGCTAAACCGCAGATATTTTCTTTGTTTGCACCTGTCATCCACATGGCAACGCATCATAAACATTTACATACTGTAAATAAAACTCTGGGCAAATTGGAGATTTTTTAAAACTCCATTTATGCATTTGCGTGTAGACAGAGATAACCAGAATTTTACGTTTTCGCACGTCACAGTCTGCCTCAAAACAACAACAAACAAAGCTTGCGACCTCCAGGACTAAACCAGGACTGAGGACGGGGGTCAGTGCTTGTAAACATATGTCTTCACCATGGATCTATAATAATCTGTCTTTACCCTGAGTTTCTTCTGTGACTGTAAGTGCCACTACAGAAGTAGCGGCGTCTGCATCAAAGCTCCGCCCACTTCTGTGTTTTTCCCCAACGCAGGACGTCAGAGGACGCACATGTTGGAATGTTAAGAATGTGATTCAAAACGCAGATGTTCGGTTATGTGTGGATGCAAATTATTTTATGAACAGAAGGGGGGGGGGGGGGGGGGAGCTTGTAAAATGAATTACAAGCTCTGCAACTTAAGGCTAAGTCCTGGCCTGGAGCCAGGCTAGGGGGAAATATTCGGTTTTAAAAATACCCGGCTACATGTGGACATGGCAACAGTCCGTTTGTAGAGTGCAGGGGTTTCAGAGTTGTGTGTTTGCCAAGGGCCAGGTGGGGAGGCAGTATGTGATGTGGGACAGAATCATGGAGTGTACAAACATTTTAGCTGCTCAAGTAGACATTTTTGGCGAATGTGTTTTAAGTTGCAGAGCTTGTAATTCATTTTATTGCATGTTTTATATTTGTAAGTAAGTAAGTAATATTTATTTACAGTATATACCGCTTTTCACAGGCGAGAGTCACAAAGCGGTTTACAATTAGCGGTTTACACAGAGATGGGAGTGAGGTCGGCAGTACAGGAAGTGCATGCCCAATGTAGTATACATGTTTTTAGTGGTGGAAACCGGAGCACCAGAAGGAAACCGGAGCACCCGGAGGAAACCTCTGCAGACACGGAGAGAACATACAAACTCCTGTTATGACCCCGATTTGAACCCAGGACCTTCTTGCTGAGAAGCGAGAGTGCTATGAACTCATCCAACGTGCCACCTGATATACAGTATGTGAGCTTTGAAGTGTGAGTCAATTATTATTCCAAGGTGTTTGTATTCTGGGACCATCTGTAGCCGGTTGCATGAAACTAATAAATCTGGTTCTGTGCATGGAAGAAATTTGTGAGATTTGTAGAAGAACATTGCAACTGTTTTGGATGTATTGAGTTTGAGATCCAAATGGAACTGGACCAAATGTTGAGGCCTTTGAAAACTATACAAACTATGAAGTAGTTTGAACATTCCTGCTGAGGAGCCACATCTCTTCACAGAGAGTGTCGCCCTCTAGTGGAGACACTGTACTATTGTGTTGTCTTTGCTGCAGAGGTTTTTGTTCAGAGTGTTGGTGTTTCCTGTCAGTGTGGGCTCCAGAGCACAGTAGTACACAGCAGAGTCAGTCACATTCACAGCTTCCATCTTCAGAGACAAAGAGTTCCCCACGAGGTCAGCACCAAACTTGGATTTATCAAACTCTGGAGAATGTATTACTTTTCCAAGATAGATCTTCATCATGTACTTTGGAGAATCACCATCTTTCTGTCTGTACCAGTACAAGTAGTCGTTTGAGTAGATGTTGGTTGTAAAGTTGCAGATGAGTGTGTGAGTGTCTCCCTCTCTCACTCGGTCCTCTCCTGCTGCCTGCTTCACTGTGTCTTGTCCGTTACACTCTGGAGAAGAACTCAGCAGCACAAGCAGAGCTGAGAGCAGTGGACACAGGACACACTCCATCTTAAAGCTCAGATCCTCTCGGTGTGTGCTGCTCTCTTTAGCTTCTGTTTTAGCTCCTCCCACCTAAGAGCTCATACAGTAGTCCTCCTCCACCCATCACCTCCTCACAGTGGGACAGTCTTATGTCATCAGCTTTCACCAGCACCAGGGTCTAGAGGAAAATTATTTTCTCCGGGGGCCGGTCTCATTTTTTTGTGATGTGGCCACCATTTCATGGAAATTATTATGTTATGAACTAAGATAAGATAAGATATTCCTGTTTTCGTCTCACAGTGGAGAAAATTCAGTGATGAAGCTTGAGCGCAAATTCAGAATGGAAGACATTAGAACATAGCTCTCGGTTCTCCTGCTGTTGCCCACAGCAACAGCAATCAGTCAATCACACTCAGCTGCAGCGCCTCACGCAAATCCTCACCTGCAGCAATCAGGCACTGCCCGCATCAGCTTCATATCACGCAGAAGCTCCATCCAAGCAACGGCTTCATTCACGCCGCAACCCTCCTCCTCCTCTCCATCTCCGCCTTGTTCTAGGCCAGCTCCTTCATCCTTCTCCTAGCTCCCACCACCAGGGTCTAGGCCCCGGGGCATTTCATCTCATAATCTCTTTTGCCTTCTCCAATCGTGCAGTGCTCTCCGGGGTCTAAGGCCAAATCCTAATAACATTCTGTTCAAAACAATAAATGTAATCTTGAAAATATTGGGCCTCATTCACGAATAACTTCGTAAGAAACTTCTCAAATTTCTTCTCAAGTTGTCCTTAAGTAGATTTCTAAGAAGTCCCTACGTGGGATTCATCAACGCACTCGTAAGCCGCTGAATTGTTCGCAGCTGTTCTCTCAGATTGATGAATCCCATTTCCTCGTAAGTACAGCGCGCGTGCCAGGTGCTTCATTAGCATAGGTACTTAGCATAAGTAACCGCCCACTAATGCCTATATAAGGGGATGCAGGGCCGTGTGCAGACGGCAGAGGAAACAGCAACAGGCCTTTACACGGAGCAAAAGAGTCACCCAGACTGAGAATAAAGTTATAAAATGTTGACTTAAAAGTCGAAATATTATGATAATAAAGTCGAACTAGCAAAATTATGAGATTAATCTAAGAATATGATGAGATTAATCTCAAAATGTTATGAGCTTAATTTAAAAATATATTATGTATTATTTTAAAGATGAATCTCAAAATGTTTTGAGATTAATCTCAAAATATTTTGGACCCTGGGAGGAGATCCAGCGCGGACCAGCGCTGAGACCAATGCAGACCCGAGGAGAGACTGGAGTGACCAGCACACAGAAACCAGCGCGGACCTACAGGAGAGACCGCATAGACTGTAGTGACCTGACTGGAGAGACCGGTGCGCAGAGACCAGCGCGGACCGAAGAGAGACCGCATAGACCAGACTTGAGAGACCAGCGCGGACCCGTATGGATCCAGGAGCAAGCAGCACGGACCCGTATGGAGAGACCAGTGCAGACCAGTATAGATCCATGGGAGAGACCAGTGCAGACCCGTATATGGGAGAGACCAGTGCAGACCCGTATAGATCCATGGGAGAGACCAGTGCAGACCCGTATAGATCCATGGGAGAGACCAGTGCAGACCCGTATATGGGAGAGACCAGTGCAGACCCGTATAGATCCATGGGAGAGACCAGTGCAGACCCGTATAGATCCATGGGAGAGACCAGTGCAGACCCGTATAGATCCATGGGAGAGACCAGTGCAGACCCGTATAGATCCATGGGAGAGACCAGTGCAGACCCGTATAGATCCATGGGAGAGACCAGTGCAGACCCGTATATGGGAGAGACCAGTGCAGACCCGTATAGATCCATAGGAGAGACCAGCGCAGAGACTATCAGCGCGGACCCAGTAACCTCCTGCAGCAGCAGTATATATGCCGTTGTTCTGTGGCCCGTGGATAAAGAAATGCCCCCTATAAATAGGAAGGGGTCACTAATACACGGCAAGATTTCCAATGTATTTCATAAAGCGTTGGCACATTTCATTTCAAAATGAATTAAAAAGTATGCCAGATCTGCAGTGAAAAAGGCGGTATATAAATAAAGATTACTAATAAAGATTACTACAAATAAATAAATACATACATCGATATGACGGACATATCACTGGAATGTTGTATTTTTATTCAACTTCACCAAAGAGGACAACCCCGGCGTGTGAACATGTCGGCACTGAATGCGTACGAGTGCTCCTGAGGACTCGTAGGATTTGTACTTGCCCAAGAGAAATTCTGGTTACGAGAAATATTCGTGAATGCCACTTTCTTCGTAAAAACCGCGTAAGTAGGATTTACGTACAAATCTGTTCCTAAGAACCGTTCGTGAATGAGGCCCAATGTTTCAGAGATTGGTTAAGGACGAGGTATTTTCTATTTTCTATTGTCCAGGCTCAGAAATCAGTATTTGACCTAGTCTTTCAAACCACTGGGCATGGGTCTCCAACCTGTAGCTCAGGAGTTATCAGTAGCTAAGCACCCTCTTCAAAGCAGCTCCCCAAAGGATACATTTTATGAGTAAATATACAAAATATTATGATAGATTATTTTACTTTCACATTTTTAGACTACACAACAAAAATGGCAAAACAAGTTAGAAATTGTCCAAATTTGGCTTAATTGAATAAAGAACCTTTTGACGGTCTTAAAACAAGATTTGCCATTAATACATTTGCTATATCTGTGCTGGACATAAGACTATACAGTAGCTGGTTGTTTCATTGTTTTAAGAATGTCAAAATATTTTCAAATCCAGATAAAAACTACCTAATCCATTGTAGCGTAACCTTTTATGGACTGTCTAAAAGGAGTAGCTCTCTGTCTGTGTTGTCCCATAAAAGGTATAGCTCTCCAAGGGAAAAGGTTGAGACCCCTGCTCTCCAGAGACCTATCTCCCGACTGTTCAATGATTCTGATGGATGGATGGATTAAATAGAGTTTGCATTTCTCATGGGGGGTCGATCTGCAAATTGGATCGGCTGTTTGACTGCCCTACATTAATACGGGATCATTAGGGAGGGATATAGATGCGTCTCCCTGAACTTATCCCATGCACCACTGAGCACATTTGATTGAGGCTACTCTAGATTAGATTTTTTAATAGTAAAGAATATTGCAAACCAAAATCGTGTATCATGAAGCTAAAAAAAAGGAATTGTGCTGAATGTTGGTTGCTATGTAGTTCTTTAAATCGCAGAAGGCTCCACAGAAGGCTCCACAGAAGGTTCCACAGAAGGCTCCACAGAAGCAGCACAATCAAGGCTTTAAGAAGAAGATCGATATCAAAGACACAACAGTTCAAAGCGTTTTGATTTAAAAACAAAATCGTGACGATAAGAAAGAAAACCTCTCTGTTCTCGGTCTCTCTCTGGTCTCTCTCTGGTCTCTCTCTAGTCTCTCTCTGGTCTCTCTCTGGTCTCTCTCTGGTCTCTCTCTGGTCTCTCTCTGGTCTCTCTCTGGTCTCTCTCTGGTCTCTCTCTGGACTCTCTCTGGTCTCTCTCTGGTCTCTCTCTGGTCTCTCTCTGGTCTCTCTCTGGTCTCTCTCTTTGTACTTCACCCCACTCATTTTGTGCAGCAACAAATGAATAAATAAATAAGGTTTAGTCTCTACTTGAGTGTTTGTTGCATGAACGCACAGCAATACAACCTTATGTGTTTTTGCTTAAGGAAACCTCCACCATGTGTATAACCAAAGCAAGTATGAAATAAATGTAGTAATGAAGCTCTTCGCGAAAGTTCACTGTGGTAGACCCGGCCACTGCTGCCAGATCTACAAGCCTGCTCATCCTCTACTCATTACACCAGCAAAACGCCCACATCTAATCCACCAATAACCACCAGGACAGCAAGTTAAAAGCCGGAGACGCCCACTTTCCCGGCCTTCTGAAGTTTGCAAAGGCTTCTGAAGTTTGCAAACTTCTGAAGCCTGCAAGGTGCATGTCGCTAACGCACCTGTTCGCAAATGCATGCGTTGTTCTGGAGGGGTCGCTTCTGCTCACGTGTTGCTCGTGCGCGTGGCCCGGCTGTCCTCAGTCTGGCTGCTCGTGGTCAAAATATTTTCAAATCCAGATAAAAACTACCTAATCCATTGTAGCGTAACCTTTTATGGACTGTCTAAAAGGAGTAGCTCTCTGCCTGTGTTGTCCCATAAAAGGTATAGCTCTCCAAGGGAAAAGGTTGAGACCCCTGCTCTCCAGAGACCTATCTCCCGACTGTTCAATGATTCACTCCACAAAGCAAACTTGGTCGTTCAACACAGGGTCAGCAGCTGTCATAAAACCACATTTTATCGTTGTCTTGTCTGAGAAGCGCTTCACTAATGTGGCCAGAGTACCATCACAGACCATTGCAAACTGTGAAATGCTTCTCCAAACTGTTACGAATAATGAGGATGTGAGAGACGTGTGAGAAAGTGGAATACGCTCGGACTTCTGCTCTGGTTGATTTCAGTAGAAAATGGATTTGAAAACACGCTTCCATTTTTGAAAGAGAACGTTTTGTAGACCCCTCAATGCATGCATTCATTTCATTTGAACCAATTTCACATCCTTCACTGCTTTTGTAGCCAACTCTATCCACCTTGCTTCTTGAAATAGCCTTGATGATTGAGGACAGGTTTCTTCCCGCTCGGGGCATATACGTTGGTGACTGTTATAAAAGCAGTAGTATCAATCTAGGACGCAGACAAAATGATAAACCTGGAAGAGTCTTGTCTGGTAATGAATGCACACATCGCACTGTTTGGGTTTTTGCTCCTTCTGAAGAATGTTTTCAGCTGCGCCAAAGGCAACCGCAGCAGCTCCATAGACATACAGGTGACTTAGGGTTCACTATCTTTTTTGTGACAGGTGCCAGTCTAAAGAAACGCTTTGCTTTTGTGATAAGAGAGAAATGTTGAAAGAAGTGGCATGAAAAGGTTTCAAAATGTGGTGGATTTCCAAACGGATCAGGTTAAGAGTGAAATAGACTTACTTAAAATTGTTGCCGTTCGCTGGTGGTAGTTTTTCGCAGGCGCCGAGCAGAGCCTGGAGTCGCTTATCTTGGTCTTGGATGCTGAAAATACAAACATCATTGGAGATACTATGGAGAGACTGAGGATTCATATTTCGATTATTTTAGATTCAATGGACTTAAAATCCACTAACTTTGATGCCTGTATCCAATCATTGTACAGGTCCAAGGTCATCAGTGGTTCAGGCAGTTCACGAAGGTAGGATTTCAAAGCCCCTGAGGGAAAAAAGAAGAAAATAATGCATGTTAATTCATAAAAAACAACAAAACGATTTATTTAATTCTGAAAATGGGTCTCGAGGTTTGTATTTCTTGTGCTTGAACTGTTTGATTCTTTGATCTGTGTTGGTGTTTTAACAGATTTCTAAAGTCCTCTGAGATTAATACGGTTGTAATTTAGGGCTATTCAAGAATACATTGATTTGATTTTAATTTAATTGTGTGGGGAGCAATTAACGCAACTGCAAAGACTAATTTCCCCATCAATCTGACACCAGAAAAACTGCAACTATATTCAGTAGTGTCAACATATATATACTGTTTGTTTGTTTGTGGGGTTTTTTACCAGGAAAGTTACCATGGCAGATACTGTAATACCACAGACTATCACTTTGCTGCAAGCGAATTATTATACAATTCATCAGAGATAGAAATGCCATTGTTGACATTTTGAACAAGTATTAGTTCTTGACCTTTATTCTACCAGGAAGTTCAGAATATCTTTTTCAGGTGAGTCCTGGATCCAGAGAGAGAGGAGCAACTGTACAGGTTTTAAGTGGTAGGGCACACAGACACAGGGAGAACATGCAAACTCCACTGAGAAAGTTCCTGTATGGGGGTGGATTCAAACCCGAGAAGTGAGAGTCATAACCAATCGTAACAATCTGGCTGCCCAAATAAAATTCGCTAAATTATAGTTCCTTTTTTTAACTGCAATGATTCCGATCGGGTCAATGAGCTGCAGTGCGAATTATTTATGATTTAAAACTTGGATTTAACCCAGTAAAGGGCTTCATAACAGCCATATGAAAGACAGACAACGGCCCGACTATAAAACATTTCGGCTCCTTTCCCCTTCCGTTGTATATGGCCACTCCTTTTCCTTTGGCACAATATACGAAGACTTATCCCCCTCTATCGACCATATCGGGGTGAATTTGTGGGGGCCAGTGTAATTTTCCAACCCTGGACGATGTACGACGGGTCCTGTCTTCTGCTGTCTCTGCTCCAGTGCGTTCATTTCCCACGGGGACGTCGGAGATAAATGACAAATACGAGACTTTGGACATCACTCACAGAGAGAGACAGCAGCCGGGACATTGAAAGAATCTCCTGTTGTGTGCTGCTAGAGGCAAACAATGAGCTAGATATGAGAAAGAGAGATGGATGGATGGATTAAATAGAGTTTGCATTTCTCATGGGGGGTCGATCTGCAAATTGGATTGGCTGTTTGACTGCCCTACATTAATACGGGATCATTAGGGAGGGATATAGATGCGTCTCCCTGAACTTATCCCATGCACCACTGAGCACATTTGATTGAGGCTAGTCTAGATTAGATTTTTTAATAGTAAAGAATATTGCAAACCAAAATCGTGTATCATGAAGCTAAAAAAAGGAATTGTGCTGAATGTTGGTTGCTATGTAGTTCTTTAAATCGCAGAAGGCTCCACAGAAGGCTCCACAGAAGGTTCCACAGAAGGCTCCACAGAAGCAGCACAGAAGCAGCACAATCAAGGCTTTAAGAAGAAGATCGATATCAAAGACACAACAGTTCAAAGCGTTTTGATTTAAAAACAAAATCGTGACGATAAGAAAGAAAACCTCTCTGTTCTCGGTCTCTCTCAGGTCTCTCTCTGGTCTCTCTCTGGTCTCTCTCTGGTCTCTCTCTGGTCTCTCTCTGGTCTCTCTCTGGTCTCGCTCTGGTCTCGCGCTGGTCTCGCTCTGGTCTCTCTCTAGTCTCTCTCTAGTCTCTCTCTGGTCTCTCTCTGGTCTCTCTCTGGTCTGTCTCTAGTCTCTCTCTAGTCTCTCTCTGGTCTCTCTCTGGTCTCTCTCTGGTCTCTCTCTGGTCTCTCTCTGGTCTCTCTCTGGTCTCTCTCTAGTCTCTCTCTGGTCTCTCTCTGGTCTCTCTCTGGTCTCTCTCTGGTCTGTCTCTAGTCTCTCTCTAGTCTCTCTCTGGTCTCTCTCTGGTCTCTCTCTAGTCTCTCTCTAGTCTCTCTCTGGTCTCTCTCTGGTCTCTCTCTGGTCTCTCTCTGGTCTCTCTCTGGTCTCTCTCTGGTCTCTCTCTGGTCTCTCTCTTTGTACTTCATCCCACTCATTTTGTGCAGTATTAATACTGTTCAAACAAATGAATAAATAAATAAGGTTTAGTCTCTACTTGAGTGTTTGTTGCATGAACGCACAGCAATACAACCTTATGTGTTTTTGCTTAAGGAAACCTCCACCATGTGTATAACCAAAGCAAGTATGAAATAAATGTAGTAATTTATACAGCAGATTTTACAGACAAAGATCACCCAAAGTTCAGATCCTGGACACATCAACCTAATATTCAGCCTAAACTTAACCATGGCCCTAACCCTAACCATAGTGACCCCTCGCCCTAACACGTATCTAGCCCTCACATAATGACATATTGATCTTGGGAAAACAAAACGGGCAGTGATCTTGGACTGTTGATGACTTGGAAATAACAGTAAACTTATTTTGAGAGTTGTTTGTTCACCTGCGATGGCGTGAGGGTCTGCACTGTACTCCTGGACGTCCAGAACTCCACAGTCCAACGAGGCTTTCAACTTCTTTAGTTTTGAGGCCGAAGGAGCGATTCTAAACAAACCCTGGGGATGAAAGGAGGCGTCAGGTCCATATGGGCTGTACCACTCATCATACATTTAACACTTTCCATTATTACTTTACTGATCAAAGACATATTCTGGTGTCACTTCTGTGCATCTCAAGAAATAGAAATATCAACCCAAGATTATCATTCACAATCCCATTAAAAAAAATATATTTATCAATGACACATGGAAAACATAGTGTCTTTGAATTTGTTTATCTGTGACTTATACATAGAGAATAAGTAATAATGGTTGATGTTTTCTACTTGATAAATAAAACCCCAACTAAAGCATATAGTAATTCATATTAAGATGTATTTTTAACTTGTCCAGTACAAAACTATGGATCTGCACTCCTGCCCACTTAGCAGTCTGGTTCTGCAGTAAAATCCTGGTTCATTTTCCCCAAAAAGCAGACTTAAGCATTTTTCTAAACCTAAATAAGATTTTAACTGCAAGATAATGTACTGTGAATGTTATGTTTGTAGGATGACATTTGTTTTCTAAAGCACTTTGAGTTGCCTTGTGTGTTAGCCTCAGCCTCCGCCTGCACCGCGTGGCCTCTGTCCTCGTTCTACAGCCTGAGTCCTGGATCCATAGCCCATCCTTTCGTGGATTTCTCACTTTTTCCCACTGGGTTATTTTTATTAGAGTTTTCCTTGCAGATGCAGAAGGGTTGGGGTTTATTATTTATCAACATTTATGGACATTGGACATCTTATCTCATGAATGTGCCCTATGTGTTTTTTATTATTGCATTTCTTGTGTTTGAACTATTTGTGTGTAAAATCCTACGGCATTACGGCCATTCAATAACCATTACTCATAAGTATAAATCAAGATTCAGAGCATATGTCTCTCAGATTGAAGTGAGCAAAGTGTGAGGTTGGTGAGAGGGATGAGATCTGACCTCCTCCTGCATCCCACACTCCAGCAGCATAGTGACACAGGCCTCTATGGGAAAGGCAATATCTCTCCCACTGAGTGCTAAGTGGTCCTCTAATGGTTTGCCGTAACAGGGCTTCTCCACCCAGGACTCTGTCAAACACACAAGCACAGTCACTTAAAATACTTGCTTCATCTCGGCATATGGACCAGAGTTGAATACTAATGCATGCTGTTTCAAAAAAAATGGAGTCTTGAGCTGAGAGAAAGGGACCTAAAATAACAACATGTATAAAAAATGCATGAGGTTTTCAAGGCTAAATTTAAAAATGGTTCACCCCAGGCATTAAATACAACATAACGGTGGAAATATGGGGAGTATGTCTTTGTGTGTAGATGGAACTAGATTAGGTTGGTGTTCCACTGGCATGATGTAACAGTCTGTGTTAAATATACTGAAGTAAAGCAGGTTTGTGTTTGGTTTGCTTAGTGCTAAATGTGGTTTTAAGATGTAAAAAAATACGCCTCAACCAGTTTGGAGGAGAACACTAGTGCCAGGTGCTATATTCATCTAACTCAATATTATGGCATGTTTGTAGTTCTGTTTCACAAAAGAATATGAGCGGTACTCCAAAAAGAGTGATACAATTTTTTTATCTGAAGGCACTACAAGGAAACTGAATATTAGAATATCGTTCAAAAACTCCATTTACAAATAATATATCTCAGGAAATTTAAACAAATTGACTGAAAAATTTACTTGTAATGAATCTATTTTATGTACCGGTGCTGGTTTCACATTTTAAGTTAATTACAGACATAAATAAATTCCCAGAGGTTTCCCATCACTATACTAACCAGACCCTGCCCTGCTTAGCTTCCCAAGGTTTGACAGGTGTGACAGGATCTATCTTTCATATGCAGGTGGAGCCACTACTGACTTTTGAGCGTCACATTTTTCCGAGTTTCACCTGTTAATGGTTGTCATTTTTATCCCAAGTTCTATGTTGAAAACTGAAAACATTTGGAAAGGAGATTTTTGTAATGTCTTGAAGTTTTGGAACAGGTTATTCTGTCCTGGAAGAGGTACAGGGCAGGAAATGAACACAAAACAAATCTGAAGAATGCTCAATGAATGGGCTACAACTGCGCATCAATACGGTATATAGTAATAGTAATAGTATTTCCTGAGATTAAGACTTTTTGGAGTCGAACAGAAAATAACAACGCTATTTTATCATGCTGTAATTAAGAGTTTAATAAGATATGGTATGTGTGTGTGGTTTGGGAATTTGACTGTTAAAACAAAAGCAGAATTTACAGATTAATGTGAACAGCACTTTAGGTCATGGGAGTTAGGGAGCATCCATCTTTGCAGCAGATATTTGATATTCTATTGTTATTAGACAGGCAAAGACACCTCAGACCCTTCTCCTGTCCTCTACTCTCAGCATGAGCTCCTCCCATCAGGCCGCCGCTACAGAGAACCCACTAGAAATAAGAAACAATATCTAAACCGGTAAAATAACTCATTCCTACCCATATCTGTGAACCTCCTGAATGCAGGCCGTCGAGCAGAGCGGTGATGGGTTATGTCTGTGTTACTGTGTTTCTATGTCTGTCTTATGTGTATTTTCAATGTAGCAGCCTGTGAGTTCAAGACAAATTTCCAACGGGACATAATAAATTAATCTTGAATCTTGAATTACAGGTACATTTTTGGTCATTTGTGCTAAAACGTGGATAGATAGAAATCAGTGTGATGTGGACGTTGCTGTTGCACTCACCCTGTTGGGCTTTGATCTGGGGCAGAACACTCTGGAGCAGCTCTAATGACTTCCGGTGGTACTCGGCCTGAGCCTCGATCATCTGAAAACACCACAGACCCAGAAGTCACCGACACGGACCGAGAAGATGTAAAGACACGGTCGACGGAGGCCGCACTCACCGTCTGGAAGTAACTTGCATAGTCAATTTCTTTGGCCACAAAATTGTACATGTCGGCTGATAGTTGATCCTGAAACAACACCACAGCTTTAGGAAAGACAAGCGTTTGACGATATTTGACAACACGGCTTCGTTCTGCACAAACAGGATTCATTGGAAAACGACTCATTGAAAAATATTTGTTAAACTGGAACTCTATCTTGGACCAGTTGCTTTTAAAACTGTTCATATGAAACTGAAGCCGTAAAACATTTTGCAACTCAAAGATGGAATTAATATTATTATTTTCTGCTTGTATTTATTTTTATTTTTTTTGCTTGTTTTCTCCCCTTTTTAGAAGATCCTTTATTCGTTCCACAGTGGGGAGATTTCAGTTTTGATGATTCACACATCAAGGCATGCGGTGTACAATTACTTCCACGCTCCTTATGGGCAAAGTGGGCTGCTCCAAGTGTCTTGCCCAAGGACACAATGACAGCAGACATCAGTGGGAGTTGGTGGAGGTCTTCCTGAGTCACTGTCGCCCATCTTTCAGTATTGTGTTACAGAAAATTATAATTATAATTTATTTTTTTATTATTATTTTGAAACATTTGCAACACTGAAGAATTTTGCGGAACTTTAACATTTTAATAATTAGGTTTTAGAATTCCATAAACATAACTGTGTATGTTTGTACTGTTTTATTATTGCTATACAACTGTGTTTTTGTGTTGAAACCTGGCACCCATGAAAAAGAGTTTGTCCTCTCTGTCTAAGTCAGGGGTGTCCAAACATTTTAGTTAGAGGGCCACTTTAGTTCACCAGACTAGTCCAGGGGCCCACGTCACGGACTGAAAAACTGTTGTGACCGGCATCAGGCTGTGCTGGTCTATAAAATGATCTAGAACAGAGCTGAAGTTGGCTGAATGACACATGTTCATCATCTCACCCTCTCACAAGTCAACAACTGAATTCCGGACGTACTGGGTTATAAAACATGTTACGACATGTCTGTATTGGCTGAGCTGAAGTTGGATGGATGACACAGTGAACATATGTTTATGATCTCGGGCCTGAGTTTAGACATGCCTGGTCTAAATAAATACGATATATATACAACTACAATAATATAATGTGATATAAATACTTTAAAAATGGAAAAAGCTTTGTTTCAGTATGATTCCTATATCGTCAAATCTCGGCCTACACCACAGTGTGACATTAGAATCAGAATCAGAATCAGAATCAGAATCATTTTTATTGCCAACGTAAGTAACGGGAGGTCACAGACTTGGAAATTGCTTTGGCTCAGTGCAACAGTCAAAAAGAGATAATAAAAATAAGAATAAAAAACACTTCTAAAGAATAAATTTAAATTTAAAATAGAGTTACAGTTACTATTTACAATGTACAAGTGCACATGGTGCACACAATGTAAGGTGACAGCAGTACAGTGAAGTAAAGTGACGTATGATGGGCAGTAAAGTGACTTTATAAAGGGCGGGGGGACAGGTTAAGAAGTGTTCAAGAGTCCAACAGCAGAGGGGAAGAAACTGTTCTTGTGGCGGGAGGTTCTAGTCCTGATGGACCGCAGCCTCCTGCCTGAGGGGAGTGGTTGGAATAGTCCATGTGCAGGGTGAGAGGGGTCGGCTGTGATACGACCAGCCCGGCCTCGAGCTCGGGCGACGTACAGGTCCTGCAGCGATGGAAGGCTGCGGCCGATCACTTCCTCTGCAGAGCGCACAATGCGCTGTAGTCTCTGTTTGTCCCTGACTGTGGCTCCAGCGAACCACACGGTGATGGAGGAGGTGAGGATGGACTCGATGATGGCCGTGTAGAACTGCACCAACATCTGTGCAGGCAGCTTGGCTTTCCTGAGCTGCCGCAGGAAGTACATCCTCTGCTGGGCCTTCTTGATGAGGGAGCTGATGGTCGGCTCCCACTTGAGGTCCTGGGTGATGGTGGTGCCCAGGAAACGGAAGGACTCCACAGAGGTGATGGGGGAGTCCATCACGGAGGGTGGGGGCGGGGGGACAGTGCTCTTCCTGAAGTCCACAATCATCTCCACTGTCTTCTGGGCGTTCAGCTCCAGGTTGTTACCACTGCACCAGGACACCAGCCGGTCCACCTCCCTCCTGTAGGCGGACTCATCGTTGTTGGAGATGAGTCCAATGAGGGTGGTGTCGTCCACGAACTTGATCAGCTTCACGGAGTCGTGGCTGGAGGTGCAGTGGTTGGTGTACAGGGAGAAGAGCAGGGGAGAAAGAACACAGCCCTGTGGGGCTCCTGTATTTATAATCCGAGAGTCCGAGACATTCTTCCCCAGACGCACTCGCTGCTTCCTGTCCGTCAGGAAGTCAGTGATCCACCTGCAGGTGGAATCGGGCACGTTGAGCTGGGGGAGCTTGTCCTGGAGCAGGGATGGCAGGATTGTGTTGAAGGCAGAGCTGAAGTCCACGAACAGGACCCTGGCGTAGGTCCCCGGGGAGTCCAGGTGCTGTAGGATGTGGTGGAGGGCCAGGTTAATGGCGTCGTCTACAGATCTGTTGGCTCTGTAGGCAAACTGCAGGGGGTCCAGGAGGGGGGAGGTGAGGGACTTGAGATGGGAGAGAACCAGGCGTTCAAATGACTTCATGACGACAGACGTAAGTGCTACAGGTCTGTAGTCATTGAGTCCTGTGATCCTGGGCTTCTTCGGGACGGGGACAATGATGGAGGATTTGAAGCAGGCCGGGACATGGCAGGACTGCAGAGAGGAGTTGAAAATGTCCGTGAACACAGGAGTAAGCTCACTGGCGCAGTGTCTCAGAGTGGCCGGAGACACGTGGTCCGGGCCAGGAGCTTTGCGGGGGTGCAGCCTCAGGAAGAGTTGTTTAATCTCTTTAGCGGCTATTGTTAGGCTGGGGGCAGGGCTGATGGGTGGGTCGTTAGAGTAGTGGGGGGTGGGGGAGGGAGAGGTGTCAGGGGCAGCATCAAAGCGACTGAAAAATAAGTTCAGATCGTCAGCTAGCTTGTGGTCATCAGCACAGGGGGGGGCTTTGGGTTTGTAGTTGGTGATCTCCCGTAGGCCCCTCCAGACAGAAGCAGTATCGTTGTTACCAAACTGCTCCTGTAGTCGTTCTCTGTGCCGGGACTTGGCTGCTTTCAGTTCTTTCCTGAACTGATATTTAGCTGCTTTGTAGCCGCTGCGGTCCCCCTCCCTGAAAGCAGACTCCTTTGCTTTCCTGAGCTGCCGGAGTTTAGCAGTGAACCAGGGTTTGTCGTTGTTATAGATGACCCTGGTCCTTGTTGGAATGATGCTATCCTCACAGAAGTGGATGTATGACGTCACAGTGTCCGTATATTCATCCAAGCTGTCTGTGGCAGCTCTGAAAAGGTCCCAGTCTGTAGATTCCATGCATGCGCGCAGCTCTTCCACAGCTTCATCAGACCACACTTTGGAGCTCCTCACTGCAGGTTTCGAGAGCTTTAGTCTCTGTCTGTAAGCAGGAACCAGATGTATCATGGAGTGATCTGAGAAGCCGAGGGCTGGCTTGGGAACAGCGCGAAAAGCTCCGCGCACGGTGGTGTAACAGTGATCCAGAGTGTTCTCCTCTCTGGTCGGGCATTTGATAAACTGTCTGTATTTGGGTAATTCCTGGCTCAAGTTTCCCTTATTAAAATCCCCCAGGATAATAATCAGAGAGTCCGGGTATAAGCGTTCCATACACAGTACTTGCTCTGCGAGTGCGCGCTGAGCCTCGCGCGCGTCCGCGCATGGCGGTATGTAAACAGAGGCAAGAATGAATGAAACAATTAGTGGGCAAATCTGGGACTAGTAATATTTGTTAGTGTTTTTCTATGTTTTTGAGTAGGTGCTAAAAAGTGCAGAAGCAAGACTTTGGCAGTAAATCCAACATACTCTACAAATCTCCATGCGATTGGCTGCCTCCTCCATCTCCTCCCTGAGGTGGTCCGCCTTGGCCCCCGTCGGCTGAATGTTACTGGACAGTCCGGAAGATTTGGTGGACTGGAAGTACCTGGAAAGAAGACATTTTAGGTTTATGGAGGATTCAGAACAAAACAAAGCCGTCCTCACAGTCGATAAACGGACATGGACGTGAAACATTGGCCTCGTAAGCTTCACGACTTCTGACACGATGATGAGAACCGCCGTAAAAATAGATTTGAAGAAGAGATTTGGAAAAGAGATGAGCAAAGTTTGACGAAATGACAAGGAACTTTTCTCTCACAAACTGTTGTTCCATTTTATCTATCCGACAGTGCGAGCGGAGGGGGAGATCTAATGTCCTGCTGCTGGGGGCACTGAAGCATTATGGGAAAAATGACTACAGATTTGGGTCGCATATAAAGTCACTGATGCAGCAAAGGAGAGAATCACATTTGGGGTTTCTCGTTATGGTTTTGGACACAGCAACATCTAAGAACAAAACAACATTGTGTGTGAGCTTTCGGGACATTGTCGGAGTTACACACTTGCTCTTTGAACGATGACTGGACAAAAGTCTGCAGAGTCACTTAAACGGCACAGGTCTTTTTAAAACGGGGACAGCTCCATAAAACTCAGAAGTTGATTTGACTTTAGGACCAATTTCAACCACTGCGCTCTTGCCTTTCTCATTTTATAAAGTATGATTCTCTGGTTTAAGCACCAAAATGTGATTTAAAAGTATCTTAGAACTGCAACCAGTGTGTGTGTGTGTGTGTGTGTGTGTGTGTGTGTGTGTGTGTAGGTGTGAACTCCATAAAAGGTTTGAAGCCGTTTCCTCTCCATGATGTAAATATTAAACATGGTGAATGGATAAAAGTAGTAGTAGTAGTAAGTAATCTTTATTTATATACCGCCTTTTCACTGCACATCGGAGTCTCAAAGCGGTTTACAATTGTTATTTTTGGGAGCAGGGGTGCCAGTACAGGAGGCACATGCCAGACCTATTGTACATATTTTTAGTGGTAGGGGAAACCGGAGCACCCGGAGGAAACCTACGCAGACACGGGGAGAACATGCAAACTCCACTCAGAAAGGCCCTGGTCCAACCGGGATTCGAACCCAGGACCTTCTTGCTGAGAGGCAAGAGAGCTATCCACTCAGCCACCGTGCCGCCCGTAACTTCGCAGTAACTTACAGTATGTTTAAAGCTGGGGTACCTAACTTTCAAATCACAAAACATGGAACTATGTGATCAAATCCATCACTACACTGAACATATAGACTAGAGCAGCTCACTTGATTTCAGTGTATTTATCTAATCACACTGTTTTTTTGACTTTTTTACTCATGCAGGCTAAAGACACTAAGATAATATTACCTGTTTTTTTCTTGTTTAAAGAAATCCTACAAATATTTTAGCAGGAAACGAGTGCATTTCCTCTAACAGTAGCTATTGCTTGGCCTCTGTCACATACCAGCTTTTTCAGACACAAACGTTTCACTCAGCCAATCAGCTCTCAGCCCAAAGTGTCAAATAGTGACTCACATGTTTCCTAATAAGAGTAAGACAGAATGTTGTGGTCTGGTTTGTTCACAACATTTTACTTTAACAAGACTCTTTCCGTTGGGACAAATATAAAGTTAATCCTGTATTAAATGAGATCTTCTTTTCCCCTGACGGAAGAGACAAAAACATCCTGAAAGTGATATTTTAAAAGCGCAAAGTAAATTCGCAGATAGCAGCAAATCGAGAACGTGAGGCTATCCGTGAAACACATCGCGATCATTACTGGATTTAACATTTACGCTCAAAGATGATTTGTCTGAGAGAGAAAGTAAAAACACAAACACAACCTTTCTGAGTGCAATCAAATCCTGGTGACATTCAGCGAGAAGCTTTGAACCAAGTCAATTCACAGGGGATGGATTTCTCAGTCTTCAGCACCTCCTGATCTCTCTCTCTACACTCACACACACACATACTGTACACACACACACACACACACACACACATACTGTACACACACACACACACACACACACACACACACCCACACATATACTGTACATACTCGCGCACACACACACACTCACCGCGTCCGGGCCGAGTCCATGTCCAGGACCAGCTTTGCTAAATGTTTCCTTTGTTTCTGGATATTTGGGATTTCCACCTGAGAAGACAGAAGGACCCGTGTGAAAAAGCAGACAATAAACAAGGAAATCAATGCCTAATTATGGTTTTTCTCATAAAAATCAAAGAAGACAAACTGCCTTTTTACTGGACAGTTAAAGTGCCCAGTGGGTTTTGCACATTTGTCTACTTTACATATTTCTTTCCCACGGGTTTACAGAACAGAGACTCTGATCATATGTTTTTGCATATACCAGATCATTCTAAAATGTTTACTAATGTGTGTGGGTCATTTTTAGACAATGTGGTAAGAAATGGTATTTTAACACTGCAGATCCAATATAAAAGCCCGAAACCAAATGGCATGTCAACTCAGGACGCTTGTGTGAAAGCTTAGCGAGTTGTTTGGACCTGTGTCGGTTTTCCACCACAGGAAAGAGGCAGAACTCCAGGACCAGTGGTATTGGGATTATAATGAACTACGGCGAGTTTATCATTCAAGTGGAGCAATAAAGACACATTCCAACATATTCACAAAGATAATTTTGAGATAACAGAAGCGCGTGTAACAGGCCAAACTCTGACGATAGGAGCTGCACTCACCCGAACACGGCTCCACGGCTCGCTACACTGTCATTACGCAAAGTATTGTCCCGGATGTGACTTGTGCGTCGTTTTATAACCTCCCTCACCTGAAACCACATGTAAACACCAGGCTACACAGCGGCCTGCTTCAAAATTACCTCTGTATTTGGTCTGAGTCTTCACATTGCGACTATTTAGCAAAAAGGCTAGATCACGAGGCGGGTTAAATGGCGACTAGTTTTGACACAACGGGTGGCGTAGTGCTTTGAAGACGCTCCCTCTTACCTCTGCCAGGTCGTAAAGCGGCTCCACCACGTCCCTCTCGATGGTGAGCTCGAAGGTGATCAGCTCCTGGGCCAGCTTGTCCTGCGTGTCTCCACAGAGTTTCAACATCTTCCTGCAAAAAGACAATACTCAGATTTAAAAAACTGAGTCCTGAAAAAGTCTGAAACCAGAACGAAACCTGGGGGTCCCTTCCATAAAGTCGCTTAACTCCATAAATGTGGTTATGAGAAACTTTGTCTGATTGTATTCTAATATTGTTCTATGTGTCACCTACAATCAGTGACTGGAAATGGAGGTAGTTACATTAGTTTGAAACTGGAATAACAAAATGTAGTCATTAAAACTCCAATTATTAAGGGTTAGGATTATTCTCGAGGAGCAGAAATCTTGTACGTCCAGGAGCACCAGTAACTTTTACCTAGTATTTATTTGAGGGTTCTGTAAGTGTTGAAAATCTCATTTGGATTCAATGGTGACGGTTTTAAAATGCTCTGTTTTGGACAAAGTGCTTTTTAACACAATCATAACCACAAGGCTTTCTGATGGTTCTGACAGACCTTCCTAAATAAACTGTTTATGTGATTTTATTAATACCAACACACGCTCAAAAGAGTATCTATTTTCACTACTAATCTTGATTAATTCACATTTTTGTATACTTTGAAAACTCTAGTTCTGTTGTTTTTTTAATGCCAGTCTTAGTATTGATTAATATATATTTTTACATTTCACTTCCAGCAAGAAATCAACAACAAAACACAATTTGTTTTATACATGATATTTTGTTTATATCATATTTTGGGAATTTGTTCATATATTTTCCTTGTTTCTTCAGTAGACTAAAGTTATTCAGTTTTGACAAAAGCCTGTTTCGATTCTTTTAGAGGCAGTTCAAAGATCATAATATCCATAATGAGCCGCGGAGCCTCCTACAGTATGAGCCACGGGTGACTGAGCCGCTCGACAAAGACAAAGACATTCCGTTCTGGTTCAGTGATTTTGAGGCAGAGCCGCAGTTTGAGACTCATCAGTGATTATTTATGTTTGTGTCTGAACGCACTCACCCCAGGAGCGAGTCGTCCCCGAGCACCGCGGAGCCCTCCACCATGCACTGGGCCAGCGTCGTCAGGGGCAGCTTTTTCTGAGGAGAGAGGAGTGAGACCAGGTTCAAAGCATCCAGGTTTGACTTTTCACATTCTACAATAACATCAATTTAACACATGATTGAGACATTTCTACTGTATATACATTCCTCAATTGTTCTTGGTTCAATACCTGTTTACAAGTTTGGGTTAAGAAATAAATAAAAAAAACACTCGTCATTCCACAAATATAACGATGAGCAGTCACTTCTCAGAAAGAAGGCTGCTCTTCCCCTAATAACATGTACAACAGGTGAAACCCGCCAGCTCTGGTCCGGACCAAGTCGAGCATCAACATCTGATGTGTCTCTGGGCGACCACTGCTCCTGACAGACCCCGAGGGGCATCGAAGGATGGGTCAAATGCAGAGGACAAGATGCTCGGACAGTTGAGGAATGAACCTTTAAACTCTAGACATGAAAGTTGGATGATATTCTTTGCCTCTGTGGGGGTGAATGCACCATTTATTTGCACTACCTTTACATTGAAGTTGAGCTGTGGAGGCTTGAATAACAACCACTCAGGACTCAATAATGAATGCTATTTTTAATGCTATTGTTCACAAACATAAATCGCTTCTTCTACTCGTCTAACAATCTCTTCTTCTACTGGTTTTGAGCAGATCTCATTTTTTGATCATAGCCCAAAGCGCTTTACAATCTTCAGAGCTCAGAAGTGCAAGACCAAACTGAACTTCTCTCTTCTCCTCACAGCTGTCCGAGTGTCAAATCTAAGACTGTGATGAGCTCACGTGGTTCATTTATCCAACTATGAAAAGTCTATTCATGAGTTCTGGACATGCATCATGCCAGTGTGCTGTTTCCTCTCTCACCGATGGAGATCTGACAGACTTCTTGTCCACTTCCACGCCCTGCTGTCCCTGCAGACATGCTGTCAGCTTCTTGTGAGTGCTGTGAGACACCTGCTTCACCAGCTCCAGACGCTTCTCCACCTGAGCCACAGGGACAAACACAACATGACTATTGTTCAACAGGGGACTACAGTGCAGGGCTATCACACTGAGCAGGTTCACAGAGAAAATGGAGTATGCAGTTGCTCCCAAACCAGTCTGACCACTCTGTTCCCAGTCTGCATGTGGGGGCCTTGTGACGCTTTCAAAGGCATCTCGTAACTCAGACTTTTGGAAAACGCCAATTTTCCGCTTTTCCCTTGGGCTTAGTAAACGTGAAAGATATACTGTACTTTTGCAATACATTTAGAATCAATGACACCCAAAGAGCACAATATGTTTAAACGTTTTAAAGATGCAGTCAGTGATTTTTTTCCAGATGCATTTTCTAAAATATTGTGGGAAAACGTCCTTAAACCCTAAAAGCAGTCAAGTTATCATGTGTTTTCAAATAGTAAGGGAATTGACCAGATGCCTACAGTCTCCAAAAATGTATAAAAAATATTTTGGAGCGGACCGATAAAAATAAACCAATGGGATTCGTTCATCCCCAACGAACCAATGGGATGCGTTTTCCCCCTTCACCCTCTTCCTGTTTCTCGCGAGTGCATCAGAGTTATTGGATTATTTTCTAAAACCTAAAAGGGCTGAACAGAAAATGCCAATTTCACGTTTGCCGCCCACTCTCCCTGTTGTGACAAAGACAAGAAAATGCTGGATGTTGGGTTTGGTGGAGAGGGAGGGGAGGGGGGAGTGGTTTCCAGTTGGTGCTACGGCTAAGCTAACAATATCGCTAACTGTATCTATAAATATTAATATTGTAAAGCATGTGATTAACAGAGTAAAGAGCAGATACTGTGACAGTGGAAAGTAGGTCGTTCGTGGCTTGAATGCAAAATGTAAATGACTCAATCATGCATGAATCACTCTAAAAAAAAAATCTTTGAATGAGATGATGAGAAGGGAAACTTGGCGTATCCCCATGGCAACGCATCTGCAGAGTCTGGAGAGTATGAGCAGAACAGAGCCTCTGAACATTAGAGAAACTTAAATGTGTAGAGACGAGGTTTCATGACTGACACAGCGATTATTTAACTACAGAGAGACATGGAATTGTTTTTTTAAGTATTTCTAATCAAACAACTAATTATTTTACATCTAGTTTCTATGACGATGTCCTGGAGTGACGTCGCTTTAGCTTTGTTTTGTTTTTAAAAGTCCATTCTTCAAGCTGGAGAAGTCAAAACATGACATTTCCTCATGACCTGGAGGAGGATTAACCCTAACCCAACGGGGGAATACGTTTTTATATTGCTTATCCACTTCATATTTGTGTTTGTATGTGTGTGTGAGTTAGAGTTTCGCTTTTCAGCCCGAGCCCGAGCAGGCGCCTCATTTGGCGCTCAGCTGTCGGGTTCGTGCCGGGCTCGGGCTTCTTTTTTAAATTTTTTTTTTCTTTTTTATTATTATTATAATTATTTTTAAATGATTTTTATACATAATAATATGCATATATATATATATATATATATATGTATATATTAATAACAATGTCCGTTGATAGACAACAAGTTATTAAAAAAAGTTAATATATTAATGACACCGTAACCAGCGTGTCCTACAGCAGCAGCGAGCCGTGAACGCATCATCCCCGTGTCTCCTGCTGCTGTGGTCAACAGCGAACAGGAACAATAGTAGAAATGGATCAAGTGGAGACAAAACAAATTCAAAAGTGGAGACTAAACTTGCAATTGGAAGGTGAGTGCGTACAACGGGAAATCAGATGTGTCGGGTTCTGTCGGGCTCGGGCCTGTTATACAGCGTTCATTGGTCGGGCTTATACAGGCTCAGGCTTAACATTAGCGGGCTCGGGCCGGGTCGGGCTTCATTTTTCAGGCCCGAACGAAACTCTAGTGTGAGTGTGTCTGTGTGTTCGTTTTGTATTTTTATTTTTGTTTATTTATTTATTTTGTCTTATTCCTTGGCCTGGGTGGGGGGTGGGTGGACTCTGGGGTTGACAATCGGCGTTAATGTCTGTTTTCTTCTTCACCTTTTTACATAACTCTGTATGTCTATTATTGTTAAAATGTTCAATAAATAAAGTTGGACAAAAAAAATAAAAGAAGTCCACTCTTCAGCAACTCACCGTCAGAATAATTGTTCATTTAAAACATAAAACAATATTGTTGGATAAAAAAAATATGATTTTGTTGATAGTGATAAGAGCTATTTCTCTCAACAGATTAAATGAGAGCAATTTGAGTGTTTTTATTAGAAAATAAAATGCTTTTGTTCTTCCTTGTGTGACATCACCTTCGTGGATTCATAAGTATGTGTGATTTCTCAGGATCGGATTATGTCACGTTTGCAAATGAACCCAGAGACAGGTTTTTACAAGCAGCGAATGAAGCCGTGAGGCAGAAACAGTCGACTGGGACCGAAACTACTGTTACAGCGACATGCAGCTCATAAAGACTTTATTCTGTGGCACTTTTGTTACACGCATTAAATCCTGATGAATATGAGCGTTCTTACCTGTAGTAGATCTTCACTCAATACTTCTGTTTTTTCAGCTCTGAAAAACAGACAAAAACAAAGTCAAACAAAACCATTATTATAAATACAATAATGTATAATAACCAGATGTGGATATTTTTATGTAAGAAAATCATGATAATCAATCTTCCTGGTGATGCTTATTCCAACACTGCAAAAGGTGATGGAAAATGAGCCAAAAATTGCTCAAATTTGGCCAAATGTTTCTTGTATTGCCCTTGAAATAGATTCTTGAAAAAGACTAAACGGCTTTGTCCCATTGGTGAATCTTGTTTGAAGACAGTCACAATGTGCTCAGATTAAGATTTTAATGAAGAAACTACTCAATTTAAGCAATTATTACCTCATATTTTTTGCAGTGAAGTGAAAGGACTATTTCCAATACATTTATTATGAAAAATACTAAATGTAGATGATAGTACATGGGTCATATATAGTCAACAATATGTATTCCTTAAACATTTAAAGAGCGACTAAACACCAAATCAACTTTTTTTAACTCATAAACTGCATAAGTATGTTTATTGTAGTGCTCTCTACATATCCTGGTCATTTTTTTGACATTTTAGTTCAAATTAGATAAAATATCACTTTTGAGCCAAAAAACGCTGTGTGGTGCCCTCTCAACCTTTTTGGTGGTACTACATTTGAATTTGGTCCTGGCCTCTCCATTGACTCTGAAGTTCTCTATGACATCAGTTGTTTTGTGTGACGTCAGTCTGTCAGAGCCAGTGATGTGAACCCATTCAACTCTCACACACGCCCCAGCTGCAGTTTGGAGTATTCTGGCGCCATCTAGTGGATTAAAATTAAATTACATGAGTCATTCTGAGATTATTGAGTGTGATTAGGTTCAGGTGTGTAGCTTTACAATTATCTTAGTGTGTAAACAAGGGTGGAATGAGACTTTCTGGTCTGTAAACTATTGCTTTAAGCAGCAATGACAACTGTCTGTTTTTTTGTGTGACAAGTGAGCTGTCAATCACAGCCCAGACCACGCCCAACTCTAAGCCCCCCTTCTTGTCCCTTGGTCCTCCAGGCAACGCCCTTTTTAGAGAAAATTTTCAAATCTTCATGTGGGCGGAGTAAGGCTGGGCACAGGTGTTTAGTCGCTCTTTAAATACAGAAATCACCCATCATCTCTATTGCATAAGTGAGGAAATATGTTGCTGGATAATTTGAAGCAGGTTGAATATTATTTGTTGTGGGACGTGTTTGGTAATTGAATCAATATAATCTTGGCTGGATCTACTGAGGAGGCTGTGAACGTAAAAGGACACTGATGCCCTGAGCCAGAGAGATGGACAAGACAAACAAAATCAATGGTGCTCCTACAACAGCCCTGTTTACGACGGTACACAGCGTTATTAGAAAAGCAGATGAACGTTACCATTACACAGCGAGATGTTTTATGACGGACAATAAAACTATATTGAGCTTTAGATACACATAAGTCGTCATAGCTGGCAACACTTTGAAGTCAAGCGAAGGAGAGCAACCGTTAAAACTGAGATTTCCACCCCTGCCTTTCACATACCACACATAGTTTTTTTGAGTTTACAACCCGGTGCAGGAAGCTCTCAGCGTCTCAGTGATATGAATGAAATGCGAGACTGCAGGTTGTGTCCAGGTAATCCTCCTCAACAGGTGACGAACCACACTGTAGGTATGCTTTGTTTGCATTCACTGGGATTACAACCTGCGCTACACCTGCCACTCTGACCACGCATATGCCGACAGCAACCCAGATTACAAAACAAACTGTAATAACAAAATACAGTATGTAAACGACGCATTCTCCCCTATTCATAATCAAACAAGAAAGTAAAAGGTATATACAGAAGGTTGTCATGCAAATTGGCACCAAGACAACAGAAGAAGCCTCTTTTTATCGTTTCAGCTTCATAAGAAATATATTATACCTTATGGCGACATCGTTCAGGCAACAATAGCACTGACAAACAACTTGGCATGATTAACTGAACTAGTACTGTGTATATAAATATCAATCCAGTTAAAATGTTTGTTAGGTACATTGCTGCGTTAAGTGTTAGTGCTTTAGTTTTATCTGCATATTCATTATAAACTGTTGAAGGTGGAACTTTAGAATAAATTTAGAATATCGTTTTAAAAGTCCATTTCCTTCTGTAGTTTAACTTGTGTTGTGAAGCGAATGCAAACTCATTACAAGCAGAGGGAGATATTATTTGTTTTGATGTTGATGATTATGGCTCACAGCTTAAAAGCCCCAAATAAAACGTCTCAGAACATTTGGATATTGTTAAAATATACTGTGAGACGTAAACATCGACAAAATATCAAACACAGGCTTGACATGAGTCACTTTGCATGAAAAAAGTTTAAGAAAAGATAGAGCTTTTTTGATCTCACAATGGAGAGATTTACAATATTGTCCAATTACAGAATTAAATGAATTTCTGAACAATATTTAAACTTTTTGAGTTTTTATGCCTTTAAAACAAGCTCTCGCGATCAGCCGCAGATGAATTATGAGTGTTATAGTATAAAGACATCAATCCTAAAAAAGCCAGATATATCAGCTTTCAACGATCATGTCAAAGTTGTCAATTTCAAAGGAACAAGACATAGAAGGAAATGATGAGCTGTTCAGTATTTTCTTTCACAGAGAGAGCAAGAGAGAAACAGGTAAGAGTGGTTTCTGTCTGTCAACACAAGGTGAAATCACGAATAAAAAGAACCGTTCTGACACACGTTGCTCAATAAGTGACGCACTCTGGCCACGAAACGCTGACTTCAGTTGCTAACATCATCAGTAAATCAGACACATTCAAAAAGCCATTCACTGTTTACACAAGCCCCAATGTAAACAAGCAACACTTTACGGCCCGATATTGGTCTAACCCTGTGGACTTACGGAGCCAGGCTGTGTCTCCGCGAGGCTCGAGTCCTGCTGATGGTGAGTTTTCTTTTCCACATCCCCCCAGGAACAGGAGGGAAGCCACCTGTTCTCATGTGGGCTCCTGCACACTGAGGAGCAGAGGCAGAGAGGAGCAGAGAGGGTGGAGGGGAGGGGCCGGTATGAGACCTGACATTCTGGTCCTTTCACTCATCACCCACCAACTCTCGCCACAAGCACTCCACTGCGACTACAAACAACACAATCAAAATACACAATGGGTTTCAATATACTGCATGTGATCAGCCTCTTCCAACTGAACGGAATGTAAAACTGAATCCGACGCAGCGGACAGCGGCTTGGATTTACTTCTGGCCTTTAAGTATCTATAGATTTTCAATAAAAGAAAGGTTAAAGTGAAGGTCAGCTACTTTACAAATTGTGAAGATGAAGCAACGTTTGTAAGCGACGGTTAGACCCGCCCCCACAGCTTCTGGATTGGACACACAATAATAAAATCCTTGATAAACAGCTAAGGCCCCTCACGACTGGTCTGTTCTCATCCATAAAAAAACATATTAGTGAGGCTTATTCCAAGGGGAGGGACTGTTTTAGATATATTTATTATGAAAAATACTTCATTTAGATGATACTGCAGGGTCATATGGTCAAAAATATGTATTAGTTCAAAATGAAATGCAGCATCACCTTTAAGATCCCCATCCTAAAAGTATTTGACCCATCTGTCACTCCCAGTACGGCATCTAAGGACTTCTCGCAAAAGCCAGATCCTGTCAGACCTCGGAAGCTGTACAGTACAGGTCCTGGTTAGTGATGTGATGGGAGACCTCTGGGAACACCTGGTGCCACAGTGGGCCGGCTACAGTAGTAGTTTATCACCGCCGTGTATGGAGTGAAAGAATAAAAACATGTGAAGCACCATTAAGTGTCCTGAAACATGTTATTATTTTTATTATTCTAGAGCTTTGTCAGTGCCAGAGCAGAGAACGTTTTGGGTTGATACAGAAAGCGGAGCCTCAGAAAACCTCAGATAAGTTTGGACCTTTATCCATAAACTGAAATACGGACTTCTACACAAACTAACGCAGGCAAAGTCTCAATCCTAATCCTGTTAGATCTAAGTGCTGCCTTTGACACTGTCGACCATGAGATCCTCTTACAGAGACTAGAGGACTGGGTTGGCGTCGCTGGCACCGCCCTAAGTTGGTTTAGGTCTTACCTTGAAGACAGGAAGTACTTTGTGGAGATTGGAAACTGTGTCTCAGATCATATGGCCCTGACCTGTGGAGTCCCACAGGGGTCGATCCTGGGACCTCTTCTGTTCAATCTCTACATGCTACCTTAGGTCAGTTAATACGCAGAAACAAAGTTTCCTATCATAACTATGCAGACGACACTCAGATCTATGTCTCACTGACTGCAGGAGAACATGGACCAGTGGACTCACTCCTTCACTGTATCCAACAGATCAGTGAGTGGATGCAAAACAACTTCCTTCAGCTAAACGCAGACAAAACTGAAATGATTGTCTTTGGTCCCCAGAAACAAAGAGAGAGCGTCATCTGTCACCTACAGTCTCTCTCCCTAAAACCTTCAAACAAGGTCAGAAATCTAGGGGTAATACTGGACTCAGACTTAAATTTTAATAGCCACATCAAATCAGTAACATCAGCAGCTTTTTACCATCTAAAAAACATTGCCAGGATCAAAAACATAGTGTCTAAAGCAGACCTGGAGATTCTTATCCATGCATTTGTCTCCAGTAGGTTAGACTACTGCAATGGCCTGCTCACAGGTCTGTCCAAACAGGCTGTAAAACAGCTGCAGTACATTCAAAATGCAGCAGCTCGAGTCCTGACTAGAACCAGGAAGTACGACCATATTAGTCCGGTCCTCAGGTCTCTGCACTGGCTTCCTGTGGCTCAGAGAATAGACTTTAAAACAGCTCTGCTTGTTACAAGTCTCTCCATGGCCTCGCACCAAAATATATTAGTGACATGTTAGTCCCATATGAACCAGCCCGGACTCTGAGGAGCACAGGGACTGGACTCCTGTTAGTGCCCAGAGTCAGAACTAAACATGGGGAGGCTGCTTTTCAGATTCATGCTGCTAAAATCTGGAACATTCTTCCTGAAGATGTGAGACAGGCCTCCTCTCTGACAATGTTTAAAACCAGGTTAAAAACGGTGCTGTTTAGCTGTGCATACAACTGAGGGATTTTATATTTTTATCTTTCGTTTTAATGTTCTGTAATTATTTATGATTTTAATGCTATCTTGTTCAGCACTTTGAGTTGCCTTGTGTATGAATTGTGCTATACAAATAAACTTGCCTTGCCTTGCCTAAATGATTCACAACACAGATCCAATAGTGCCATTTAAATGTGGTTTATAGAGAATCCAAACCATTTTATAGAAACAACCCGTTAAACCACAAGTCGGTGGGTGAAGCAGCAGCTCTACCATTGCGTTTATTTCCGATGACTTCAACATAGAGAGTCCCGATTTCTCGCCTCGCTGACGGTAACTGTGGAGGCAGAGTCACTAATGAGCAGCTCCCCTCCCTGCGACCTCCTCTGCAGATGTTTACGCTCTTCATGAACAAACAAAGCAGATATTCCTCCTTCTAACATTAACATTACATGGCGTTAACAGCATAAGACACGCTGTAACATCTGCTTATTATTCAAAGGCACCATTTGTGATGAACAGAATTACCAGCAGGAGGCAAAATAGAGCTACTCCATTATTCAAACCTGCTGCTGTATGTGTTTTTGAGACTCAGATGTATTTATTTTCTGCAAAGCATTACACAGGTCTATGCAAAAACAACCTACACTCGTGACTTCACATGGGATTATACTGTATGTGGGTGTAATTGATAGGGTTGATTATAATGACATATTTTGACCTATTTGTGTAGGCAACTTGGCAAATGGTAATAAATTATGCAATGCTGGAAATGGTTAGAAAAATATATTGATCTACAGGTAAAGGTGTTAAAGCTGGAGCGCCTTACTTGACTTGAGTCTTGTTTATGTGGCATTTAAGTGACATTTTGTGAAGAAATCAGATCAAGATGCTGTATTTATCTAATTATAAAACATGATTTATATTTGACGTACTGAGAGCTGGCTCGGTGAACGTGGTCCTCTCTTTTTCACTGAGAAATCTGATCTGAAGACATGAGAGAACCCAACATTCAAAGTTTCAAAGTATGCATAGGAGCAGACCAAGCAGCAAATGTAGCAGCACATCAAAGAGAGATCAAAGCGGAAAGAAATTCTGAACTCACATTGCAAAAAGGATCAAAATATTCACAATATTTCACTGATACAAAGATCAAATAAGAGTGGTTACTGTTTCAGAGATTTTTTTGACAATTCAGGCACAAATAAGATCAAAATAAGTCTGAAAAAGGAGCTAAAGATTATAGATGACAACCCTTTCCCTTTTGGTTTCTGCTTTTGTTTTTTCTAATATTACATACTCGTTAGCAACAAGTTTTATGGTACACTTTGGGTGATAGGGAGAGAGAAAAAAACATCAAAAAGCACTTTCCTTTTAGTTTTATTTTGTCGGACTACAGATATAGCTATGGATTTAATTGGGGAAAGAAAAAAAATCCTTCTAAAATACAAAAAAATAAGATTCTAACCAACAAACTATCCCGTCTTGCCTTGGCTTTGTTTGGCATACGCAGTCTTTCACATCACAGACTCTCCCGCTCTCACTTTCAAAGCACAAGATTCTCAAGATGCAGCCGGTGATTCAGCGGCTGAGGCTGAACATGCGTCAGAGTTCCAAACAGAAGCACGTCAGCTCCTCTTCTCGCTGCAGCATCAGCGCTTGTCATCGGCCCGGGATTCCCACCGGAGTAACAGGAAGTGGGCGGGGCCAGAGAAGACAAGAGGAAGAGATGGCACCGTGCCGAGAGCTCATTTCGAAGATAAATGTTTGTGAGTGATTTCAAAAAGAGGCAGCAGTGTTAGATGGTCGCTGTATAATGTCTTAACTCTCAGATTTTTCTTCCTGCTTGGTTTGATATCTTTTATAAGACCAGGGCAGGCTTTAAATGGCACAGGAGCACTGAGGCATCGTGACCTTTCAGTGAGGAGAGGGACCATTCATTATATACAGGATTCACATCATTTGTCTAAACCTTTTGCTTCAGTTCCGTGTGGATAATAAGAAAAACATTAAGTTAAAAAGAATTCAAGTGAATGAACCTGTACCTCATTAATTTGACAAACAATGTGTTTCCAGTAAATAAATATACAGTAACTTTGCAAATATATGCCAGAATGTACAACAACTTCATTTCCTGTTTGTACATTTGAAAAGTATTTTAGTAAAGTTGATATGTTTGCCTGTTGCCTGTTTGTTGTGAGCACCGACAGGAGTGATCTTTAACAAATCATACTTACTTACTTATACACTGACTCAGGAGGTATCACAAAGCTTAAATATTAATCATCTCAAAGTGACTACCGGAAGTAGAATCAGTCTCTTTATGGGTCGTACTGGAGGCTACACCAGTGGTTCCCAACCTTTTTACGCTGTGTACCCCCTCGTCAGTGCAGACAGGGGGAAAGTATCCTATCCCTGTGTTTAAAGGGACACAAAATCCTTCATGCTCTCAGTTCTCAGGTGAATTCAACTAATTTTGATCACAGCTGTATTTAGGCTTTACTCTTTTACCAAGGTCTCCAAGGCTGCCTTTGTGGAAAGTGTGCATCGGCATCTAATTATTTATTTATATTATTTCATTATAAAAGGTATTTTGACCAAATTAATCATTTTGTTACGATTTGAGGTTTTAGATTTATTCTGAACAAAATGAGTTGGGCCTGAACCAAAACTGGACCAAAAGTATAGACTTGTTATTGCACACTGATAGACTGAATTATTATTATTATTATTATTTGTGTTCCATGTTCAATGATTACAATATAACAATTTGTGTGCTGGTTTTCTTAAAATAATTTGCTTTAAAATGATGTATAGCATACCACAGTAGCCCACATTAACCTCTTACCATCAACGTCTTGAAAATCATTCCAAGTACTGCCTGTAATCCCCTCGCGTACCTCTACCTGTCCACGCACCCCCAGTTGGGAAACACTGAGCCAAACTGTATTGAGTGACGTAACGTTTTAAAAGCCATGAAGCATTTACTCTGTCTCCCCATAAACACAAGAATACTCTATACCACTGTTTATCCAATTTACTGACTGAAAAAAAAAAAAAAAACATAGAAGACTAGAGATCCAAGCTGCACAATTGGATCCCAAAGCTCCAAATCAGACCAGACACACATTCAACATCTACAGTAAGATCATATATTCTCTGATTGAATAAACGTGTATGGGTTTAAACAACTACATTTTTTATTAGATTGGACTAAAATGTAAAACGTTTAAGTCAAAAGTCTAAGTAAAACTATCTCAAAGCATTGATCATAAATTCAGGGCTGTCTCCTCTTTGGGGACAGAACCAGGAGAACCATGTGTAGTTCTGATTATTGCTAAATGTAAAAAGAGAGAGTTGTATTTTTTTACTTAAACACAAAAATGAATGAAATATTAAGAAACAACTAGTTTTCTTTTAAAGTCTGTCACTTGCTTGTCACCTGTAGCTTCAGACCTGCAGCTGTATCTCATCTCACGACTAAACTTTGAAATTGATAAACCACAACGACAGCCTCACTTTGCCGTAAAAAAAAAAGAAATTGGTTAAATAAGGCCCCATTGTCTCCTTTTTTATTCACATTTTTGAGGCTGTGAATTTTACCAGCCTCACACCATGTCCAGTCGGCGTTCATGAACCTTTATGACATTGCATTTCTCTTCCTGAACCTGGAGCCGGATCACGGCAGCAGCTCTATCACCGACTGTCGGCCGGAGAGCAGAGAGACTCCCTTTTGTCTGCACTAATATATTCATAAAAATGTTGTCGGACTGGACACTTTTTTTGAAGGAAGCCGCGGGAAAAACAATAAGAATATGTCATGTAATATCCCTTAAGCCTGCAGGATAGGCCACAGCCTCCATGTGTGTGATTGAGATATAAAAATAGCAACTGGAAAATTAAATCCCATCAAAGACTTAAAGAAGCGGCGAAAGAACAAATGGCGTCGCTGAGAAAAGCAGAGTATCTTATGTTCTTGGTGTCGGTGACAGACGCCAGGATCCCAGCTGCATATGAAGAGTTTAGTGGTGAAAATATGTCTGAATAAAATGTTGGCTGTCATTGGGCATTGCCGGCTCTGCAACATCTTGAGGCGCCAAAGTAGTGGTGTTAGAATTATGAGCTCATTCAAGGACACTTTCTATACAGTGCCCTGGCTTGACATAGTTTCCCTACATGATTCTTACATTTTTCAATTTTATTTATTTCTGTTATTAATTTCAGAAATCGTCTATCTCTCCAGGTTTTATCTGTTTCACATTGTATTTCTTAAAAATAATACACACATACATCTCAGTGTATAGACTCACTTCTATGTAATGTAATGGGCGGCACGGTGGCTGAGTGGATAGCGCTCTCGCCTCACAGCAAGAAAGTCCTGGGTTCGAATCCCGGTTGGACCAGGGCCTTTCTGAGTGGAGTTTGCACGTTCTCCCCGTGTCTGCGTAGGTTTCCTCCGGGTGCTCCGGTTTCCCTTACCACTAAAAATATGTACAATAGGTCTGGCATGCGCCTCCTGTACTGGCCCCGCTCCCAAAAATAACAATTGTAAACCGCTTTGAGACTCCGATGTGCAGTGAAAAGGTGGTATATAAATAAAGATACTACTACTACTTACTACTATGAATGTATATACTAGCAATAGCAGCTTGGTACAGTTTCAATGCTTATATATTTATCTGTGTTGTGATTAATTGTCCAATACTTGCTCTATAGAACTACTGGTTAGATGCTAAACTGCAGATTGTGGCATTGCTCTGACTTTGTAATGACAATAAATCTGAATCTATTCTAATCTAATCTAATCCAATGAAGGCAATGTCCTGAAAACTCTACTAATGACATTAAAACATATAGTTATAACTCAAAAAGGCACTAACAATGTCTGTACCACTTCTCATCTGCTCCTCCCACCTCATGTAAAGAAAGATAATTCAAGGGCATTGAAAAACACACACACACACACACACGCACAGTCCAGGTGATGCCAGATTACCCAGCATGCCTTTCCTTGCCAAAACGAGGTGGGAGGCGGTGGTTGCCATGGCAGCGGGTGACAAAGCAGTGGGATGGATCAAACCCTGAAGTGAGGCGGGCGTGAGAAGACGAACGAGGAGAGGGAGCGAGAGCGGGCACTCATTGTTGTAATGGGAGGAGATCGGAGCGCCGCTGGTGGTAGGGGCGGGTCGTTTGTCACCGCGGGAACGCCACACACGTAGACGATCTCTATCTGCGAGTCGTCACGTAAATACAAGCGGGCGCCGTTTCAAGGTCATCAGATTCACAACACACTCGCTGCACGGTCAGAGCCGGAGGTGGGATAAGGAACCGGTGAGATGATCGTTCAAAGGCTCATGTTTGAGTTATGATTACTGTTTGTGAAGATGAGAGATACAGGACGCTGTGATCACGAGAAAGAGGATTAAAGAAGCAGCTTTTTAGTAGAAATATTAACTTTGTCTTAAAATGATAACTCAGCGAAAATCACAATTATCTGAAATGTTGGAAAATGTTGAGGACTTTTGGACACGTAAAGGAGATGTCAGTCACTTATTTAATTTAATTATTTGTATTTACATTAATTTATATTTAATTCTTAAAATAAAAATCCTGGCAATGGGACACTGTTTAGATTATATTCTTCTTTATTATGTTAAAGATAGAGATTTTACACTTGTTTCTTTGATGCTAGAGTTAGAGATGTATATATATTTTTTTATTAGTATAGCTATGGTTGATTTATCTTATCTTATCTTACTGTTCTGTAAATTGATATATTTGAGGGATGAAGATTCGCACATCAATGATTACAAACCGGATGGAAGAGAGGCTTGTACAATTATATATTCAAAGTAGTCCCTTACCCTTGGCAAAAGTACGACCAGTCAGATCTGCAGTAGGAGAATAGTTAAACCAATTATGAGGGGGCTCAAGGATATGAATAAATTTAGACCAATCAAGAGGCTGCGGGAGTCTAAGCTTGTGTTCAAAAATATACTCTATCTACACTCTCTCTTCACAATGTAAGTTATTAGAGAAATTGACATTTAGGTTAATTGCTGTAGAAAGTGCCCAAATTCCACCCAAAAGCTCAAACCTATCCATCGTTGTAAAATATAATGCGCTGTACTTGCCCTTTAAAGAAACCATAGTAACCAGGGGCCAGGGATTGATTAGGCAAGATTTAGTATTTTATTAAATGAAAACAATTGCCTTTCCCTCAGAGTGAGAATGGGTGAAATGGTTATTAGCTCATCTATAATTGGCTTCAACAAACGTATGTCTGTATAGATTTAAATATTGACAATGTGTTATCAGAGAAAGAAACCAGTTAGCCAAAATACACAAAGACAGCAGCCATAATCCAAATCATTATAATGAAGAAATGGATCGTTGTTCATTTCATCACTCCTGGGGACCAATATGTCATTTCAGGTTTTAAAATTAGTATTGGTTTAGCTGCAGGTAGACTGTCTGTTACGGATAAAAGAAAAGCTTTGGTAAACAATTCAACCACTTCAAGGGAAAACCATCATGGCATGGAAATGAAAAGACAACAAAGCAGGAAATATGCCACATACCGTACAAAACGCCTTCATGAACAACAAGGGAATGAATATGGATACATACAAAAAACATGAGATATTATTATAGATATATCATGCCTTAAACCTCTTATTAATCAAGACGCAAACTTTCAACTGACTCCCCTGTTGTCTCAAATAGTCAAAGTTTCAGACAACAGAGAGCATTTCAGTCCTTTCAAAATTGCCAAACTGTTCTGACCAAGTTGATTCCCACAACAGTGTAATCCTCTCAGTTAATTAGAGCATTATTGTCATATTCTATTGCCAGAGCACAAATGTCTCTGAGCAATTATGACTTTATTTTCCCCATAAAGCTCTGGTTTGCTCTCAGTAAATGTTATAAGCACCGATCTGATCTTGTAAATCGTGCCACAGCATAGATCTATGTTAATCCATAAATGGCAAAATACACAGGCATCGAAACAGAGAAAATATCCACCAATAAACAACTGAATAGGGTTAAAAGCAGAGAAGTACCATAAATCAATCCCTATGGACGTTTAGGATTGCCTTCGCTGACGAGTTTATGTTTGATGCTTGATTCCTGTGCCCTAATTATTGCTTACTTACTGTGTCCAGATTGGCAGGTAGGGAAGGTTGCAGGAATCGAGCTTGCAACCTTCTCGCTGTGAGACATGAGTGCTATACCCACTCAGCCACTGTGCCGTCAGTGTGGAGAGGTCGGGATGCCGGAAATGGAACTGGCTAATCCTGACTTTGCAGGATTATGTTTTGAAATCAATATCAATGTTCTGTTTGGATGGAAGTGAAGAGATAATGAAATAAAGGGCCATGTTGATGTTGAACGTATGAATCGTATATTTATTAAAAAAAAGGCAAAGGTAGTTCATTTCTACAGCAGACTTTATACACAAGACAAGAAGCAAAGAAACATGAAAATCATGCACAGTTATTAGACGGCTCCTTACAGCAGCAGAACGCTCCATTGATCTGAATGTCATTTCAAAACGTTCTACCGGTCATTATTTCTTGATAACAGACGTCTCAAAACAATAATGACCGCTGCCCTTTGGCAACGCACTCTCTGCTTGTAATTCAGATGTGTAGAGTTCCCGCCACTTTGTCGTTACTACTGTCTCTGCGAGAGAAGCTATCGGAGCTAGCCACGCTCAATAGACACAAATATCAATCAATCAACGCATTTGAGTGTTAATCGGAGAATAAATTATACATTTACGTTCTTAACACAGGTGCACGGAGGTTTTCAGAATGATCTGTTAACGTTTTCATGACAAAAGTACTGTTTTAATGTGACAAAAAGCGATAGTGATAAACCCGGATGAAACCATTTACATGAAATAAACATTTTAAGACACATTAGCAGTGGATCGATTTATGGATTTAGGTTTATGTTTGGGTCACTCACCGCTGATGGTCAGAATTCTTTGTTCTGTTTTCATGGTTTTGAAGTTGCTAGCTTAACTGTTACTCGTCTGCCATGGGAAAATCTTCGGGAACTATTTTATTTGCAGTCATTAAATAAACCTGTCAGCATTCATAAAAGTGGACTGAAGTTTATTCTGTGTGTGTTCGGTTGGTACAAAGCCTTATAATTATTGGGATAATGTATAGTTATGTATATGTAATGTTCAGGGCCCTGTCGGTACTTATTTTCCGATAATGACCTGAGTACAATACATTGTCCCTTACATAACACATAATCACAGTGTATTCAAAAGAGTCCATTTTACTTTTCAAGGGGGTTCATGCAATAACCAATTATACATATTGACTCAAAAAACAAAGGGTAAGGAGTGCTGCGTGGTACAAGCGTGTAAAATGATTTAAAAGACCAGGTGCTCAATTGGAAGAGGGGTTTAACTTAGTAACAAAAAAAGGAAAAAAAGAAAAAAACACTTACTATGAATATTTACTATTTGCTGATATTCACAGACAAAATGTTTCTTGCCTTCACATCTGACAAAGCTGGATTAGTAGTAAGAAGAAGCCTTAATCTGTTGAAGACATCTCCATACAGTGTGCAACTATTCAACGATGTCAAGTAAAAAGACCTTTCATAAAAAGGATTCTGTTTGATAAGAACCATGACGGGCATCAGACCTTTTCTTCCTTAAACGAATGTTGACTGAAGATAAAAACAGATCCCAGACAGTCGTCTCTCTGTCGTGAAGCGAGAG